AATAGGACTTCTCCATGGCACCACTGCACATGTGATTGAATGCTGCAGATTCAAAGCCAGGATGATACTCCTGCACTTGAATTTCACTCTATCATCGCATATTCACAGGTCATAATTTCTGCTTTATGGACTTCCTTGAAGGCTTTTTTTTTTTTTTTATCATTTGTCTTTTGCTACATGGATGCATATTACCTTCTTATGATTTGAAAAAGCATAAGCCAGCCCGGCCGCTGTGGCTCAGTGGTTGAGCATCAACCCATTCACTGAGACGTCACCGGTTCAATTCCCAGTCAGGGCACATGCCCAGGTTGGGCCAAATCCCCAGTGAAGGGCATGCAGGAGGCGGTCAATCAATGTTCTCTCTCATCAATGTTTCTATCTCTCTCTCTCTCTCTCTCTAAAATCAATAAAGAAAAAATAAATAAATAAGCATAAGCCATTTATTAAATTTTTATCAAAAAAGAAAATTAAATTGTATTTCTCATCTTTTTTTCCTTTTTGTAAAGAATGCAATGGTCTCTTGATGACCTCTAACATTAGATGTGACATTTTAAAAAATGCCATTTTTAACTCAAATCTGCTTCCCATAATTTACTGTCACATTTTTGTAGAAATACAGAAAACACCAAAATATAAATTTATGTAGGAGCTATAAAATTACACACTTAGCTCACATGGCCCACTGTTCAGTTAGTTCTTCACTTGCCTCTTGAAAAACGACACCATGTGTTTGTCAACAATTCCTTTTTTTAAACAACCTGTTCGCTCAAACACATTAAATAAATATGCCGTAAGAAGAAATATTAGTCCTGACTGGTATGCTAAGTGGTTAGAGTGCCAACCCTTGGACTGGAGAGTTGAGGGTTCGATTCCTAGTCAAGGGCATGTACAGGTCAGGGTCATGCAGGAGGCAACCAATTGATGTGTTTCTCTCACATCGATGTCACTCTCTCTCTCTGTCCCCTTCCTCCCTTCCACTCTATCTAAAAATCAATGGAAAAATATCCTCGAGTGAGGATTAATAAAAAGGAGGAGGAGGAGGTAGAGGAGGAGGAGAAGAAGAAAAAGAAGGAGGAATATTACATCATAATGAAAGAGACATGCCCTCTCATTTACTGAACACAAGGATCTAGCCAGAGGATATCACATGAACCAAACTGGAGCCGTGATGCTTATTTAGATGGCACCAGAAGGGGCATGCATTTTAGGACTCTTGCAGCTGGTGTGTGTGTGTGTGTGTGTGTGTGTGTGTGTGTGTGTGTGTTTAGGTGTTTTGAAGCACTCTCACATTTAGCCTTTTATTTGCCCAAAATAACTTCATTAAATACAATTTGCCTGCAAGAAAACTGAGACCCCAAAAGCTTGAAATTTTTGTTTTAAAAATGATACAGAAACTCTGTGTATATTTAAAACCATTGAATTATACACTTTAAATGGGTGAATTGTATGATATGTGAATTATACCTCAATAAAGCTTTTTTAATGGTACAGGAAAAAGGATGAGTAGACACTCATGCCATTATGGTTTATGTGGTTTTTGTAAATATTATAATTTCAAAGTGTTATTACTTACATAAAACCGTTTTCGTTGCTCAAGTGATCCATTTTTATGTCTGTAAAAAGTATTTGGAATTCATCATTTTTCCAATTAAAAACTTATTGAAAATATTTTTTCACATAATGACTTTCCACTCAGCGTAAGTATTTTCAGGGACAGATTGAAGTATTAAGCGAGAGCTGGGTTTAATGATCTGAAACTGAGAGTCGAATTTGATGCGGAGACGAGTATGCGCTACGTGCTGAATTGATTCGCCGCGAGTGGTGGAGATGGAACATACTCTGTCCGCTGAGAAAGACGTGGGACCTGAGACTGGCGGGGGCCAAGACCGTGCGCGGGGTTGGGAGGGTAGAGGCCAGTGAAAGAGAAAACACAGGAAAGGTCTAGGGAAAGGCAATTAGATGATGCCTGAAAGCTGGCTTGGACATGCAGTTTATCTCACCGGCCAGACTACAGCTTGCCGTCACAAAGTAAGTCGCTGGGCTTTATTCAGCTCAATTTCGGGGGGGGGGGGGGGGGGGGGGGGTTAGCTGCATGCTTAGGAGTTAAGAGTAATTTTCTAAGCCCAAAAGCAACATAAATCCATTTAGCCTCTCTTATCTTACTTTGTGAAAGACAGACCTTAGAACAAATTAGAATTTTCTGCCTTGTTTTTTGCAGAGAGAAAAACTGGAAAACTTTGGGAACTTTTCTGGTAGAAAAAGGAAGCGTGGGCAATCTGAATGCCGGCAAACATGAAATAATATCCGTAAGGCACAGATCACAGGTATCAGTCAATCGGAAATTTAGAATCTGAATGGGTAATGCTTAAAGTTTTGAAGGAGATAAATGATGAAAATATATATATATATATATTTTTTTTTTTTTTTATCCTCACCCGAGGACATTTTTCGATATTTTGTTCAGATAGAGTGAGAGGGAGAGAGAGAGAGAGAAACATCGATGTGAAAGCGACACATCGAGTGGTTGCCACCCACACGACCCAACCAGGGCTGGGGACAAACTGCAACCAAGGTACGTGCCCCTAGCGGGAACCGAACCCGGGTCTCTCCAGACCACAGGCCGATGCTCTAACCGCTGAGCCAAACCGGCCAGGGCGAAAATATATTATTCGTTAGCTATTTCCAGTAACTTAAGACAAAAATAACTTGAGGTAAATAAGTGCCTTGGTTCTAACCAGTAAGTGCTGATTGTAAACTTCATTGAATTTTTTTTCTGATGAAAGATGGAGAAAAATTGAATAATAAATTCAATAACCCAAATGGAATTTCTTACAAATTGTGTTTTCATATTATATCTGATCCCAGTCAAGAGTAAGCAAAAGAGAATATGCGCTAAGAGAAAATACAGTTATTGAAGCATTATTTAAGTATTTGATGATCTGGGTAGAATAGCTTGAAGCTCCCCCAAGGTCTAGGGACTTTGCTTTTTAAATACAAGTTTTCTTAAGGGAGACTTTTGTACACTTTAATGCATCTTTACAAATTCTTGTAAAGATATTTCCAACAAATGGAAAGATAAGTCACTTTGGAAAATGTAAATAATTCCAGAAATATGGAGACTTTCGTTTCCTTTCGAACTTCATTTCCTTTTAATACTCATTCATGCCCTGGCCGGTTTGGCTCAGTGGTTAGAGCGTCGGCCTGTGGTCCAGAGAGACCAGGGTTCAATTCCCGCTAAGGGCAGGTACCTCGGTTGCAGTTTGTCCCTGGCCCTGGTTGGGTCGTGTGGCAACCACTCGATGTGTCCCTTTCACATCGATGTTTCTCTCTCTCTCTCTCTCCCTCCCACTCTATCTGAAAAAAATATCAAAAAATGTCCTCGGGTGAGGATGAAAAAAAAACAAAACTCATTCACCTGCAGCCCAAATGCTCCATGTACTTTGCCACATATGACTTATTAACCACAAACTGGGTGATTACTTCTGCTTCATGAGATCACTTAAACTCAAAACATTAAAGAAAAGAAGAAGAGAACTGTTAAGGCTGATAGACGGGGGCGACGGCATCTGAGAATGCCCCAGGAGCTCCCCTGCACCTTCTCCGGACTGGCCACTCCCAGCCGGCACAGGTTCCCACGGCAATAATAAACGGGTTTGGGAGGGCCGCACATGCAGGGTCGGTATCTTGGAGAGCCAAACCTCAACAAGAAAAAACACAAAAGGCACATGAGACACAGCTGGCTTCCGCTTGTTCTCCCTTCAGCTTCTTCCCACGTCTTGATAGCTTCGTCAGCCCCAATCGCTTGTTGGCAGCACCCAGACAAAATCAATTGTTTTACAGCTTTATAGTCACTGAGTGCTTTTCCTCAGTTCCTCACCTCTCTGTGCCCTCCCATCCCACTCCCGATTTATTATCTGAAGGGCGTGAACAGAGACTTGTAGTAAACCTTTAGTGAATGTTGACGACAATAATTATTGTCATTATCTGCAGACAGAAAATTATGTTCAATAACAGTCTGAGAAATAGGGTAGACCCAGAAACATGGAAGTAGGGTACAGACTGACAACCCTCAGAAGAGGGGGTGGTGGAGGGAGAGAAGAGATAAACCACAGAACTTATATGCATGTACGCATAACCAATGGACACAGACAACAAAGCCGGGGCAGGGGTGGGGAAGATGGGGAGGGGGATGCCAATGGGGTAAAAAAGGAGAAACATCTGTAACAAAAATAAAATTTTTAAAAATTAAAATTAAAAAAAAGAAGCTGGAGACAGGGTAGGGAGAGAGGGGGAAGGGTGACCAATGGGGGGAGGAGAAACATCTGTAACGAAAATAAATTAATTTTTAAAAAAAGAAAATTATGTTCAATATTTCAATCCTACCTTATCAGTGATTTCTAGAGAAAATCAGTGTAAGTTGAATTCTTTAGAATCTCTCTCATATAGGACATTTGTTTCTTTTTACCTACAAATACCTAGCTACATAAAATAGCTTTGCTCTCAAGCACACGCCATGGGGAGAACAGGGGCGGGGACCAGTCTAGATGAAAAGAACTCAAAGGGACATAACAAAACACAATGTAACTTGACTGACTCCAGATCCAGAAATAAAAATCTACACAGAACATTTCGGAAACAATTGGGAAAATTAGAATAGGGGCTGGGTATGGATTATATTATATTCTTAGAAGATGTAGGCGAAAATATTTAGTGGTAAAGTATTATGGTATCTGCAACTCATTTTCAAATGGTTCGACAAAATGTTATATATTTAAATATAGAGAAACAGCAAATGTGAAACAATGTTAATAATTAGTGAATCCAAGTGAAGAGTTTATAGGTGTTTATGTATTATACTTCAACTTTTCTATAGATGTAAATTTTTTTTTTTAAATATTGGGAATAAAAATATAGCAAAAAATTGTTTTAGTAAAAACACCACACATTTCATTAAATATTTTACTGTAATAATATACAATTATACATTGTTACTACTTATTTATACTTTATGAAAAGCATACCCATTCCACATAAATACTTAATCGGAAATTAACTTCCTTAAATCAATTCTTTAACTTTTAGTGCTAATGTATAAACCTCTTTATCTTAAATATAAATCAAAATAGCTCAACACCTACTTTAATTAGAACAATGAGATGCCAGGTGTAAAAATCATGAACTAATATTTCAAAGATAATTTTTCAATAGTTTCTTCTTTGTTTTTCTTCTTTGTCTAACATAGTCTGCTTTAAGCTCAAAATAGCGTCTTGAAATCCAGGATTTAACTCTAATACTTTCTTGAAATCTTCCAAAGCATCATCAAAGTATCCTGTACCAGAATATAAAAAAAAAAAATTGAAAAGAGAAAAAAAGCTGAGTATTTCCTTATATAATTCATAGCAAAGTTTAGATACACATGCTTTTGCTTCTATATTTACGAGCTTTTAACGACTCCTACTGAAGGAATTTTTTTCTCTTAATAATGATATAGGGCCTGGCTGGTGTGGCTCAGTGGTTCAGCACCCACCCATGCACCAAGAGGTCACCAGTTCAATTCCTGGTCAGGGCACATACCCAACCCGATCCCCAGTGTGGGGCACACAAGAAGCAGCCAATCGATGTTCTCTCATTGATGTTTCTATCTCTCTCTCCCTCTCCCTTCCTCTCTCTCTAAAATCAATAAAGAAAAAAAATTTTTTTTAATGATATAGGTATGTCTATATCAATGTAATTTTGTCTGACAGAGCAATATACTTAAAATTAGCTAGGGGTTTACTGAGATTTAACAGGTAAATAGGATAAATTAGCATGACATCTCAACAATATTATCTCACCTATTTTAGATAATTACAGTAAAATTAGGAAGCAAAAAATATTCTTTAAATAAAAAAACAGTACCTACGCTCCCTTGATTCCAAGGATCTGAAACTCCTTCACTTTCCATTGTCCTGTGTGCCTCCCAAGACTTTAACTCCGGAAAGTTCCACAGGTGATCATAGGCATTACCCTCATTTCGCAGTTGGGAACATACCGGCACAAGTAATGGGGTCACCCTTCCTCCGGTGCCCAGGCCCAATTCCCATCCCAGCGCTCCGCTGTGGTCGGTAATGCCTATTGAAAGCCTAAAATAAACTCAGGAACAGCCCCTTTGTTCCAGGCTCTAAACCTAAATTTCACATCACTTCGAAGACTTGATGATCACTACATTTGTGTCACAACATCCAAGAGCTCGAACTTCGGCAGATATAATCCAGGACAAAAGGAGAAAAACAATCTTACCCAGTCTGTACAGTATCAACCCTCTGTTGTAATACGGAACTTCAAACTCGGGTCGGACTTCTATGGCAGATGTGTAGTCATCCATGGCTTCGTAAAAGTCAACCCTGAAGTACTTGATTTGCCCCCTGTTGTTATACGCAGTAGCCAAATCCTCAGGGCTGCATTCGCTTTAAACAGAAAGTTCACATTGAGAAGACCGTGTTACCAAATTCCTCCCACTTCACCTTCGTTCTCTTTGGGGTACTGTCGGACTTCCTAGCTACAGCAGGCGGCATCCACACTCAGAAACCGAGTGCAGAGAAGTTAAAGCAGTGGACCCATTTCTGTTTAACCCCGTTTCCCACTTTCGCAGGGTTACAGCACTACCAGTGCATCGGAAGAGCACGTTCATTTCACAGTGGGCACAGAGCCCCTGTTCACTGCCAACTCGTCTGGCTGAAGATAGCATCGAAATCATTGTTCATTTTCTAAGCACAAGCCAGCGGGGCGAAGACGGATCAGATTCAAGCTGAGCAAAGAGGGGAAAGCCAGCTCCAGTTTGCTATGAACATGTCACAAAGCAAGTCATCAATTTTATTCTCAGATTTTTAAGTGATCTCAAAGCAATGAGAGTTGACATCATTTTCCACCAATGAGGAAATAAAATTAACCCTAAGTGAAAATTTAACACGCTGATCCCCAGAGAGCACCTTCTGGGGGGAAAGCTGCCCCCCTCCAGTCCTGGCTGGGATCCTGCCCAAGGCCAGGCAGGCTTCCTGTAAAAGGGTGTCAAGGCTCCAGTCCACTTGGGGCTCCTGTGTGCAGAATCGGCTCTGCATCTCAGGGCGCCGAGGTTGCCCAAGGATCCTTAAGGGGGGAAGTCCAGGCGGTTCTGACAGCCACCAGCCCTACAGGTTACACAGTCCTCCCCAGTGTCTTTCTTTTTTTCCAAAAGGATTCTCAAATTTGAACCAAACTGGGAAGAGGCAGCTTAAACTCACCTGTCATTTCTATACCCCATAGTGCAAAGTACAGTCCTCAGAACATATCTGGGACTCCGTCAGTGTTAGTAACAGTTACTTCCCTTTTAGGGGGTTGGAGGGGGGGTGGTAAATCAAAGAACTTATTTGAATATGCACAACCAATGGACACAGACATTAGTTTGGGGAAAAGCAGGACGGGGATGGGAGTGGGAAGGAGGGGATCATTGGGGAAGAAAAGGGAGACATCTGTAATACTTTCAACAATAAAAAAATAACTTAAAAAAATTTTAAAAAGAAAAGTGACTTCCCTTAATCTTGATCCTTGAGATGTCAGACAGGGACTTTAACTACCGCTGCCATAGAGGTGCTCACAGCCTAGGGCTCTCTTCCAAGTCCAGTTTGCTAACGATGAAGAGGGAGCGCTGCAGTTTTAGAACATGTCTGTTTCTATGAGCCATCACTGAGGGAGGCTTCTGGATGCCACGCACACACTGTTAAAACCGAGAGAACAAGAGGGCACATTCCCTTCATCTACCTAACTGCTGCCCCGTAAAGAGTTTTAAGAAAAATGCAGCCTCGGGAGTCCGGTAAGGTTTTAGTCATTAGATTTCTATGCTTCAGAGCTTTGTTATAAATTTCTTATATTCAGAGGGTCATGGAATGTTTGATTGAGAATTAGACCTCATTATAACAAATTCTGAAAGCCTACTTTTCATGTGGAAGTTGGTTCATATTTTAAAGACATGGGCTAACAGAGTCCAAAATTTGTTTCTATAACATTGAGATGTTTATAATAACAGTATTTATGGTCATGTCATTTAACCAGATTACCTAATCCAAATGTGGATTTTTAGCATTCACTAACTTTAGTAAAGAAAAATACATTTGGCAATTAGATTATGGCTAAGGCTATGCTTGTGAACATTAAAAGAAATGCAACATTTGCAAATACTGCTTCAAAATGATTCAGTGACCCAATATTTTTAAAATAAATTTAAATTCTAAAAGATGCATGTACAGGAAAAAGTTGAAGAATTCTGTTTCAAGCCATGAGTTTCTAGCAGAATTCTGAAACCAAGAAAACTGAAGGTCCATTTTACAGATAAGAAAGTGAGGCTGAGTAAAGGTACGAGCTATGTGGCAAGGCCAGGGCTGGGATTCCAGCTCCCTTCTACTAAGCCATGCAGATTTTCTCTTAAACTGGTAAAGGGAAGAGTTACATTTGCTACAAACACACACTGTGCTCTTAGGCTTAGATATGCAGAGGAGGAAGAGAACAAGACTAGATGGCATTGTAACTGGTAAATACTATTTGAAACCTACTAGATCAGTCTATTATTCTTAGAGCTTGAAACAAGAATAGAAAACAGTAATTTTTCTATGTTTACTATTGGGAGGGGGGGTAACACCTTATTGCCTATTCAGAAACTTCAATTAACTATTATTCTGGTGTATTATTGAAATGAGAAAGCAATCTTATTTTCCTGGCTTAATACATATGGATTTAACAGGATAAGAATCTTAAGTCAACACAAAAGACAAGCTGCCATCCTCTCAAGAAAAAAAATCCTGAGGGGAGAAGAGGGTGAAGGTGTAAACAACTCAAAACTGTCAAAAAACAAGCTGTTCGTTCAACTCCTCTGTCCTTATCCGTCCTTATTCTCATCCTGGTCCACTCCACGTCATGAAGAACAACTAAGGCAAAATTTGAATTAATGAATGTTATACATCCAGGCATAACCCCGAGAAGCTTCGGGCATGCAGATAGTAGATGAGATTGCTAACATCACACACACACACACACACACACACACACACACACATGAGACAACTGGACACCACCTGCTTTCTGCAAGAAGTACACAACACCACCTATAAAGTACTCTTGCCATAGTACTAACTGAATAATCAAACCTCAATATTAAACTACCCACATGCAAACCCTGTAGGAGACAGAGGACTGTATTAAATGACATCAGGGAGATGGATCCACAAATCCAATATATGGGGAACTCCCAGGCCATGACATGGTTTCCTCAACAAACTAACTACAACGTGTCAACCGATGGTCACTAGTGCCAATTCAACACCAACAGGAATCCCCAATTTGGGGTGCATTGAAGTCAACTTTATTCAGTGCAAAACAGCTCAACTGTGATACAGCATAGCTAACACTGCTGTGAGACAGCCCAGGCCAGGTCCCCCTCCGCCAGACAGCTTTGCTCAGCTCCGCCCTGCTCCTGCTTGGTCTGCTTTGCTCTGGCCAGACACGGTCAGTGTTTTAGTTCAACCAGGAAGACTCAGTCTTGATGGAAAGTGCACTTTTAGAGCCAGAGGGAAGCTGGTTTATATGGATAGAAGTCCCTGTGCCTGGTCCTTGAATGGTCCATCTGTCCTCGGGCAGAAAAGGCCTCCAAATCCTCAAAGTTTGATTGGCCCAAAAGGCACTGTCCTGCTTGGTCAGAATAGAGCTGCTATGGTTGGTCAGAGCTGTGCATCTGATTGAATGGGGAAGGCCTCAGTCCTATTGGTCCGAATAGGATGCCAGGAACCTGGCTCTGATGGCAGACACACAGGCAGGCAGGCAGGCAGTTAGTTCAGTGCGGGCTTCTTCCTAAGTGCAGTTTGTTTGAGAGGCCCCTGTGTAGAAATGGCTGCTAAACATGTGTTTTTTTAAAATTTGAGCCAAATTAGCCACCAGAAGCCCTTTTTGGTAGGTGTCTTATTTACCAGGGCTCACAAAGAGGGGAAGAAGAAAAAAGGGTGAGCCTGTAGATTAGACGACCTACCGTGTATCCTGACTTGAACCACCTGCTAAAACCAAACCAACCAACCAAATAAAAAAATAAAAAATTTGTGTTGCTCAATCAATAAAGTTCCAACATTTACTGGACATTTGATATTAAAGAAAAATGTGATACTGATATTGCAGTTATGTCTTTTGAAGGATGCCTAATATTGAGAAAGACATGTGAAACATCGGTAAATAGTATGAGGTCTGGGGGAAATGATAATGATGAAACCGAACCATGATCACCTGGAGGTTCATTTACAGTTTTCCATCTATGAAAAACAAAACACCCTTGCTGTGATGATGTGCTTGGGTCACCTCGCCCTCACCAGGCCTCGGATGTCCGTACTGTTAAAATAAAACAACGGGTGGAAAAGCCCTCTCCGCTCCGAGTCCCTGGATGGAGAGGAAAGGGAAAGGGGTACACGGGGCGAAGGGCAGCCGATGCTCCGGGTGTCCCCGGGTCCACGCGCAGGGGGCTGCACTCCAAGACGCTCCCCCCACCACCGCTGTGAGGAAACCTGCATCGGCCCTGGGGGCACCCCCGCCCTGGGGCGCAGGCCGCCCTGGGGCACAACCTGTAAGCCCGTCGCCAGGACGCCCCGACCCCACCTCTCGCGATAGCTACCTCCCGGCCGGCGCTCCGGCGGAGGCCGCGCAGGCGCACTGGCGAATGTACGCGGAGTACAGCGTCTCGGCCTCGGCGTGCTCGCCCTTCTGGAAGAGCGCCTGGGCGAGGCCGAGGGTCGCGCGGCTCTCTTGGCCCTGCTCCCCTTCCATAGCGGTGGGAGGCGTGGGCGGGGTTGACGCAGAGGCGGGGCCGCAGAGCCACTTCCGCACAGGCTTTAGCCTGCGCGCTGGCGAGGACCTGTCGTCCGGCGAGATGAGTGACAGTTGCTAGCGGAGAGCCCAGGCTGCCCAGACAGCTTGGACACACCCCTGGGAAGTGCAGGCAACCTGCCCTTTGTTACGGGGGGTGGGGGGGGCGAAACCCGCCCCGAGTAGGCCGCGGCGACCCTGAGCCACTGTCCAGCCCCGCTCAGTTGTCCCGTGGTCCAGACTCCCATTCAGACTGTGTATTGGCTCCACGACCATAGACCGCCGACTTCTCAAACTTTCTGAACCTTTGGAATAGGGTAAAGATTAAGTAGTAGTGTGTATCACTACTTTACTTTGATGGTCTATGATGTTACTTTGCATTCCTTGGCTGTTTATACCGAAAGGAAACCCAGAGAGTAATTTAAATACAATATGTTTAATTCAATAAAAGTTATGTAAAATGAACAATCCATAGAGGAAATTTTTTGAAAATTCAATTTACAATAACATCAAAAAGAATAAAATACTTAGAAATTAACTTTGAGGAGGTGAAAGACTTGTTATACAATGAAAACATTGCTGAAAGTAAAAGAAAGGCATTTCATGTTTATATATTGTAAACCTTAATATTTTTTAAATGTTAGTACTACTTAAAGCAATCCACAGATTCAGTGGAATCCCTCAAAACCCCAATGATGTTCTTATGGAAATAGAAAAATCCATTCTAAAATTCATATGGAATTTCAAGAGATCCCAAGTAGCCAAAACAATGTTGAAAAACAACAAAGTTGAAGGACTCACACTTCCTGATTTCAAAACTTACTACAAAGCTACGGTAATCAAAACAGTGTGGTACCGGCATAAAGACAGTTGCACAATAAATGATGCTATGAAAACTGGTTATCTACATGCGAAAGAGTGAAGTTGGATCCACTTGAGAAGATCTGGTCTATAGGACACTGGAGGGCCGTGTCCTGTGCCTGAGGTGCTGGGGCCAGGTTTCAGTGGCTGTCCCTCTCCAACTCTCATGCCTGTCTTGCAGAGGCCACCTACACTTGGTACTTTGTCTGCAGAGTGGTACCATCAAGCCTTCCCTCCACCAGCTCACCTAGAAATACAACTAAAACAAGATGATCTGCTCAAAGTGTTATGCCTACCTGCAACCTCATGCTGTCAACTGCCACAGGAAGAAGTGTGGCCACAACAACAGTCTGCACCCCAGGAAGAAAGTAAAATAAGGCCCCTCCACCAGCTCCTCCTTCCCCCCCAGGGCAGCCCCCTACCTGAGCCCCAGGGCCCTAAGGCCTCAATAAAATTTCCTTTTTGTTAACTGGAGCAGTAAAAAATAAAATAAAAAAATTTTTAAACTACACACACATATACATACACATGTGTATACATATGTATATTTTCAGAATATATAAAATAATAAGAATACACAGAAGGGGGCAGCATAATATTGCTATTCGCATTTTAGAAACTCAGTAGCAGTATCTTGGAGCTCCATCATCAAATTAAATACTCTTTTATTTTCTCTTAAAAGTCTAATAACATAATCCCCCCTGCCCCCTTCTGGAGGAGAACTCTGGACCTCTATGTAGTAATTCACTCAAACCTCCAGTCATCTGACATTTGCCGAGTACCTTTATAGGTGGTGGTGGTGATGGTGTTTTACCTGTTTGGTAGCAAACGTGATACTGGACATCTGTTCTACCTCCTGACCCTTTCTCCCCATATCCACTCTGCAGTTCAAACCCTCCTAACCAACCCCCACCAAAATATTTATATCAATAAAACAAATAACATGCTATCCATAAATTCTAGATAAAAGAAACTTAAATGCAAGTCATTTTTTACTTCAAAATTTATTGTTTTTATATTATTTCACTTAAACCCAAATAAAACCTAAGATCTCAGCCCCTGAAACACAAAAATATAATTTCAAAGTATACTTAAAAAATGAACAATAAAGTCAGCATTTGTGCATGACAGCGGGAGGGTCAACACTGCTGTGTTTCTTTTAGGCACACTGCTTGCTTGTGAGCTTTACCAGTAGGTTCTAAGTTCTCAACACTCTGGCCTATCATGCTACTTTGAAACTTAATATAATTCAGACCACGTTATATGATAAAGAACAACTCAGCATTACTTAAAGGAGTCGGTTCATGTTTATTACAAGAAGAGAACAACATAACTGCTTCATATACTATCTTCAATACACGCTTCATTGTATCTATCCAACTTTTCTCCAGGTATTTGTCATATAAAGACAAGTTTACTTCCCTTTGCCCCTCTCACCGTGGTAGAGTTTGTTGGTGGTGTTACCCTGAAATTTCCTTCGTGTTGAGTAAAACCAGTTAGGTCAACTCATACTGTGAGCCTTTCTCTAGTACCATTTTCAAGACAAACAAGGCCACCAAGACATGGCAGATCACTAAAACTTTCACAGATATAAATACCAAACAACAGTCATAAGCTTTTACAACAGTAGAAAAAATATGCCTCTGTGTGTGTGATAATTAAGTTTACAATATATGAGAGGTTATTTTTAGAGATTTTGGTTTCTATATTAAACTGAATAAGAAGTAGTGACAGCAGTTCAGGCTCTATCTGAAATAATTAGGTAGAGGAAAAGTCCTAGCGCTCAGGCATCATGGGATTAGCGGCCAATGAGAAGGCTCCACAACAGAGTCCCCAACAGGTCTCCTGGGAAAGGCCTGAGGAGTCAGCCGCCGACTGTGGACTTGAAGCAAATTGTTTAACCTCCTCCTGATACATCCTTGCCCCACTCCCACGCTGCCCTGCCAAGATTTTTTAGTAAATTGGTAACCTTGACAATGTGAGAAAAAAATTTCTTATTCAGAATATTTCCATAGTATTATGTAACCAGCCACAAGATAGAGATAGATAGATAGATAGATAGATAGATAGATAGATAGATAATAATGATGATAGATAGATGATAGATAGATGGATGATAGATAGATAATAGATGACAGATGATGATGATAGATGATAGATGGATGATAGATGATAGAGATAGATAGATAGATAGATAGATAGATAGATAGATGATAGATGATAGACTGACATGAAACAAGGTTGACTTCTACACATTTTACATGAAAAATAGCATCAGTATTTCATAGTCATAGTTTGACACAAAAATATATACATAATATATATATGTGTAATATATAGACATAATTTATATATAATTTTGTGTCAAACTACGACTGAAATAATGATGCTGATTTTCATATAAAACGTGTGGAAGTCAACCTTAGATATACGGTTACAGCTGTGCATATGTGCTCCCTGTCCTTTGCAGTTGGACGCAGTCTGTCATTTCATCATCCCACGGAGCTGTGGCACAAGGGACAGAAGTTGTAGTTACTTATTTCCTGAGCCAGGACACAGTGCTTGCAGACGCCGCACATCCAGAACTGGTACTCCGTGATCGGGCTCCCTGTGGCCACGCAGGTTGGCAGTTTCCCTTCCCCTCTGTAAGAATGAGAAGAAAAACAAATGAGGGTACTTTAAAACGTTTAGTTACTTAAAACTTTAATTACTACATTTTAAAAACTGAGGAGTGAAAAATATTTCACGGTAAACTTAAAATAAAATTTTCTTACAATGAGAAAATAAAGCATTAATACACTTGTAAGACTAAATGAAATAGGGTATAATGTTAAGGCAAACTACTTCAAAATTTAGTGCTTTGATTACTATATCAAACTATTATACATATAGAAATCCAAGCTTCTAAGAAAGTAGAATGATATTTACTAATCACAATTAGCCTTACCCTTCAAGAAGGCTCTCCAATTCCGATTTTCGGTTATCTTTTGGAGTGTGTTTGGTGAAGATTTCTAGAGCGAGATCTTCATATTGCTGTTTCTGTTCAGGACTGAGGCTCTCTAAAGACTCAAGTTTAATAAAGGCTTTTGAACAAGTACCGAAAGCTCGACTGGCACACGCACAGAGCGCTAACAGAGAGTAGATCTCAACGGCAGGGATGATGTCTTCGTAGTCTCTCAGGTGCAGAGCTGGGAAGGAAAGGACAAATTGGACTTTGCAAAGTAATCATGATCAAGCATGGGAAAGAATCTGTGTTAAGCTGTCTTAGTTTCACCTACGTGAACTTTAGCGAAGTTAAAGAAAACAACAAACAATGGTGGGCGATCGGAGTGCTAGTGGGAAGAGGTAGGGTACGTGATCTCCAGGGTTCTGTAACACCAGCTAACAGCTCGGGTCCTGGAAATACAACCATCGCCAATGATGCACATGCCATTTATAGATATACACACAAACAAAAATATTTGGTGTCAAGACACACATCTTTTATTCCATATAAATAGGTTAGAAAATTTTGTAGCATTCCAGAAAAAGTAAAACATTTTCTCTTTGTGTTTCTTTGAACAGATTACTGCTTTTCTGTTTGTCTTATTGAAATAATAGTACTTTGAGGGCAGAAAAGTGAAAATAAGCCTCTAAGTTGTCAGTTAAGATAATTTATTTGGACAGCTATCATATCTTATTTTCAAGTTTTTTATATTAGTAATGTAATCTCTTTATTAAAAATGCAGTTATCTCTCTCTCTCAAATCAATAGAAACATATTTTTTATTTTTTTGAAACATTTTTTAAATGCACTGTAGAATTAATATCAAATTTGTAACAAAATTGTATTTTTTTCTTCTCTAGACTTTGCAAATCTTAAAAATATCTTGTTATAGTATAATATTGGACATTTCATAAAACAATTTAAAGCAATATATGCATGTATTTTATAATTAGGTTTATATAAATTGGTTTGGGGGATCAAATATTTACAAAAAAGTTCACTGGAAGTAAGTTATAAAAAGTAAATTCATTCAGTTATAATAAAGAATTTCAGCCCTGGCCGGTTTGGCTCAGCGGTTAGAGCGTCGGCCTGCGGTCCGGAGAGACCCGGGTTCGGTTCCCGCTAAGGGCACGTACCTTGGTTGCAGTTTGTCCCCAGCCCTGGTTGGGTCGTGTGGGTGGCAACCACTCAATGTGTCGCTTTCACGTCGATGTTTCTCTCTCTCTCTCTCCCTCTCCCTCTATCTGAACAAAATATCGAAAAATGTCCTCGGGTGAGGATAAAAAAAAAAAAAAGAATTTCACAGGTTCATAGGCAATAATTTGTAGGGCATACATTGTTTGAAATCATTTTGTCAAAGACAGAAATATTAAAGTGCCCTGGCCAAGTGGCTCAGTTGGTTGGAGCATTGTCCCATACACCAAAGGGCTGTGGGTTCAATTCCCGCTCAGGGCACATGCCAGGGTTTTTGGGCTTAATCCCCAGTAGGGAGCGTGAAGGCAACCAATCAATGTTTCTCTCTCATCAATGTTTCTATCCCTTTCTCCCTTTCCCTTCCTCTCTCTCTAAAAATCAATGGAAGGAAGGAAGGAAGGAAGGAAGGAAGGAAGGAAGGAAGGAAGGAAGGAAGGAAGGAAAGGAAAGGTTTCTTTTAAAGATCACGCCACTACAATACAGACTGATGATCTATGAGGGAGTGATATGTGTTGGTGATGGTTAAGAGCAGCAGCCTGGTGATTTCACACTGGCCCAACCAATGTGCTACATGAAGGCCGAGGTGGATGGCGACAGTCCCTACAGTACTGTCATGGCCCATCTGAAAACATTGTAATGGTTCAGTCTTTCATATATCCTGTTTTATAAGATACTTCTCATAACTATGCTCTTTTGGAATTAACATATCGAAACTTTAGGATAGTGTTAATCCAGAAATAAAGACTCTGATACTGCATATAAATAATCATCTATAAATTGAAGCACATAAATACAATGGCATGTTACACAATCATTAAAAAGAGTCACACAGATCTGTTTACCAACAGGGAAAGATAACTGCAATATACTGTTGAGGGTAAAAAGCAAGCCCTTGAACAACATATATTGTATTATATTATTTCCAGTAAAAGTGTATACAACAAATTTACAGTCTTAGAGAAATGTCGAAGAGGAAGTTCACCCAAATGTTGGAAATGGTTATTTCTGAGTTATAAGAGTTTTCTTTTTTCTTTGTTTTTTTGTTTTTGTTTTTGTTTTAGGTGAAATTGTAACATAAGTATCACTTTTATTTTAAAAAGTTAAATGCTACAGACATCAAAATTACTATTAACTACAGAATAACCATCATTCAGAACCACCTGAAATCAAGCCGAATGGAAGTCCTACAGCTATGAAATTAAAGAAGTCACATCAAGACTGGTAGGAGTTGGGAGGAGGGTGTCTGGGGCAGAGGGGAACATTGATAACAAAAATAAATTAATAAAAATTAAAAAAAAAAAAAGACTAGTAGGAGGGGCAGAGGTGAGGACAGGCTGGGCCCACACCCACGTGTGGCAGATAAAAATCAGGAGGACGCCTCAGCTGGGAAGGTCTTCCCTGAGGAGTGAGGGGTCCGTGTCCCACACCAGGGCCCCAGCTCAGGGTCCCAGTACAAGGAAGAGAAGTCCCCATAACTTCTGGCTGTAAAAACCAGCAAGAACTGAGGCTGAGTGAGGCTGAGGCTGCTGGAGTCCCAGGCTGTTCCTCAGACTTACTCGGACCCACTCCCTTCAGGCTCCAGCATGGGGGAGGCAGCTTTAAAGGCACCAGAGACATACGGGGAAGAACTGAGTTGTTTGGCACTGGGGCGAGGGCTGGAGAGGGGGCTTTCTCCGGGACACATGCACTCTCAGAGGCCTTTGTTCCTTTGGTGAGCCCTTCCCTGGGGCGGCAGACAGCCATCATATCTGGGCCTCCAGCAACCTGGCTCACACTGGTAGCCCCACCCTGGTGACTCCCTGAGGCCCCGCCCCGCCCCACCCAACTTTCAGGCCCACCCAAGCTTTTTCCAGTGGCTTTACCATAGGATTGGCCTGTCTTGGATCCTGCTTCAGAGTTTCCTAAATTCTCTCAAACAGCATCTGGCCTCAGTGGGCCCCATACCTCTCGCTAAGTGGCCCCAGGCCCAGCACTAGAAACAGCCAGCCTTGGTTCACAGCGTGGCTTTGCCTGGGCACCTCCAAGCCCAGCACAAGAAGCAGCCATCTGCAGGTCACTCTGTAGCTTATGCCTGGGGGCTCCAGGTAGAACACAGGTAGCAGCTGACCTTGCCCCAGAGCCAGCACACCCAGTAAACCACTTCAGACCACACTGAAGCACCACCATCCAACCACATCCACGAGCAACACATTCAAGGAGTGGACTCAGTGGGTACCAGAACCCTGCTGAAGGAAGTCTTGCTCTGTGTGGTAGGCCCCTGCACAGCTGATCCTCCAAGGTAGTCAGAGGTCAGTGGGCACAGCCAGTCCTTGCAGCTGATCAGCCTGAGTAAATCCCTGCCATTAATGTGCCAATAGCAATCAAGACCCAATTACAACTGAAGAGTGAACAGTCCACACGAGTGGTGCACCTTGAGGGCCCAGCTAGAGTGATGGGGAGGCTGTGCCACTGGATCCTAGGGGACACCTACTACAATAGGCCACCCTAGGAAGCCTAGGAGACACAGCAACTCTACCTAATACATAGAATCAAACACAGGGAGACAGCCAAACTGAGGAGACAAAGAAACATGTCCCAAAGGGAAGAACAGAACAAAACTCCAGGAAAAGAACTAAACAAAATGGAGATAAGCAATCTCACAGATGCAGAGTTCAAAACACTGCTTATAAGAATGCTAAAAGAATTTAGTGAGAATTTCGAGGAACTTAGTGAGGACCTCAAGAACATAAAAAAGGACTAGTCAGAAATGAAGGGTGCAGGTAAATAAGAATAATCTGCAGGGAATCAATAGTAGAGTAGGTGAAGCCGAGAAGCAAACCATCAGTTTGGAATACAAGGAAGTGAAAATCACCCAATCAGAACAAAGAAACCAAAGAAATGAGGAGAGTTTAAGGATCTTCTGAGACAACTTCAAGCATACCAAAATCTGCATCATGGGGGTGCCAGAAAAAGAAGAGAGACAGCAACAAATTGAAAACTTATTTTAAAAAGTAATGACAGAGCCCTGGCCGGTTCGGCTCAGTGATTAGAGCGTCTGCCTGCGGTCCTGAGAGACCCGGGTTCGGTTCCCGCTAAGGGCATGTGCCTCGGTTGCAGTTTGTCCCCGGCCCTGGTCGGTCGTGCGGGTGGCAGCCACTTGATGTGTTCCTTTCACATCGATGTTTCTCTCTCTCCCTCCCACTCTACCTGAACAAGAAAAACAAAAAAAAAAAGGGAAAATGTCCTCGGGTGAGGATAAAAAAAAAAAAAGTAATGACAGAAAACTTCCCTAACTTGGTAAAAGAAACAGACATACAAGTTCAGGAAGCACAGAGATGAACCCAGAGGCCCACACCAAGACACACCATCATCATCAAAATGTAAAAGGTTAAAGACAGAGAGAATCTTAAAAGCAGCAAGAGAAAAGCAGTTCGTTACCTACAAAGGAGCTCCCATAAGACTGTCAGCCGATTTCTCAAAAGAAACTTTGCAGGCCAGAAGGGAGTGGCAAGAGATATTCCAAGTGATGGAAAGCAAGGACCTATAACCAAGATTACTCTATCCTGCAAAGCTATCACTTAGAATCAATGGGCATATAAAGAGTTTCCCAGACAAGAAAAAGCTAAAGGAGTTCATCACCACCAAACCAGTAGTATATGAAATGTTGATGGGTCTTCTTGAAGAAGGAGGACAAAAATATGAACAATAAAATGGCAATAAATACATATCTATCAGTAATTGAATCTATAAGTAAAATGAACACGCAGAACAGAAACAGACTCATAGATACATAGAACTTTTTATTGGTTGCCAGATGGGAGGTGGTTGGGAGGATGGATGAAAAAGATGAAGGGATTAAGAAGTATAAATTGGTTATTAGACTGACCACAAAGGGAAGAGGGGAGAGGAGTGGGAAGAGATAAACCAAAGAATTTATATGCCTATATGCACAACAAACGGATACGGACAATTTTGTGGGGAAGGCAAGAGTGGGGTGGGAGTGGGGAGGAGGGACGAAAAAAGGGGGAACATCTCTAATATATTCAATAATAAAGATAAGTTTAAAAATAAATAAATAAAATACATGCTATGGAAATGTATCTACTAATATAAAAATATTTTGTAACATTTTTATAAAATGTTATTATTTTTTAAAAGTACACAAAAGTGCACAGCCAGTGTGGCTCAGTGGACTGAGCATCATCCCATGGACTGAGAGGTCCCGGTTCAATTCCCAGTAAGTTACATGCCTGGGTTTCAGGTTAGATCCCAGTAGGGGCCGTGCAAGAGGCAGCCGATGGATGTATCTCTCTCCCATAGATGTTTCTCTCTCTCTCTCCCTTCCTCTCTCTCTAAAAATATCAATTAAAAAAATAAAAGTACACAAAAGTATAATCTATACTCCCAATATTGTAAAATGAAACAAATTTATTTACTTAAATATATTTATTTTATATAATATACATACACACACACACACACACACACATAAAAGGACAGGGACTGGCTACTAAGTAATTAACTTTGAACAAAATAGTGAATGCTACAAATGTTCTTTTTGCTTATCTCAAACTTCTGGTTTTTCTGTGAACCATACATATTGCTTTCTATCTGTTAAAAAAATAAAAAGAACTTCAGAAAGGGGAATGCACTAAACAAGTATAGGTAGCAAATCTCAAACATAAGAAAATAAATCCATAGGAAAAAAAGGTGTTATTGAAAGTAATGTAAAGGCAGGTTGAAGGAGGTGCCCCCCCACTTAATTTATCATTTTTTTCCATTTTTATTAATTTATTTTTGTTTCAGATGTTTCTCCTTTTTCCTCCCCTCCTCCCCATCCCGACCCCCCACCCCACCCCCAGTATTGTTGTCCATGTCCACTGGTTATGCATACATGCGTATGAGTTCTTCAATTTGTCATTTTAGACAGACTCCGTACACATGTAACAGGCTCACCTGTCTTCAATGCAGTGTCAACGTAGCCCTCATAGAGCTGCCTCTGAGCGAGTATGAAGAAGTGGTAGGCCTCGGCCCCTCTCCAGGCGTTGTCTGTGAACCGACTAGCTGTGGACAGAACCTCTTCTTGCAGCAGACCAGCCAGAGCAGACGTGGCCTACAAGCGAAGCGGATCACGATCCCTGTCACCACAGCCCTAACCTCTGCCTTCCAATGAAGACGACTTCTGAAATCGCTACATTAAAGTATCTAAATGAGCAGATTTCATCATTACGAAACTGTCACTACAGACTTAATTTCTTCATTACAATTCATGTTCTATCAAACTGGTATGATCAAATTTTCTTCTGCTTTATTGAGGTATAATTGACAAATAAATGTGAGATATTTAAAGTATATATTGCGGTGATTTGCAATATGTCTACATTGTGAAAGGACTGATCAAAGTTAAAACAGAATTGATTAAACTTTAATAAGTGATTCATTTGCCTATTAAAATAATATACATAATCTAGGGAAATTTTCTGAACTCACAGATTAGACAGGATTAACGAAGTAAGGAATTAAAGCAAAGGCTATAGATTAGTCTTGCAGAAAGAATAGTTTTCAATATTTCCAAACAGAAATTTCTAAAATTTGAATATTAGTTCCAAATCAGTCATTCCTTTTCCTCATGTCATTTAAGAAAATAAATGCAAATAAGCAAATGAAATGGCCTGTTCAAAAAAAGAAGTTTGCTTTTTTCCTTAAACACTTCAGATGAGCTAATCTTATTTGATGGTCGACCTTACCTCTGAACTCTTCCCTTTAACCTGTCCTCGCTGGGCATTTTTCATCTGCTCGTGGTACTGCTCAGTAAGTAGAGCTGACAGCACATAGAGCTTCTTGACACGTAAAGGTTTAGTTCTCTTCTTTGCCTCTTCATCTGCAATCTTTAAACATTTAAAGAATTGGAGGAAGATATTGCTTAATCCATATTTGTACAGGTATAATCATCTCTCAACTCAATTCTTTAAAAATCAGGAGGAAAGTCAGTAGGGTGGAATGTAAATATCCCTCATTTATGATAATTATTTTATTTTTTTATTTTTTATCCTCACCCAAGGACGTTTTTGCATTTATCCTCTGATAGAGCAGGATGGACAGAGGGAGGAAGAGAGAGAGAGAAACATCTATGTGAGAGAGACACATCGAGTGGTTGCCACCCACACGACCCCAACCAGGGCCGGGGACAAAATGCAACCAAGTTACATGCCTTTAGCGGGAACTGAACCCAGGGCCTCTGGTCTGCGGGCCGACACTCCAACCCTGGAGCCAAACCAGCCAGGGCTATGTTAAACATTTTAAAACCCACTTTCTTTTCCTTAGTACTGATAAGAACTTAGTTCTTTCTTAGTGTTTAGCCCTTGGAATTAGAACTTATAACAGTCTCAGAAAATAACAGATCCTGTCATAAGTCAGAATGAAGAAAGTTTTCTTGGAATAAGTAGTATTTCCCCTAACAAAGAGATTTTTTAAATAATTGCCCTGGCCGGTTTCACTCAGCGGTTAGAGCGTCGGTGCACGGACCAGGGAGACCAGGGTTCGGTTCCCACTAAGGGCACGTACCTTGGTTGCAGTTTGTCCCCAGCCCTGATTGGGGTCATGTGGGTGGCAGCCACTTGATGTGTCTCTCTCACATTGATGTTTCTCTCTCTCTCTTCCTCCCTCTCTCCCTCCCACTCTATCTGAAGATAAATGCAAAAATGTCCTCGGGTGAGGATAAAAAATAAAATAATAATAATAATAATAATATTCTAAGTACACAGAGATAAAATGGCTTTAACATGTACATCCTTCAGAAATTTTTATTTTTTTAAATAGTTCTGAGGGCAATTTTCAAGTCTTTTTGTTGTTTTTATTTTTTTTTTCTTTATTGATTTTAGAGAGGAAGGGAGAGGGAGAGAGAGATAGAAACATTGATGAGAGAGAACATCGGTTGGCCTCCTCCTGCTTGCCCCCCACTGGGGATTTGGCCCATAACCTGGGCATGTGCCCGGACCGGGAATCGAACCAGTGACCTCTTGGTGCATGGGTCGACGACACTCAACCACTGAGCCACACCAGCTGGCCTAAATTTTCAGTTTTTCATGAAAGCAACTGGGGAGTGTAAATTTGCATACACAAACACAGTCCTAGTCACTTCCTGCCAAGGGTAAATGATGAGAAGGATGATGTCTTTAAAACCTGTGCATTTAAAAGGACTCAAAATACAATTATCAACAGGACTCAATTCCCGGTTAAGGGAATTTGTACTTCATGGTCCCTAAAATTCTATAGTTCTCTAATGTCAGTATTAAGTAAACACATGATTGTGTAGATATCAGTTAGGTGCTAATATTAATAAATAGCCTTGTTAGTAAAGGTAATACTACTAAGATAACACAGTTATAGTAGTAGTAAAACCAGAGGCATTTTGCTATAATAAATACTTCTTTCCAAACAAAATGAAGAATGTATTCATTAATATCTAAGAAAACACTGGCAATTAGAATAAACCAAATGTTCACCAACTGTATTACATACCTTAAACATCAGTTTAGCAGCATCATAAAAGTAATTGGCTTTCCGATAGAGTTCTATGGCATCAAGAATTTTATTCTTTTCCAATAAATGAGCTGCATACCTCGCTAACAGGGATCCAATTTCTTTCATACTATGATTTTTAGCCAATTCAACCGCTTTGTTCCACTAGGAGAAAAAATATACCATTCAGTTACCCCAGCATTTATAGTCATGTATGTCATAGAATCCACACAATAAAGCCTTAAGTTTATAATAATATCACTATATTAAAATTAAAAACTGGTATATGTTTTTAAAAATCACTAAAATCAAAACAATTATAAGTTTTATAAGTTAAACGTTTATCAAAATGATTAAATGATCTAAGACTTTTCTCTGCTTAAAAAATACATCTGTAAAGAAAAGCTTCAAAGTATGTGATATTAATCTTAAAATTAAAATTCTGCACAAAATATAAGAGAGAAAGATAAGTTTATAGTAAAACAAAATGTGTGATTTCAATTAAGGATATATCCTATTAAACATTTAAAAATTATTTTTATAAAGCAAATGCAGCTTTATAAAATACTTTAAGAAAATGCTAAAAAGAATGCAGTGATAGTCAGCAATTTCAACAATTCTGCAGTTCAATTTTAAATTCCAGCTCTTAAAAATATAAAGTATACATTTTCTTTACAGGGGAAATAATATAGATTTGCCAAAATAAATATGGATAAAGTAACTTAATTCTTTCCTCTTGCAATGATCATTACCTGGTCCTTCTTTAGAAGCAAAACCCAAACTTAATAAAATGCAGAAAATTATGAAATTACTTCCAGACAAAATCTTGCCAGATCAAAAGTACAGGGTTAGTTCATGTTCCCACACTGAGTTAGTTATGGCTGGGTCACCCCTAACGGTGGCACTTCAAGAAGTGAGGGAACGCCAACATGTTCTCAGTCCTCAACTAAGTAAGAAGCTACCTGTCTCCTTTCACAAAATTCATCTGGAGCCCTCCAACCTTATGTTGGCAACAGTCTGTAAAGGATGTTGGCAATAGTCTGTATAGGCTATGGCGACGTTGATTTTCAGTTCCTTACTTGGTTGAGATGTACACAAGTATCTACTGCTGCCTTTGGTTGGTTACATTTCAAAAATGCCGTCACTGCTTGCTCACACATTCCAACTCTCACAAACATCTGCGCTATTTCCTGTGAGGACAAAACAATGCTATCAGATTTCACAGACCGAGGAAATCAGTTACATTTTAATGTACAAAACTCCATCGGGACATGTTGCAGTTAAAATGATCGGAGACGTGAAGAAAGCACCAGCAGGCAAGATGCATTCAAGATGATCGGAGGGCTACAGCTCTCTCCGGCATGTAGCAATAATTTCACGATCACCATGGCTTTTGTTACAATGCTTAACAATTGCATCTGCAGAGTATGTGAGTAACTACATGCACACAAACGATGCTTGGTAAGCAGTGACCAACTCTATCTTAATATCTAACCTTCAAGATTTATGGTTTGTTTCCTCTATAGCAGAAACACAATGGACCTCATGAACCTTTGAGACAGACAGTTCCAAGAATTTGTTTCAGGAACTGCTTGCAGTTCCTTGACCTGCATGACTCGCTTGCAAGACCACACAGAAAACTCGTCCTTGGCTGTCCTCCAGTCCTTAAGGATCCATCAGGGAACATGCGAGTATTAAATGTACTGGTGGTTACAATACTTTTGCATTTAAACAGCCAGAGGGCCAGAGCGGATGCTAAGGCATCACCTTCTGTAAACCTGGTGCTTCACCCGGTTCCTGCCGGGGATCTGGGTTTTAACCAGGACCTGAGGATACCGACTTGACTTTCTCAGTTTAGAAGCTGGTTTACAGAAATATCACGCTCTAAAACTACCCACAGTAGTGGGTAAGAAAAATCTTTCAGGCATAGATGGTATAATCAAAAGTAATTGTTCATTTGTGGCTTAAGGGAAATCTCATTCACAGAGCTCCCTGATATCTCTATAAAGAATGCCCCAGCCCTGGCGGGTTTGGCTCAGTGGTGAGAGCGTCGGCCTGTGGTCCAGAGAGACTTGGGTTCGGTTCCCACTAAGGGCATGTACCTCGGTTGCAGTTTGTCCCCGGCCCTGGTTGGGTTGTGTGGGTGGAAGCCACTCGATGTGTCCCTTTCACTTCGATGTTTCTCTCTCTCTCTTCCTCTCTCTCCCTCCCACTCTATCTGAACAAAAAATGGAAAAATGTCCTCAGGTGAGGATTAAATAAAAAAGAAAGAATGCCCCAGACAGCCCTGGCCTGTTTGGCTCAGCGGTTAGAGCATTGACCCGCAGACCAAAGAGTCTCGGGTTCAATTCTAGCCAAGGGCACGTATCTCGGTTCAGGTTTGTCCCTGGCCCTGGTCCGGGTTGTGCGGGAGGCAACCAAATGATGTGTCTCTCTCACACCAATGTTTCTCTCCCACCCCACCCCCCACCTTCCACTCTATCTAGAGATAAATGGAAAAAGTATCCTCGGGTGAGGATAAAAAAAAAAAAAAAAAAAAATGCCCCAGACAAGCAAGCTGGCCATTCATCAGTCAGGACGCTAGACAGGAAACAGCCCCCTCAGAGGGCGGTGGCAGGAGACAGAAACGCAACGAGAACCCATCATGCCCACTGGGCGGGACTTCCCATTTCCAGAATACCATTGTCTTTCCTCCTGAATGTCTAATTGGCCAGAGTTTTTCTCTCTCCCTACCTCTACTTTTAAAATATTTTGAGAAATATAAAAGTATATTTTATATCCAACTATCTTTTTAAAAGTAATGCTTATATTTTTCTGATTATAAAATAATACATTCTTATGGTAAGAAAAATTTAAAAATCCAAAAACATGGTTACACATAATCTCATTACGCACAGACCTCTCTCAACAGTCTGCTGTGGTCCCTGACGGCTCTGTCCTCTGAACACAGACGTGCTGGGGTGCTGCATGCATTGTGATCACACAGCGCAGGGTGGCACAGACTGTGGGGGTGCTGCACGCATAGTGATCACACAGCGCAGGGTGGCACAAACGTGCGGGGGTGCTGCACGCATTGTGACCACACAGCGCAGGGTGGCACAGACGTGCGGGGGTGCTGCACGCATTGTGACCACACAGCGCAGGGTGGCACAGACGTGCGGGGGTGCTGCACGCATTGTGACCACACAGCGCAGGGTGGCACAGACGTGCGGGGGTGCTGCACGCATTGTGATCACACAGCGCAGGGTGGCACAGACGTGCGGGGGTGCTGCACGCATTGTGACTACACAGCGCAGGGTGGCACAGACGTGCGGGGGTGCTGCACGCATTGTGATCACACTGTGCAGGGTGGCACAGACGTGTGGGGGTGCTGCACGCATTGTGATCACACAGCGCAGGGTGGCACAGACGTGCGGGGGTGCTGCACGCATTGTGACCACACAGCGCAGGGTGGCACAGACGTGCGGGGGTGCAGCACGCATTGTGACCACACAGCGCAGGGTGGCACAGACGTGCGGGGGTGCAGCACGCATTGTGACCACACTGCGCAGGGTGGCACAGACGTGCGGGGGTGCAGCACGCATTGTGATCACACAGCGCAGGGTGGCACAGACGTGCGGGGGTGCAGCACGCATTGTGATCACACAGCGCAGGGTGGCACAGACGTGCGGGGGTGCAGCACGCATTGTGACCACACAGCGCAGGGTGGCACAGACGTGCGGGGGTGCTGCACGCATTGTGATCACACTGCGCAGGATGGCACAGACGTGCGGGGGTGCTGCACGCATTGTGATCACACAGCGCAGGGTGGCACAGACGTGCGGGGGTGCTGCACGCATTGTGATCACACTGCGCAGGGTGGCACAGACGTGCGGGGATGCTGCACGCATTGTGATCACACAGCGCAGGATGGCACAGACGTGCGGGGGTGCTGCACGCATTGTGATCACACAGCGCAGGATGGCACAGACGTGCGGGGGTGCTGCACGCATTGTGATCACACTGCGCAGGGTGGCACAGACGTGCGGGGGTGCTGCACGCATTGTGATCACACTGCGCAGGATGGCACAGACGTGCGGGGGTGCAGCACGCATTGTGATCACACTGAGCAGGGTGGCACAGACGTGCGGGGGTGCAGCACGCATTGTGATCACACTGTGCAGGGTGGCACAGACGTGCGGGGGTGCTGCACGCATTGTGATCACACAGCGCAGGGTGGCACAGACGTGCAGGGGTGCTGCACGCATTGTGATCACACAGCGCAGGGTGGCACAGACGTGCGGGGGTGCTGCACGCATTGTGATCACACAGCGCAGGGTGGCACAGACGTGCGGGGGTGCTGCACGCATTGTGCACGCACTGTGATCACACCGCGCAGGGTGGCACAGACGTGCGGGGGTGCTGCACGCATTGTGTACGCACTGTGATCACACCGCGCAGGGTGGCACAGACGTGCGGGGGTGCTGCACGCACTGTGATCACACTGCGCAGGGTGGGGCAAATGTAGGTTTGCAGCTGAGGGCCTGAAATGGCTTATTCTTGTATTATTATTTAGTAATTACTGTCTTATTTTCCATACGAACAGCGGTAAGCCTACTTTTGCCAATCCTGTATACAGCTTTGTATCCTGCATTTCCCACTTAAATAGTATGTACAGCCCTGGCCGGTTTGGCTCAGCGGTTAGAGCGTCGGCCTGCGGTCCTGAGAGCCCCGGGTTCGGTTCCCGCTAAGGGCACGTACCTCGGTTGCAGTTTGTCTCCGGCCCTGGTTGGTCGTGCGGGTGGCAGCCACTCAATGTGTCCCTTTCACATCGATGTTTCTCTCTCTCTTCCTCTCTCCCCCTCCCACTCTACCTGAACAAAAAATGGAAAAATGTCCTCAGGTGAGGATAAATAAATAAATAAATAAATAGTATGTACATTTTAGCATATTATTAAAAACTGCTTCAAAACTTGATTTAAAATGTACTGTGCTATTTTAAATGTTTACCTACTAGTATAGCTATAAGTGCTTGGTATTTACCAGTAACATCACTATTCTGGGTGCCCTACAGTCACACCTTCTTTCTGCATCATCAATACGCTAACAGACGACAGGCATGTGGGCGACGCTGTCCCTACTCCCCGGGTTGTACGTGATTCCCATTTCCTTCCCACCCCAGAAAACACACAGCACTGAGAACAAGGGTGTGTAAAATGCCGTTCTCACAGGGACAAGTGCTCTAATTAACAGGAGAGAAAACTGAATTTTCAGAATTCTATACTCATCTATCAACAGATACCATTCTTGTGGCAGAACTCACCACTGATACCTTCCAGACCCTGCAGTTGACAGCTGCGAACTCCATGGGTATTATTCAGCTCAGAGATTTACATTTTAGATAAAACAAGTGAAATACAAACTCATTAACATCATTCAACAGTTAAAGACACTTAAAAAGAATCAATCAAGTTCCAGATAACTCTGCTTTCAGTTTCTCTTTTTCACATGAATCCTTCATTATGAACATAAACAAATAAAAGTCAAGCTATCTTTTTAAATTTTCATTATAACAAATTTCAAACACACACACACTAATCACCAGACCCAACATGGATTATTTGGAAGCAAATCTCTGACAACACACCATTTCATCTGTAAATGTGTCATGTGTTCAGCTAACTTTTAAAAACAATTTTATAAAACTGATAAGACTGCACAAAACTGTGATCATGTTAAAGTCACAGGAGTATGATTAATTTTCCCTCTATTTTCAAGTATTCTGTAATACTGATGTAGTGTTTTAACAATTAAAGGCATCATGCCACATCTAAGAAACTGTAAGATTATTGATCAACTTAAATGTTCCTTGTTACAGAGGATATTTCCTGACTATAACATAAAAACTTTGTAAAGTACACTAACAACTTCAACAACTAAAATTTCTACCTACTGGAAGCAACTTGTGGTTTTCTGGAAGGGAACCGGCAAGATTCTCCAATCCCTCATAATCTTCTAACATATAGTAACACTCAGCTAAGCGCTCCTGGTTTTGGCCTTGTACATAATATTGTACAGCACTGAACCTATGGGAGACAAAAATAGAAAAAAGAAGATTTTAAAGCTGATGTGAATCTCCCGATTTACAACACTTTCACCAACAATGTTCCTTCATTAGAATTACTAGTGCTACTCTAGTGGACATCTTCCGTTACAAAATGTCTTTGAAGCATATAAATTGGGAGGGGAGGGGGATCTAAAACTGTGAAGCATATTTTAATGACAATGTTCTTTGAATACTCTTAATATTGTTTTAATCTGATACACAGTAGTACTTCCAAACACTGACATAAAGAAAAAAGCATATTGCCCTGGCCGGTTTGGCTCAGCGGTTGGAGTGTTGGCCTGCGGACCAGAGAGTCCCGGATTCAGTTCCCGCTAGGGGCACGTACCAAAAAAAGAAAAGAAAAGAGCATATTGATCAAAGTGAAAATTTAAGAATAAAATAATCTACAATAGCAAAATAAGCCAACATAAAATACTGTTTTTACTTTTCGGAAATAAGTCATGGGACGGCTTAGAATTGCACACTGTGGTCTCCACAGGAAAAAGCTGCTTGGAGCTAAGAACAAGTTCTGTGAGTGTGGAAACTCCCAAGTTGTACAGGGCTCATCTAACAACGTTAAGCATCTTGTGCTCCCCATCGTGAATCCAGAGCTACTTGAAGTTCAGGGTCCAGGAAGATGGTCTTCATTTCCCGACATTATTCCACAGCCAGTATGCATTTCTTGTGCTGGTGACTGGATATGGGTCCAGACAGGTTACTCACCACTTCTGTCTGTCAGCAAAGTAGTCTCCAATGGCATTGTGGGCTTGCTCAAGGAGACTGTCATCTGCATCACCGGATCCGGTTTTCAGGAGTTGGAGTACTCTAAACCAATCTCCCAATTTCAGCCGGAGGCCAATAGCAAGATCTCTGCAAAGGAATTCATTCATTCATTCATTCATTCATTCATTCACTTAACAAATATTTATCAAGTGCCTAGTATGTGCTAGGTCCAATTCTAGGGTTCTGAGAATACACAGCAATGAAAAGACAGACAAGGCAGTCCTCCGAACACTTTAGAAACTTATGACCAGGTAAGAAGCAATGGAGAGAACCCGGAGTAGGGAAATTATAAAACAATTTTGCTGGACTTCCAATTTCCTCAGCAAAATAAAGACTGAAACAATAGTCACTTCTTTTCACCAATTTCTTAGACATGAGCAGGCTTATTTAAAAACCAAACATATAAAAAATGTTTGGTTTTGTCTTTCTTTTCAGGGCTTAAGTTGTAGTAAGGATCTCACAATATTAATCAAAATTAGACATAATGTTTACAGCTGAAATGAAGTCCATACATTATTTTATATAAATCTAAAATAAAATGTAAAGAATAAAACTCAATCCCTAAATACATTTGATTTTTATTTCATGCTCCTTGACCACAGTAAATTAAATAATGGCCTAAACCCAAATAGTGAACTAAGTAATAAATGGCAAAAGCCCCCCAAGTCTCTGAACTCATATGATTATTTTTCCAACCAACTGAAACAAACCTCCCATGGCCAGCTATTCCTACGCGTGAAAACTGAGAAGCATCCCCGAATTATAAACCAGTTAACGAGGAGCATGTGGAATACCTAGGTTGTAATGCAAACTGAAATTATTCTCTAAAAGAAATGGTGCGATACAGTTGGTCTGTTTCACGTGCCTCATTCATAAAGAAATCACAACTCTGGAAGTACTCCGGGGGCCTGCACCGTGGCACTGACCTTCTGTCCATATCCAGATACATCCGTTCAGCCTCCTCGAACCTGCCGAAGTAGGCCATGACCTCTGCCTGCTGCATGGCCTCGCTCTGCAGCCTGCCCAGGCGCTTGGCGAACTTGATGCCCTGGTAGTCTTTGCAGCGCACGAAGGCCTGCTCCGCGGCGTCCAGGTCCAGTTTCTGCAGAGCTGCTTCCGCCAGGAGGCGCCTTCGTGAAACAGGCGGAAAAGTTTACTGCAAATGACTGGGCAGCAAGTCTTATTTTTTTTATCCTCACCTGAGGACACTTTTCCATTTTTTGCTCAGATAAAGTGGGAGGGAGAGAGAGAGAGAGAGAGAGAAACATCGAGGTGAAAGAGACACATCGAGTAGCCGCCACCCGCACGACCAACCAGGGCTGGAGACAAACTGCAACCGAGGAACATGCCCTTAACGGGAACCGAACCCAGGTCTCTCTGGACCGCAGCCCAACGCGCTTACCGCTGAGCCAAACTGGCCAGGGCTAAGCAGCAAGTCTTGACCAAGAATTATTTGATTATTGTAACTATGATTTCCAGGTGGAAAGTGATTATTCTAACACATTTTTATACATGTTCCATTTCATATTATGCTTATTTTGAGTTCTTCCAAATCTAAAATGAATTTCTCTATCTTAAAAAGAAGAGTAAGAGGCCCTGGCCGGCTTGGCTCAGCGGTTAGAGCGTCGGCCTGCGGTCCAGAGAGACTGGGGTTCGGTTCCCACTAAGGGCATGTACTTCGGTTGCAGTTTGTCCCCGGCCCTGGTTGGGGTTGTGCGGGTGGCAGCCACTCGATGTGTCCCTTTCACGACGATGTTTCTCCCTCTCTCACTTCCTCTCTCTCCCTCCTGCTCTATCTGAATAAAAAATGGAAAAATGTCCTGGGGTGAGGATTAAAAAATAAGAAGAGTAAGAGGCGGGGGTCAGTGGGGGCGGGGGAACATCTCTAATACTTTCAACAATAAAGATGTAAAAAGAAGAAGAGCGGGAACAGGAAGTCCATCCCTATGAAGGCCAGAGAGAGGGACCACAGAGCTGAGGCTTCCAAAGCATCCTCCAGTCACTTGGGGAGGAGTCTCCACTTCTACGTACCAAAGCCGGGGGTGTGGATTGTCCTCTACGAACTGAGATGCATCTTCAATTCCAACCTTCTCAATCAGTGCTCGGCTATCTCGCAGGGACCGGATCTCAAAGTTCATTATGTAATCCTTGTTGGGATGTTCTGGATTCTAAAAGTGAAGGTGAAAAGAAAGGAATTCAAAAAGTTGTCTTTGGAGGATATGTTTTGTTTTTACAGTTTAACAAAAAACTGCATCATATTATAAGCAAAACTTGGAAGCAGAGAGTCCCATGCATGGGTCGCTGGAGTCACCTGGAGAACACCCTCCTGAGCCTCTCCGGCTGCCTGCGGGGAAGAGGGGGCCGTGGTAGAAGGGGACCCTTTCTAGAAGGGGAACTCGGTGGCCTTGTTTCCCTCGGCTCAAATGGCCTATTCCCAGGCTTCTCGTCGAAGCGCGGGGCCCCCAGGAAAGCAGGGAGCATGGCCGCAGGGCCTCGCCGCACCCTCAGCCTCCCTCTGGCCTTGGCAATGAGGCGGGTGCTCCGCGTGATGCCGAGCAGCAGGCAAACGGAAGGAAAGGAGCTGCTGTTCACCACTTTTCTTGGTAATTTCGTAGGCTGACAAGAGACTGAAGGCCTGCCTTGCAGGAAAGAGCCAACGGCCAAAGAAAGGAAACAAGTGGTTATGATGAACTCAGCAACATTCTACACATTCTACAACATTCCAAGTAACAAAAAGTGAAGCACACGAGGAAGTCAGAGCCCCCAGGTGGAAAGAGCAGTGGCTCCCAGAGACCAGAGTTCTCCATGAAGGTGAGCTGAGCCACACGGACGCCGCTCACCCCGCCACCACACTGCTGAACCTAGAAACTGGAGTTCTTAGGGGACTCCCAGGCACAGAGGAGGAAGTGGCGTGACAAGAGCATGACGTGGGATTCAATCAGACCCAGGCTCAAACCCTAATTCCACTGCTTTCTGGCTATGTGGCAACTCTTCCAGAACCTGCCCCACACCCTTCCCTCCCTACCAAAAAAGCCAAAACCATCTTCCCAAAATAGAAACCATGACACATCACTCTCCTGCTTTACTGTCCCACTGACTCCAGGATGAAGTCCAAACTCCACAGCAAAGCATCGGAGATCCCTTGTGACCTGGGACCCCTCCCCATTCCCTCTTCCCTTCCTCATGTCTGCCAGTTTCAAACACCAGCTTTGAAGCCAGACATCTTGGAGTCAAACCACGTCTTTGCCTAACAGGGTATCACTGGCAAATTAGTTTCCTCTCCAATCCTCGGATTCTTCATCTGAACAAATGGAGATAATAATCAAACTTACTTCCTTGAGTTATGAGGATAAAATGAGATAACATATATCAAATATTTAGCACAACGCCTGGCTGTGCTGCTCACATTGTTCAGTCTCAGAACTGACCCAACACCGTCTTGCTTCAAGACCTTTGAAGAGTGACACCTGCTGGCCAATCCACAGCATGCCCAACCCTTTCCTGGTTGCTGCATTTCTTGTCTACCTTCCCAACTCCTGTATCTGAGGCCAGGAACTATAGCTTACTGTCAATAAACATTTGCTGAGTCAATGAACAGTTACTTTTGGGGTAAATCTTTTAGCCTTCCTCATCTAGATCTGGCAACAGCCCAGGTGTCCATCAGCAGATGAGTGGATAAAAAAACTGTGGTACATGTACACAATGGAACATTATGCGGACATAAGAAAGAAAGATCTCTTATCCTTCTAGACGACATGGAGGGACCTGGAGAGTATTATGCTAAGCAAAATAAGCCAATCAGAGAAAGACAGGTATCACATGGCCTCACTTATTTGTGGAACATAATAAACAAAATAAGCTGATGAACAAAATAGACCCAGAGACACAGAAGTAGGGTTCAGACTGACAAATCTTAGAGGGGGGGTAGATAAACCAAGGAACTTATGCATATAATCATAACCAATGGACATAGAAACAATGCTGTGGGGGGGGGGGTGTGGGAGGGATCAGGAGGAGGGTGTCAATGGGCGAAATAGGAGAAATATCTGTAACAAAAATAAATTAATTAAAATTTTAAAAAATCATATCTGAGGCATGATTGCAATCTAGGATTATATAATCTCCAAATGTGAGCCTTGGGCTTTTCTCTATGTGGAGAACACTTCTGCAAAAAGTAGAGAAAGGCCTGTCCCTGTTAAGGTATTAGAATTGTGAAAGAACTGAACTTGTTTCATCCGCAGTTAAAAAGTAAATGCTTTGCCTGGCTGGTGTGGCTCAGTTGTTGAGCATCGACCCACGCACCAAGAGGTCACCAGTTCGATTCCCGATCAGGGCACAGATCCCCAGTGGGAGGCATGCAGGAGGCGGCCAATCAATGTTCTAGCTCATTGATGTTTCTATCTCTCTCTCCCTCTCCCTTTCTCTCTCTCTAAAATCAATAAAGGAAAAAAAAATTTTTTTAAGTAAGTGCTTTGGATAAAATAAAGCTAAAACTGCATTCAGTATAATCTTAGAGAAAAAAAAACTCTCAAAAGATGGTTAATGAAGGCCAAAATAGGAGTTCAAAAAGATACCTGGAACCAGAAATAAAAGTTACTCAAGCATCCTAGAACTAGAAAAAGACTAGAGTAAATTGACAAATTTTTCTTCAGTAACTCTCCATTATTAATGGAAAAACAGTAACAATTAGCTATCATTTTTGAGCTCTTGGTACTAGCACTGTGCTAAGTGCTTTTCACACCTTATAAAAAGTTAATCCTGTAACTTTATCATTATCTGTACTTCACAGAGGTAAAAAAGCGAGGTTCGTGACGGAAAGTGAAGCTCAGAAGGAACCCAGATGTGCTGACCTCTCCATCCACACTCTGAGTCAGGACACCACGCTGCTTGGTGCAGAAAGTAATCCCAGTCAAGCCAGCAGCAAAAAAAAATAACTGTTTTTGGATAGTTACCTTGCCCTGGTCGGTGTGGTTCAGTTGGATGGAGCATTGTCACATGCACCAAAAGGTTTCGGATTCGATTCCCAGTCAGGACACATGCCTGGGTTGGGGGTTTGATCCCTGGTCAGGGCAGGTTTGTATGTGAGGCAACTGATCAACATTTCTCTCAAACATCAAAGTCTCTCTCTCTCTCTCTCTCTCTCTCTCTCTCCAAATAATCAATAAAACATATCTTCCAGCGAGGATTAAAAATAATAAGAATAATTACCTTTAATATCTCGTCCAGTAAAACAGATTTAATTTCTAAATCCTCAAAGTTACAAATATATCCAGAAGTCTGAATGGGTTCCTTTAAAAACAAAAACAAAAGTTATTCTTAAATATATAAAATTTTCCTTCCTTAACGTATCATTATTTAAATTTTTATTATCAAAATTTCCTACCAAGAAAAAAGTAGAGAGGATGTCTTTAACACCCATATTCCCATCGTCTAAATAATTATTAACATTTTACTAAATAAGCTTCAGTCTATTATTTGGCAGAAGTATTTTAAAGTAAATTTATAAACATCATGACATTTTACCCCAAAATAGTTCAGTGCCTGTCTCTAAAAGATAAAGATGTTCTCCTGCATGGCCACATTAGTATTATCACACCTTACATAATCAATATTAATTCCCTAATAGCATCCAATATCAGTCCAAATTTTTCCAATTAATCCAAAAATGCCCTATAAAGCTTGATCACTCCTATTCATGCAGTTTGACACTAAATTTAATTCTTAATAAAATTGACAAATGCTATATTTGTATTTAAGTACATATATCAAAGTCTCACTGAAAAATCCATCCTCTGTAACATTAGCCAGAGAGCATTCCTGACAGATTTTCTAAATAAGAAGACTTAATTTGCCAATATGTAAATACCTGAGTCTCTTACGTGGCTGTCTCTTATCCCAGTGTTTTAAGGCTTGTAGAAATAAAGTACTGTAAATACTTTAAATAAAGTATCATAATCTAAAGTAGCTGCCCTAAATCCCTAGCAGAAATAATAGTATGAATATATAAATCAAAAGAAATTAACTCCCAATATTGTGAAAAGAACAGGATAAGGCTGTCTGGTAATGGAAATAATACCAGAGCATAATTTTTTTAAATGTGAATGTATATGTGTATCATAATAAAATAGAAAGTAACCAAAATCCAAATGAAATTACATATGAAATTTGTAATTCTGAAAGTTGGTCCTTCATATATAATAGAAACTACAAACATTTTAATAGGAAGATACCAAAAAGATGAAAATAAGAATCATATTTAGTTTGAGTTTAGTATGTCTAGGTTTAAGAATGAGGCCCCTGTATGCACATTATATGTTCTAATTGTGTTTTTAAATGTATATTCTTTTTTAAAGTAAAAATTACTGAATAAAATAATCAAATTATATGAGGAAAAATTTATGAAATCCCTTTATTTCCTCAAAAAAAGATTTTATTACATAAAAGTAATATATTCAATAAAAAGGTAGGTATTCAAAAGTTTGGAAACCCCTTGTTTGAAAAAGAAGCAAGTGTACAAAAATGATAGCCTAATAAAAATATGAGATATGAATAAAAACATGAATATGAACATGGAAATGAAATAGCAATACCAATGAGAGGGAAGATCCAAGAAAAAGAATAACAGAGCGGAATCAGCACCCTGAAAGGGTCCCTGAAGACGAAAACGATCGAGCAGGAAATAGCAATATTAAATTCTCAAAGAAAATGCACTTTATCAGTGAATCCGAACTCTGCACTCAAATGGCACCCTTTCTCACACATAGTCTGAAGAACAGTGTACAACTTAAAGAAAGGTATGAATTTAGAATTCATGGTAACACTCAGATAGATAAAATTCTGTTCGGCATTAACCGTCAAACAATAGCTTGCTTCCCTCCTGAATAACAACACAGAACACTGTGTCCTGAAGGAGCGCCAATAAGTTCTGTTCGAAGAGCTTGTCCTTACATGATCGGTCAGTAAAGCAGCAGAGGAATGAACAGCAGAGTAAGTCACCAAGCGGGGACCACAGCCAGCCAGCATCCTCACGAATGAGAACAGTACGGCATGGTTATGAGGAAGCCCAGTCAGTGGTAAGGTTATAAAAAATTCATCTAGCTGTAAATCTCATACAAACTGAAGTACTTGCCAAGCCAGACAACAAACTCCAATCTGAAAACAAGGCTGTTCTGTTGAAACTACTTAAGAAACACTTTCCACCGGGCACAGATTCCACTCGGTGCTCCTTGCTCTGTGTGAGCTACACACGTCCTGAACAGCCAAGCACACACCCTCACTTCTCCGCCTGACTTCTGAACTAGTACCAGTAGTAATGAGCAGCAATTTCCAAGGATGGAATAAAGGACCCTAACATTCAAAAAGTGTTCTACTTCCATCTTCAAGGTTATCCTGTGGTTATTCATCAAATTCCCACACTTGTTTGGTGGCAACGGTCGTATTTCCTTTGGACCCTTGAAAGAAGCCATGTTACAGGTCAAATGAATGCCTTTCCTTTGAACCACTACTCAGGGTCTAAAAATGACAAAGATCCTTGAGACTCCTAACAGCTTTAAGAAAACTTTTGAGAGCAGTTTACTTCAGGTCATTTACCAACCCAAAGAGCCTGTGGGGCTCACATGGGGAAATGTAAAAATAATTTAGGATATTAAAGAGGTAAATAGTTTACCACTAAATAAATTACTACAGAAGATGGTCAGCAGCTCAGGGGCCCAAGCATGCAATTCCTTCCAAGCAGAAAACTATAGGTGCAAACCAGCACCAATTAATGACATAAAGCGTTTATTAACCCATTTCTTATTATTTACATTAGCAGAGTACAGAAAATTCCAAAGTGAAAATCCACTAATTGTTTAAAAGGGTTATCTTTTTTTTTTTTATCCTCACCTGAGGACATTTTTCCATTTTTTGTTCAGATAGCGTGGGAGGGAGAGAGGAAGAGAGAGAGAGAAACATCGATGTGAAGGGACAGACACATCGAGTGGCTGCCACCGGCACAACCCAACCAGGGCTGGGGACAAACTGCAACCGAGGTACATGCCCTTAGCGGGAACCGAACCCGGGTCTCTCTGGACCACAGGCCAACACTCTAACCGCTGAGCCAAACTGACTAGGGCTAAAAGGGTTATCTTCTTAATGATGGCTGTCATCCACATTATTTTGAATTTCCTAAACACAACAGTTTACAGTTGGTCCACAGCAAAATTCAGAGCCTAAAAGTTAGCTGATGTCAGCCACAAGTAGAAAATCAAACTATAACTAACACTAGTGAGAAGAGGCTTCCTGGGACCCCGGCGAGAGGTCAGCCGGCCTACATTTGCCTATTCACAGGGTGCCGGCGAGAAGGACCGAGGATCAGCGGGACAGCTGCACGTGGAACGAAGGAGAAGGCAAGCGCAGAGCAGGGTGGGGTGTGGACAGATGAGAGTGAAAGGACGAGGCGGTTTCAAAACCATATTTTTTTGGTTAGGTTGTCTTAAGCAATTATAGTAAATGAAACTACTGATTTTCTCTTTAACTTTGACAGGGAACAAAACTAAAGACTAGATGGTGACTGCTCATGGTTCCACCTTTTAAGCAGAACAGATAACATGCTTAGGAAGTGCCTTTCAGAGGAAGGAGAGAATATTTAAAGAATGAGTATTATTCCCCCTGAAGACCACATATTTTAAAACCTTACAGAAATGTTTGTTTACTTTCAGAAATTCGTGCAGCCAACATCAATAAACCTCTTGCAAACACAAAGGGGAAATCCCCAGGTCTTGTATTTGGCTCTTTGTGTATCATTTTAATGCTCATTTCTTGTTTTTACCTCGGGATCCAGGTTTCTGAAAACATACATTCTCGTCTTCTCCATCATCGCAAACAAGTCCGGATTATCTCTGGCCCACTTCATGTCCCAGACGTCCTTTCGCTCCAGCTTCAACAACTCGCCAACGACTTGCTGTCCCGTGCTGTCGGTGACCCGAGCATCCAAGTCAAAGAAAGTCAGAACCCCTGAGTTGTCTACGATGGCGAGACGACTACAAATAATGAAATGGGAGAAGGGAAAAGTGTAAAATTGCTATCAGCGATCATGACTATAATTACCTATAGCCATTCTTTTACAAAAACAGCTCATCAGAACCTGGGAACAAGGTAGAAATGACTTTAAATAACCGATTTTAATCAAATAATTTTTTAAATATGTTTTTATTGATATTTTAGAGAGAGAGGAAGGGAGAGAGAGAAACACCGATGTGAGAGAGATACATGATCTGCTGCCTCTAGCGCGCCCCCTACTGGAGATCAAGCCCGCAACCCTGGCATGTGCCCCAACCTGGAATCGAACTGGGACCTTTCAGTCCATGGGACGATGCTCCATCCACTGAGCCACACCAGCTGGGCAAATCTTTATAAATGTGAAGACATGGACTACCCCTCCACCTGCTCCCTTGTGAGGAAAAGGTGTCCGAGTGGGTGCTGAGGCGAGCAGAGCCGGACCAGACGCGGTGGCCGGGCTGCAGGCAGGACTGTCGAGGAAACGCAGCGTTTGCTGGCAGAACCAGCTCCCAGCATTACAGCAGACCCAGATGGCAGCGACACCGTTATGTTCATGTGGTCACTGCTGGCCCCCAGGACTCCCCCTCTGGAGGAGGGACCTTTATTTATTTATTTGTTTCTTTCTTTATTTATTTTTAATCCTCACCGAGGGTATTTTTCCATTGATTTTCAGATAGCATGGGAGGGGAGGAGGAGAGAGGGAGAGAGAAAAAGAGAGAGAAACATGACATGAGAGAGACACCGATTGGTTGCCTCCCGCACGACCCCTCCTGGTCGAACCACAACCGAGATACGTGCCCTTGACCGGAATCAAACCCACGACTCACTGGTCTGAGGGCTGACACTCTAACCACTGAGCCAAACCAGCCAGGGATGAAGGAGGGACTTTAAAACTTGAACTATTCCTTCCAGAAAAATACCCAATGGCAGCACCTAAAGTACGTTGCATGACCAAAATGTATCATCCTGATGTAGACAAGTGAGAAGAATATGTTTAGACATTTTGAAAGCTAAGTGGCCCCAGCACTGCAGATTCGCAGAGTTCTGCCCCCATCCAGGCCCGTTCAGTGCTCCCAATGCAGACGATCCCTTCGCAAATGCTGGGGCGGGGCGCTGGAAGACCCACGGAGCCCAAGCCACAGAAACAGCTGGGGCATGGACAGGCCCTCTTCCATCAATAGTATGTACATGATCTGATCGAGTGCAGATCACTTCTCCTGTGCTCCAAGACTTACTCCTTTTTGTTTGCATTTAATGGACACAGTCCTAGAAACACTACCGAATAAAAGCCCAGACATCTTCAGTCCTTTGGTGATTGAATGCACATTAGCAAAAAAGAAAGAAAGAAAGCAAAGGTATCCAAGTGGATTAAAGCAACTGGTATGCAAATAACTTAAAACATTACACTAAAATTTCTATATTTTACCCAATTAGAGAAAGACATCTAGACTAAATACAGTACAAAAAATATAAATATTTAAATACAAATACAGTATAGTAAAACCGCACTGAACTATAAGGTAAGTTTAAACAAACACATATCTTTGTATTTATTCTATAAATTCAACAATCTAAATTGATAACATCTAACACCTGCTTGAGGAGAGTTTTCAGACTTACCTAGAGTTGCAATTCAGCGATAACTGGTTGGCTCGGCAATTAAGGGAATATTTTTGAATCAAACCAACATTAGGAAGACTGTATCTCTGAATGGTGCCAGATTCACGACCCTAGGGAAAATACTTTTATTACTAAAGCAAATTTCCCACAATAAAATTAAGCTACAACTACAGGACTCTCTATATATTTATACATTTGTTTCAAAATCCAAGTGATGGTGCCATAGTGAATTTCCTTGTGATACTGAATCATGTTACCAGTACATGTTTATCTCCTAAGTTAATTAAAACCTTTTAACAGGGGCAGAAGGTAATCTAACTTTGTTTCATGTAGCATTCAAAAAAGAAGTCAGAAATCTAGTTCTTCAATAACACATACCCACATTCTTACATCACAAGGAAGAAATACCTAGGGTCATTTATAGTTGTTGTCTGGCGTAATAGTCAGGGTACATTAAAGGCTAAAACATAAAGCATTTATTGAATTAAATTTCAAATATATGAAAAAGCAATAAAAGATCATAGGAAGCAGTTGCTACTGAAAATCTATGGGATATGAGTTCGCAACAAAGGGAGACAAGTAGAAAGCAGTGACACAATCAGTATTAGTTTAAATGTGTTTAAAAATAAAATAGAGCATAGGACCCTGTGCAACTCCGTGCATGCCTTAAGGAGAGGACTGTGGTTTCCGAACCCTCCGTCCTGGAGCCGTGCAATGGGACCGGGCCGGGGCTCGCTCAGCAGCCCACCTTCCCCTCTCCCCTTTGACAGACCAGCACTGCTCTGCAGCGTGTCTCTCAAGAGTGGCCTGTCCAGCCTCCCGGAAAAGCTGGGGAAGGCCAGGGGGTGGGGAGGGGGGAGGAAATTTTTTAATGTATCAAAGGGATGTATGGGTTTTACAAGATTTAATACATTGACAAAATAAGACTTTTTGAACAACAAGGGCCTGTGGCTTAAAAAGTTTGAAAAAGTGCCCTGGCCAGTTTGGCTCAGCGGTTAGAGCTTCGGCCCAGGAACCAGAGAGTCCCAGGTTCAGTTCCCACTAAGGGCCCATACCTCAGTTGCAGTTTGTCCCCAGTCCGGTCGGGGTCATGTGAGTGGCAACCACTAGATGTGTCTCTCTCATGTCGATGTTTCTCTCTCTCTCTTCCTCCCTCTCTCCCTTCTGCTCTATCTGATTTTAAAAAAACAAAGTTTGAAAAAGTAATAGTTATGAAAACTGTTCACATGGCAACAGTGGAAGGCAGTTTTCAATGCAGAAGACATCGTCTCCAGTGAAATTTTTTGGCTGGTATTAAAACTATTTGAGTGCATTTCTCTGTCATTTAGGAATTTGGTTAATTTTTGTGACTGCTCTGAGCTGCATGTTATTTTTTTTTTTCTGCAAGTGTCAGAAACACACACACACACACACCAGATAGAAAAGCATCTCAAAAGAAAACAAGAGATTCCACAGACCCAAGACAAACTGTGTAAAGCATACACCATGTTCATTTGGTGAGGAAAAGTGAACACTATGTTCTTAAGATTTTTTTCCCCTTTAAATCCACTTGTGGCTAAAGCACATAACTAGACCTGGAAACAGACGCTATTAAGGCTTGGTTTGCATAATTCATTTTCAGTGACTACCAGCATTACTATATTAAAGTAAACATTTATCTCTAAAATTAATATTTTCAAATGTCAGAACTCAAGAAAAGACACTATACACTGATGTTATTTGAAAATTTCAGCAAAAATGTGCTATGTCCATCTTTATTTTACTGGCTAGCAAACACACTGTCTCTTCATTCAAAGTCCCATGAAGGTAGTTGAGCCGAAGCACTTTCTCCCATGTGAATTAGCAGCCACATGGAGGAGGAAACTTCCCAAACCTCCGCTACCATCCGGTCTGCCTCACTCTGCCAACGAGTAGAGGGCTCATTCAAACTCTCCCCAGCTGGCCCCCACTCTACTGCTTTTAGAAACAGCTATTTTTGCAAAGGCTTAACACTATGTGAGGCAATCTTTAAGACTTTCTTATTTCTTATGTTGGACTCAGTAAAACACAAAGTGCCCCATAAGATGTTTTCAAATCCAAAATATATTGCTTTACTCTCTTTTTACAATTTAAACAATTATTATTCATAAAATAAATTTTTTTCACAACTTACCACAATCAACGTCTTATCAGATGCAGTTATGGCACAAATTGGATCCCTTGTGCCCTAAAATAAACCAAGTTGTTATTCTTTAACAAATATTTACTGAATGGCTTATTTGGTATGAGGTAGTATGCAGTTCAGTAATATATTTATTAACTTAACAAACATTTACTAACTGAGCACCTACTATGTACCAGACACCAAACTAATCACTGGAGATGCTCTGATGAAATCTTTACCCTCAGGGATTAGTCAGAAGTCTACTGGGGAAGACAGTGAACTGAACACCTAACTACTTTACAGTATGATACAAATTTTAAATGAGGTCCACACGGCAGTTATGAGAGTACAGAGAAAGGAGCTTAGTCAGAAAAGATGAACAGATGGTAGAAGGACCAACCAGGCCAAACGCGGAAAGGAGAGGCGGCCTGCCACTGGCACCGCTGGTGGGCTCTCAAGGGGCTGGCTTAGTGAGAAGACCCCATCTCCAACGGCCCCATGCTGTGACCCCATTCATAGAACATTCTCAGGCTGTCAAAACTCTGGAGATGGAAACAAGTTAGTGGTTGCCAGTGGACAGGGATGGAGTGGACAGAGGGTGTGAACAAGGCAAGTTCCTTCCTGATGATAAGATCACACAAAAGTGTGCGCACGCACATACATGTAGAAAGTAGTGCGAACAGTAAGGAACCAGGTCACAGTTTAACAATAATATTACCAATGTTAATTTTCTGATTTTGATATTAAACTATAGTTATATAAGATGTGCCATTTGAAGAAAGCTTGGTAAAGAGATTCTATTTGTGCAACTTCATGAGAGCCTCCAATTATTTCTAAATAAAATGTTTCTAAAAATAAAAATGAAAAAGTAATTGATCTACAAAAAAGTTTTCAGAATAAAATTTTTTTAAAGAATTACTAAAATAATATGCTATCACTGGAAACAAATTTTTCAGGTTTCAAGATAAAACTACAGATATTAACATTTGATGGCAGCAATAAAATCACCTACTTGAATGGCTTTACTATAATCAAGCACCCCATCCACTGATCCAGAAGGAGTATCATCAACATGATAAATTCTGAAAAAGAAAATCAGAAGTTCAAAGATAGTATAAAGGTTATACTAGTTCATAATCTCTAAAACAGAAGATTACATGACACCAATAAATATTGTTATTTAATATAGATGTCATTATTTGAAAGAGTTCTTCACAAAGCTCAGTCTTATAAAGGTAGAAACTATCTTCCAGGTATTTACTAGTTACACAGGTGATATGGTCCTGAGCCATGCCAGAAGTAGTTTGAACATAGACTCACATATTTCCAATGAATTTCATTAAGCCCCAAGAGATACAGTCTCCAAGTGAACATCAGTCAAGAGTAACTTCTAATACACTGTTTCTATGTTGTTTCTCCATAATTTCCCTTCTAACAATGTGCTTAATAAAAATAAAACTTAGATGTATTTGGGACGCTCTAATGAATGAAACTTGTTCTGAAGTAAAGACTTCCTCCCCATGCTTACTGTGTTAGGAAGACGCACCACTGTGGGACTGCCATCGCCTCCCTCTCCCTTTGCTGTACTACTGTTCCCACTGCAGTGTCACTGCTAGTTTCCGTGTCTCTCCCACCAGATGGTGAGTTTCCTGGAGACAAAGACTATCCCCAGTGCGTAGCACAGTGGCACACAATGTCAGGTGCTCTATAATGTCTGCTAAAATGAATTAAATATTAAAATAGAGTAGATAAATCGTAGAGTAGCTATGAGACCCTGAGCGAGCTGCTTAACATCTCTGAGCCTCAATTTCTCCATCCATAAAATAAGGATGACAAAGCCCCTGTGGAGGGCTTCTGAGGCACAAATCAAACGGTGCTTATAAAGCATGTGTGCACAGCCTGACACAGACAAGGCTCCAAGAAACTGTAGTTATAGTATAATCACAGAAAAAGCAAGCCAGTTTCCACCTTTAAAACATTATGAAATTTTGTCCTTGTTCAACTGAAGTCATAATTATACTTTCATCAATGTAACAAAATCAAATGTTAAATTTAATAGAAATATATTAAATGCAGAAAAATGGACCAATTTAGAGATAGCATGTGTCTGCATTTTAATACATTTCTAATAAGTACACACAGTTACTATTTCTACTTAGTTACCACAAATAAAAGTCAGAAGTCCGAACAGGTATTTCAGGAGATCTGATCCACCTCCCTCCCTTAAAACAAGTAGGTATGACAAGAAAGACCAATCTGAGCAGTGTGGTTCTGAGCTAGGTAACTGCCTTTATGTCCCATCTCTACTTATCAGCCTGTGACCTTTAGCAAATAATTCAAGCTTGTGTGTCTTGGTTTCCTCTCTGTGAAACAGGAATAACAGGAATATTAACTAAGGAATATAGACTTTCCACAGCGTCTGGCACATAAGGACAAATCAGTGTTAACTGTTATCCTCATCATCAAGTGCATTTTACAAATGAGGAAACTGAGGTCCAGACAGAACTAGCCCAAAGTCATTAAAATTAGTAAATATATCCCAGATAGAATACAAAAGAGTGCTGCCTTCTTTATTTACACAAAGCCAGAATCTCTGTAGCTGGCCCACGGAAGACGCGCTCCCCTACGGACAGAGTGGCCGTCTCTCCGGCTTTGTTCTGAGATCCACCTTCTCCCCGCAGCCTGCCGGCCTCCCCGTCTACCACGGCCACATACTCTCCTCAAAGAGGCCAGAGATTCTTCCTGCTGTGTCTTTCAGAAGTACCGAGAAATGCAGTATTTCTCAACTGTTCTTTTCTGCTCCACGTGAACTCACATACCAAAATACCTTTACTGGGGACATGTCTCCTATCTTAGTACATGAGTGAGTCTTAAAGGGAAGGAAGAAGATGGTTTGAAAAAGCAACCTGGGACTTCTGATATGAATGAATGACTGCCTGCTGCCCGCCCCATCAACAGAGGCTTCTGCCCTCATTAAGAATCATCCGGTTAGCCCTGGCCGGTTTGGCTCAGCGGTTAGAGAGTCGGCCTGCGGTACAGAGAGACCCGGGTTCGGTTCCCGCTAAGGGCATGTACCTCGGTTGCAGTTTGTCCCCGGCCCTGGTTGGTCGTGCGGGTGGCAACCACTCGATGTGTCCCTTCACGTCGATGTTTCTCTCTCTCTCTTCCTCTCTCTCCCTCCCGCTCTGTCTGAACAAAAAAAAGAAAAAAAAAAAAAAAAGAATCATCTGGTTAAAACATTCAACAAAATGCTTTACTTAATGTCTTAGGATAACAACAAACAGGCAACACATAGAGTATCACTAAAGAATCCCCCCGTCCTGGCTCCTAAATTCTCTTTGTGGTAGAGCCCTCTTCACCCTCAGTTACCAGAAATAGTTCCAAACCCAGACTCCTGGAATCCAGAGCAAGAGAAAGCCAAGTGACCAGCACACCCTGCCTGAGACCCCTTCCATATCGGTGTCTGAGGCCCTTCCTCTCCGATGTGAACACTAGAATCACCCCACCCGGTCCTGGCAAGACCTGCACCACTAACACAAACCCAGCTGAATAACCTTTTTCAGTAGAGCACTGTAGCTCTAATTTGGTGAGAGTAGATGAGAAAGAATAGCCATTTCCTTATAAAAACATAGACTTCCAGTCTTTATCTCTAAGGGCTTTCTTTTATTATACATTTAACTCTCTTTTGTTTTGATCAATTTAATTTTTTTTTTCTTTATTAATTTTAGAAAGAGAGGAAGGGAGAGAGAGAGAGAGATAGAAACATCGATGAGAGAGAACATCCACTGGCCTCCTCCTGCACGCCCCACTGGGCATCGGGCCCACAACCTGGGCATGTGCCCTGACCGAAATCAAACCAGCAACCTCTTGGTGCATGGGTCGACACAACCACTGAGCCATACCAGCTGGGCTGTTTTGATAAATTTAAATAGATATATTTGAAAGATATTCAAATTAACTGGAAAATATTATTTCTATTAATCAAAACAATTTACAGTTCTCAAGCATGACAATTTATAACTTGTCTGATTTCAATGTGATGTGGTTGAGGGGAGCATTGGAGGTCTTGCTCCCTGGCATATGTTGTCAGTTCAGCTCAAATAAACTCTTACAAAATTCTCTACAGGTTTTGAAAAAATAAATAATATAAATGTGATATGGTTGAGCTTCTAAAAAACATGCATCAAAAGATATAACTTTCTGGTTGCAGGTTCAATCCCTGGTCAGCCAATTGAGGTTCTCTCTCACATTGATGTCTCTCTCTCTTTCTTTCTCTCTCTCTCTCTCTCTCTCTCTCCCCCCCAATCCCCTCTCTGTAAAATCAATAAGTATATCCTCAAGTAAGAATTAATAATAATAATAATAATACAATTGAAATTTAAAAAATAAATGAGACAAGATCAAACTAAAAAAACAAAGATATATACCTTTCTCTCCCTTCTTTCCGAGACCGCGTCATCTGATTAATTTCCAATGCTGTGAGCTTCTTAGCCACCCGATATTGCCAGATATAAAATGCTTCTTTTGAAGCTGCTATCACATGGGTTTTGGTCATTGCAACAAATAATGGTACTATTAAAAAGAACATTCAGACAATTAGGTTATAGTTGCACAGAATTGCAGAACGTGCTGCAAAGGACTTCAGTGATCACTGAGCTCAACCCCTCGTCTCACAATGTACCACCACACAGTTTGGGAAATCAGATAGGAGTCAAAAGCTTGTAAAATCATATGAAAATATTAATTCCAAATGGATCAAAGACCTAACTATGGAACTCTTAAGAAACAATGTAGGAGTAAATCTTTGTGACTTTAGATTGGGCAAGAGTTTCTTAACTATGACACAGAAAGCACAAGCAAGAAAAAGAAAAGTAGATAAATTGGACTTCATCAGAATTAAAAACATTTTTGCCTCAAAGGACAACATCTGAAAACTGAAAGACAATGCACAGAAGGGAGAATATATCCCCAAATCATATACATGATAAGGAATTATATCTAGAATATGTAAATAATTTGTATAACTCGGAGACAAATAGCCCAACTGTAAAATGGGCAAAGGATTTGAATAGAAATTTCTCCAGTGAAGATACACAAATGACCATTAAGCAAATGAAAAGATGCTCCACAGCCTTAGCCATCGGGCAAGTGCCACAGTGAGGTACCACTTCACACCCACCGCGTCTGCTAGAACCAAGCAGCCCGACAAGGGTGTGGGGAGTGGTAGGGCTGCTCAGGGGTGCAAAGCCTAGAACCAAGCAGCCAGACAAGGGTGTGGGGAGTGGTAGGGCTGCCCAGTGGTGCAGAGCCTAGAACCAAGCAGCCCGACAAGGGTGTGGGGAGTGGTAGGGCTGCTCGGTGGTGCAGAGCCTAGAACCAAGCAGCCAGACAAGGGTGTGGGGAGTGGTAGGGCTGCCCAGTGGTGCAGAGCCTAGAACCAAGCAGCCAGACAAGGGTGTGGGGAGTGGTAGGGCTGCCCAGTGGTGCAGAGCCTAGAACCAAGCAGCCAGACAAGGGTGTGGGGAGTGGTAGGGCTGCTCGGTGGTGCAGAGCCTAGAACCAAGCAGCCAGACAAGGGTGTGGGGAGTGGTAGGGCTGCTCGGTGGTGCAGAGCCTAGAACCAAGCAGCCAGACAAGGGTGTGGGGAGTGGTAGGGCTGCCCAGTGGTGCAGAGCCTAGAACCAAGCAGCCCGACAAGGGTGTGGGGAGTGGTAGGGCTGCTCGGGGGTGCAGAGCCTAGAACCAAGCAGCCAGACAAGGGTGTGGGGAGTGGTAGGGCTGCTCGGGGGTGCAGAGCCTAGAACCAAGCGGTCAGACAAGGTGTGGGGAGTGGTAGGGCTGCTCGGTGGTGCAGAGCCTAGAACCAAGCAGCCAGACAAGGTGTGGGAAGTGGTAGGGCTGCCCAGTGGTGCAGAGCCTAGAACCAAGCAGCCCGACAAGGGTGTGGGGAGTGGTAGGGCTGCTCGGTGGTGCAGAGCCTAGAACCAAGCAGCCAGACAAGGGTGTGGGGAGTGGTAGGGCTGCCCAGTGGTGCAGAGCCTAGAACCAAGCAGCCAGACAAGGGTGTGGGGAGTGGTAGGGCTGCTCGGGGGTGCAGAGCCTAGAACCAAGCAGCCAGACAAGGGTGTGGGGAGTGGTAGGGCTGCTCGGGGGTGCAGAGCCTAGAACCAAGCGGTCAGACAAGGTGTGGGGAGTGGTAGGGCTGCTCGGGGGTGCAGAGCCTAGAACCAAGCAGCCAGACAAGGGTGTGGGGAGTGGTAGGGCTGCCCAGTGGTGCAGAGCCTAGAACCAAGCAGCCAGACAAGGGTGTGGGGAGTGGTAGGGCTGCTCGGGGGTGCAGAGCCTAGAACCAAGCAGCCAGACAAGGGTGTGGGGAGTGGTAGGGCTGCTCGGTGGTGCAGAGCCTAGCGGGTCCTCACAATACTGAACACAGAATTACATGTGCCCAGACATTCCACTCTTAGTATGCCCAAGAGAAACAAAGACATATGTCAACATAAAAACTCACACACAAATGTTCTTAACAGCATTATTCGTAATAGCCAAAAAGTAAAGGACCCAAAGGTCCATTAACTGATGAATAAAAAATAAAATCCCGTTCCTTCCTCCCATCCCCACTACCATTACTGCTTGGCTCTGCATCTGTCCTTCCTTCTCATCTCGTATGTCTTCTATTTCCTCATTAATTCAGAAAAGAAAACTTGGCCAGAGTGGCTCAGTTGGTTGAGCGTCATCCCGTGCACCAAAGGGTTGCTAGTTCGATCCCCAGTCAGGGCATATACCTGGCCTGCAGGTTTGACCCCCAGTCAGGCAGTGTATGAAAGGCAACTGATCGAGGTTTCTCTCTCACACTGATGTTCCTCTCTCTCCCTTCCTCTCTCTAAGCATGTCCTCAGGTGAGGATTTAAAAAAAGAAAATTCTCCTAACTTCCTTCCTAGGAATTTAGGAATATATTCTCCTAAACATGTAATTTTTTTCACATGTTCTGATTCTTATAGAACATTTAATTAAGCTCCTACTGTGTACCCTTATCAAATCCATCCTACAGATAAAGAAATGGAGAATTAAAGAAGATAACTTGTCCAAGGTCACAAACTAAATAAACAACATAAAATTAAACAAATTCAGCCCTGGCCGGTTTGGCTCAGCGGTTAGAGCATCGGCCTGCGGTCCGGAGAGACCCGGGTTCAGTTCCCGCTAAGGGCATGTACCTTGGTTGCAGTTTGTCCCCGGCCCTGGTTGGTTGTGCGGATGGCGACCACTCGATGTGTCCCTTCACATCGATGTTTCTCTCTTTCTCTGTTCCTCTCTCTCCCTCCCACTCTACCTGAACAAAAAATGGAAAAAGGTCCTCGGGTGAGGATGATTAAAAAAAATAAAAAAATTAAACAAATTTACACAAAATGTATTTTGAAAATTCCTTCAAAAAAGATCACTTTAGTACCTAATATCTAAATTCATGATTTAAATGATACAAAAATTACTCTTCTACTCATAAATGTTATGAAAAGTCACCATCTATAGCCAGAATGAAGAAATGGTGTTAATTATAGCTTCCATTTATGGAGTTCTTGCCACACACGGGACAAATAAAAGACATTTATGCCCTGGCCGGTTTGGCTCAGCAGTTAGAGCGTCGGCCTGTGATCCAGAGAGACCCGGGTTCAATTCCCACTAAGGGCAGGTATCTCGGTCACAGTTTGTCCCCAGCCCTGGTTGGTCGTGCAGGTGGCAGCCACTCGATGTATCCCTTTCACACCGATGTTTCTCTCCCTGTCCCTCTCCTCCTCCCCTTCTTCTTCCTCCTCCTCCCCCTCCTCCTCCTCCTTCTCTCTCTTTCTCTCCCTCCCTCCTTCTCTCCCTCCCTCCCTCCCTCCCTCCCTCTCACTCTATCTGAACAAAAAATGGAAATATGTTCTCGGGTGAGGATTAAAAAAAAAAAAAAAGACATTTAAGGCAGTAAGAGACTTAGAAACTGAACAAAGAATTAGAATCCAGACTGATGGTATGATGTTAATTGAAAATCTTAACAACTTGGGGATTCAAGTTCAAGAATTTTTAAGTGGAAAATAACACAGTATAGCGAATCATATTTTTTAATGTTTTTCCTTACAATTGTCAAGGTTTTTCTATTAAAAGTGTGTACTAGCTCCAGACTCTAGAGGGAGACAGAAGCCCTCATGTGGGGACAAGTCTCTGAAAGGCAGTCCTGGACAAGGCAGGAAGCCTGGGGGAGGCTGAACCGACCCAATCAGCAAGCCAGGCCCCTGTGAGCTTGGCTGACCCTGTCGTCTTCACTAAATCATAAGGCCTTTGAGAAATTCTTAGTAAATTCTATCACAGAGACTCTGATGCTGGTAACTGCTATGCCCCTAATGGGATGTGAAGTTCACCAACCATAACAGCGTTCTAATAAAATATCATTTTTCCTAAGCATGTTAAACCATTTTTCTAACCAATGTTTACCTACGATTATAAATTATACTCATGTCCGTTATTTTGACCCATCCTAAATAATCACAAGAGTTTATCATTAGCCTGATTAATTCAAAATTAAAATATTAGTGGTTCATAGTAAAAGTCAGACTTCTTAGATTCAAATCATAAGTATTTGCTAACTCTGTGGCCTTAGAAACCTTAGTTTATTCTCTCTGAACCTTAGTTTACTTAACATAAATTGAAGATAATAATAATAATAATACAAAGCTGCTTTAAAGATTAAAAGAAATAATAAATTTAAAGCATAGTAAAGTGCCTGGCATGGAATAAATGGTTAATAATAATTTTAAAAGCCAGTATTTATTGAATTTTTCAAAATTATGTAGGGCATATATTTTAATATAATTATATTAATTATAATTGTATAGTTATAATGTATAAAAATTATATTAATATATAATTAATATATTACATATATGAACTTACAACCACCCTCTCAGGTAGACAGCATTATTATTCCCGCTTATCAGATGAAAAAATTTAAGGATGAAATGGTTAAACACCTTGCTGGAGTTGCATAGCTAGAAGGTGCTAGAAGCCAGGACACAAACCCAGTTAATCTGGCTCCAAATCTACGCTCTTAACCACTAGCGCACACTGCCTCTCATTAAGGGTTAATGTGTTCGGTGTGGTTGCTATTGTTGTTTTTGCTTGTATAACCTACATAGGTTTTATAATAAAACCATATACTAGTCCACACAAACATCAAATACAAACATATCTGAAACATAGCTTCTTTTGAATCAATATGGCAGTAATTTCAGCAAATTCACATGGGTAGCGAACCCCATCTACATAAATTATGCTAGATCTTTACTAAGAGAGCGATCCCATCCAGGTAGATTTGTTCTTAGTTTCCTAGACCTAAGCCCCTAGGACAAAGTTAGAAGAACAAATTTTAACAGACAGAATATTTCAGGAAGAAAATAACCAGGATAAAAGCACTCCATGTCCTTCTCAGCTGTTCAATATCTGGAAAGAGAAACTCAAAATATCTACAAAGATTATTGCAAAAAAACTTTAACAAAGTAATTATGCTCTCATTCACTGAACTTTGTAACACTAGTAGGTAGTGATTACTAGCCAAGCAAGGATTTAAAATGATTTTTCACATCTAAGTAAAACCTGCTTGTAATATTTACGTGCTGAGGAGTGAAATTAATGTCTGCATCTGTCATGTTCCCCCACTTCCCTACTTATTCATTTCTCGGCCCTTTAAAGAGCTGATAAACTGAAGTTGCTGAAATGTCTTCATCCACCGACCTCTCTCAGAAGCACAGGGAAGACGCGGTGCATGCACTACGGACCATCATGAGATACTTGTCAGGCACCTTTCATGCCTTTGTTCCTCTGCAAATGCTATTTTCTCTCCTGAAAATGTCACCTGAAGAAATACCCTTCAAAACTCAGCCTAAATGAAACCTCTTGGTAGAAAAGATGTCCCTGATATCCTTATGCACTGATATCCACTTACCAGCACCTCGCACAACACCTAGCACATAGCAAGGGAGTAATGGTCATTGTTTGTGGATTAATAATATTTTAATTATTTAGACATCCTACGGGAAATGTCATAATTAATTTCTTATCCCTTCCTGTACCCAGCATAGTACCTGAAACTATATATATATATATATTCATTGATGGTTTACTAAATAAACGGACACTATTTTAAATATTTTCATATACTCAATAAACATTTGTTATCGGGCAAGTACAGCGTTAGGCGATAGGGATACAGAAATGAACAGATGCGGATCTTTAAGAAGCCCAGAGTCACGTGGGGAAGACAGACACGAAAGGCAACAATCCGCGCAGAGGCAGTACTGTGAACAGAAGCACACCACAGGTATTCTGAAGGCTCGAAGAAGAACACCAGGAAAGGGAGCCTAACTCCTACATGTCCAGTACAACAGAGTCCCACAGACTAAACTTCTACAGTAATGCATAAAGTTCTTTTAACGTTCTATAGTGATTGTCAGGAAGAAGACCAAGTGACAAAACAAAAATTAACTTTCTAGAACAATATCGGTTACTTTTTTTTTTTTTTTCTTTTTTTTGCTTTAGCCTCCAGTCCTCATGAAAATTTGGCATAGAAACTTAAAAAGGAATTTTACAGTAAAAAAAAAAATGTTGAGTCTTGGCTGAGTTTACTTTGGCAGTAAACCAATGAAAGAACTGTTTGTTAAAACTTCAGTCACAGAGACTGCAAAAAAAAAAGCTTCTAGACTCAGAACTACAAATAATCATGCCCTCAAGCATTTGCCATTTGATGAAGGTGAAGAATTTACATCTGGCTTTATTAAAAATAGAAGACGTGAAGCTAATCCTATCATTTTTATGATTCCATGTTAAAACTTGATATTAAAAGAAAAAAGCATATTATCTGAAGGTTGACAGAATTCACCTCCTTAGACCTTCGTTTTTTAATAAATAGAAGGTACTCATGCGACAAGTTGGTAATAATTTTAAGCTAAGCCTTTTAACAAGGAACACTAATACACACACACACACACACACACACACAAATATGTCCATGTAGCAATGAATTTAATACATTAAGTTGTGCCCTGGCCGGTTTGGCTCAGTGGTTAGAGCGTCGGCCTGCAGTCAAGAGAGACCCGGATTCGGTTCCTGCTAAGGGCAGGTACCTCGGTTGCAGTTTGTCCCTGGCCCTGGTTGGTCGTGCGGGTGGCAGCCACTTGATGTGTCCCTTCACATCGATGTTTCTCTCTCTCTCTCTTCTTCTCTCTCCCTCCCGCTCTATCTGAACAAAAAATGGAAAAATGTCCTCGGGTGAGGATAAAAAACAAAACAAAACAAAACAAAAAACATGAAGTTGAACAGTCTCAAGAAATAAAAGTGAGTTACCAAGACCCTAAACATAAAATACAAACTATTCCCCACACTTGTCTGTATCATCCAAATGGCTCAGCTAAATAAAACACTTAGGAGGCAGACACTCAGATTTAATTGTTAAGGCTAAATGCGAAATCTGAGGAAAAAAGAAAGAAAGTAACGACTAGCTCTCCGTCCAGAACATAATTCAATGGGTTTTCAGTTTTTAAAATCTAATAATTTTTCTAATGCCATATCCAATAAACTACCCATATGCTTTCAAAGAAAACCATTACTTCTGGAAGTTATAGTGAAACAGCAACAAAATATTTAGTAATCATTTTTAACAAAATACTTAGAATAAGATTTGTAATTTTTTTTTTTTTTTTAATCCTCACCCGAGGATATTTTTCCATTTTTTGTACAGACAGAGTGGGAGGGAGAGAGAGAGGAAGGGAGAGAGAGAGAGAAACATCGATGTGAAGGGACACACCGAGTGGCTGCCACCCACACGACCAACCAGGGCCGGGGACAAACTGCAACCGAAGTACGTGCCCTTAGCGGGAACCGAACCCGGGTCTCTCTGGACCGCAGGCCGACGCTCTAACCGCTGAGCCAAACTGGCCAGGGCTAGATTTGTAATTTTTTAATGGTTGCTTTCAAAGTATTTGGATACAGGGAATGGTACAACTAACTAACAAATATCTGAAAACAAAAAGTCAGGCATTTGTAAAGTCCCTATTAATAGACATATTTCATTGGAAAATTCTGGAAAAGGCAAACTCACTTTTACAAGCAGCTAAGCATTTTTTATAGAAGAGAGGTATTTATAGGCAGTATATTAATAATAAAAGTGGTTAAGGGAAAAATTCTTTCTATAATCCTCAGTTTATTACATACTAATCATTACAATGCATACCAATTCCTATACAATTATAGTTCCCATTTAAAGCAAATGATGTCAGTGTAGCACTTGTGAAATTACTATGGATTTTAGATAAAATGACCTTAAAAGTGATTGTATTACCTGGGATGCTTCTGATTACTTCAGTGAAATGGAGTGTTATTAATAATTGTACCATGACGGGCATAAACTGGACCTAGCAAACCAGAAAGTATGTTTTGGAGAATACCATTCTAATTTAGTAACACTGCTGTTAGGTTGTTGAATTAGTTTTACAAATAAAACCTGATTAAAGAGGGAATAAATATTAATATTTCCTTACCAATATCAATGTACTTGGGATCCAAGGGTGTGCCAATAGAATTACAAAGAACTAGCACAAACTGTGAACAAATAAAACAAAAGGTATCAAAATTCCTGCTTAAGAATCAAAAAGGAAGTAATGCTTCACATATCATGCTTATTTCTTTTTCAAATATCACTAAGAAATAATGGATAAAATTAAGTCAAAGAATAGCAGGTAAATAAAATCGACAGCCATAAAAATAAAGAAATACAAATTAAAATTAAACTAAAGCTAATTTCTTGATAATAGAACACTGTGGTTTTTAAGAGGTTACTTAAGAAACACAAATACACTGGCTCCTTTTCATTATTTGCACTTTTAAAATCCCTGATCAGCTATAACATCAATATTCATTTTTATACTGTGATCAGTTACAAGAGCTAATTTAGTTCGTTACCATTGCACCAAATGTTTCCATCTCGCTCTCCTCCTTTGAAGCAATATATAAATGACATGAGAAATGCAGAAAAAGTCAGTTAATTTAGAAAAAACATAATCCAACCTAGTGAAGATGACTTAAAATGCTCATTACTTAACACATGTAATTATAAATGATTCATATTAGAAAAATAATCAATCATAATTCACACTTTACATCATATTATTCTAAAGCGATCATTTCATCTTTTTTTTTTTTTTTACTGTTAGTTATCTCTTTTACTTAGATGTTCTTTTGATTAGGATAATGATCTCAAATTAACCAATTCTCTGTGTACTTTATTTTTCCAACATCTCAAGTAAAATGTAATTTCATAAATATAATCTAAATCACAAAAATTACACTAAAGTAGCATAATTTACTCTTCCACTACTTAAGCTTACTCACTGCCAAAAATACCACGAATACCTGTATGTGAACCCACTTGTCATATGCGTGCTGAGGACTCAGGCTCCATAAGACTTCTGACTGGAAGCACAGGGCTCCCAGCTTCCCTTGTCTTGCTCCCTAGTTACTTTCAGCTCCTTTAACTCATTGTTTTGATATTTACCTTCACAAATCTAACACGTTTATAACGGTCCTTCTTTTGTTTTGTTAATTTACTCTGGGGCATTATCTATTGCCTCCCTGCTGTCAAGACAAGTATGTAGCCCTCTTCCACCCCTTCTCAGTGTGGCTCCCCCCAAACAGGAACACACCTCCCTCCCTCCATTCCACCACTTCAAACTATGTTAGATCAGTATGCAGGGTTTAGTAAGTCACCAAGTACATCATGATCTGTTCTCCTTTCAAGCACATTCTGCTTTCCTTATAGTTGGTAGCTGTCTTTCTCTCTTTGCTTAGTTTTCTCTAATTATGACCAACTCAAGTCTTCAATTACTTCCCAGTTATGCATGTCTCCTCTCAAGGGTTCAACCACATTAAGAATTCGATTAACTTCGCCTTGAATATCTCCAGCAACCCTGTGCCCTGCCCAAGTGATGACCGCCCAGGTGGCTCTGCTAGGACCACTCGTCGCCCCTGCTGTCCGGCTCTCCTGTTCCTTCCTTTCTGGTTTACTCCTCATTTTGGAAGACCAAACCCTGAAGGAACTTTCTAAGATCAGGAAGCTTGGAGGGTAAGTTTTTGGTGAGCTTGTACACCTAAAAATGTCTTCATTCTACCTTCATTTTAATAGTAGTTCTCTTAAGACATGACATTTAAGCTGGGAGATCATTTTCCCTCAGAATTTTGAAAGCAATTCTCCAAGTAGCACTGTTGACAAGTTGAATGCCAGTATATTCCCTGATCCTATGAGCTCAGGTTTTCCTCCCAGAAACCTTGTAGGATCTTTTTATCCCCAGTGTTCTAAAATATTACATAATATCTTTATATGACATGACTTAATATGGAAATATTTTTATTCAGTGACCTGGCACCTAAAATCTAGAAACTCAGGAAAATTTTCTATTTTCAAAATCACTTGCCTCCATTCTGCCTGTCCATTCTGTTCTGAAACTATTATTCAAATGTTGAATTTCCAGGGCTGGTCCTCTAATGCTCTTATATTTTCACCCCTAGTCTCCATTTCCTTATCTCTTTATATATGTAATTTTTCTTTATTGATTTTTCTCAAAGTGAGAGGATGGGAGAGGGAGAGAGAGACATAGAAACATCGATGAGAGAGAACATTGATTGGCTGCCTCCTGCATGGCCCCCACTGGGGACTTGGCCCACAACCTGGGCATGTGCCCTGACCGGGAAATGAACCGGCGACCTCTTGGTGCATGGGTCGACGCTCAACCACTGAGCCACACCAGCCAGGCTTTTTGCTCTACTTTATGGGAGTTTTTCTTCATTTTCTCTTCTAATTCTTCTTCCAAATTTTTCATTGTTGTTACCATATTTGCAATTTCCAAAAGTTTCCTTTCCTATAGTATCCTTCCATTGCTTTATGGATGTACATACTATCTCTTAATTCTCTGAAGATATCAGAAATTATTTTTCTGAAGAGTCTCTGCTTCCTCCCAGTTCTTTTCTCCTTGTGTTTATTTTGTGTGTCTGTCTGTTGAATCAGATGCTTTCCTTAAATGTCTGATAACCCTTGTCTATCTGCTTATATTTAAGAATGTGACACTAAACAGCTGTTTGGAATCTGTTTACGGGTGGGCCTCTTCGACTCTGGTCCTCACAGTAAGGTGACTGGGCAGGGGTGTTTCCTTGGGGACTCTCAGTGTGAGCACTTTCAGAGGTCTTTTCTCTGGAACTGGTCAGATTCTCCAGAGAGGTCTCTTCCCATCTCCTGCCTAGATGCTATATGTTTACCAGCCAGTGCTCCGGGAACCACGTGGGACGATGGAGGGACACTGAGTAAACCTTTAACTTAATTGCCTTATTTTCAGCAGAGTCCCGCCACCTGTACCTACCCCGGGTGCCCTCAGTGCAGGAACCTGCTATCCTCTCTGGAGAGTAAACCCGTCTCCCTAGGTGACAAAGGGCAGCTGCTAAGGGCTCAGCAGAGGAAAGGGGACTTAGGAACCCGCTTCTTTCCATGCTTTTTTTTTTAAAGTTTCCTCCTTCCTGCATAATCTCTGGTACTTCCAAAGCGCTGTTCTATTTGTTTCTTTCTCGCACCAGGTGCCCTCACATGCTGGTTGCTCCTTGGCTTCCTCCGAGGAGAGAGGATTCAGCTTTGCTGGGTCTGCGGAGAGGTTATGACCAATCCACCTCCCCTCCAGCCCCAGAACCATGCTGCCTTTCCTCGCCCTGGCTGGTCCCTACGGGCTAATGACTTCATTAAAAACACCTTGTTTTAGTGAGTTTCAGGGGAAAAAATGTGCCTATTCAAATGGCCTCTTTTAAACCAAAAACTCTATACTTTTTAATGGGATAAAATAATTTATAACACAGCCCAAGACAATGGTGATCCTGTTTTGGAAAAACTTACATGCTTTGCCCTGCAAGTTGCTCAGTGGTTAGCGCATCGGCCTGAGCACAGGAGGGTTGTAGGTTTGATCCCTGACCCTGGTAAGGAGCATGCAGGAGGCACCAACGGATCAATTGATGTATTTCTCCCACCTCTCTCTGTCTGTCTGTCTCTCTACCCCCTTTCCACTCTCTCTAAAAATCAATGGAAAAATATCCTCAGGTGAGAATTAACAAAAAGAAAAGAAAAAAAGCTTCAGTACCAAACTGGTCAATATAAAATGTCAGTGGTCTAGCTGACAGGGGGGAAAATAAATCAGGGGACACAGAACCAATGGGGTCATATAATTTTCCAAAACAGAAGTCTAGCCAGCCATGACCTACAGACCCGATACTTCCCCGTACCTGCCAGTACAGTAACGACCGCTTATCAGGCACATAACTGCAGCCCAATTCTGCCACGTAGCTGACTGATCTAAATTTTACAATATCCAGGAACACCTACCTGAGGATGATTTTCATCAGCTTTCGTAGCCAAAATGCAGAAATCTCCACAGGTAGTAATAGAAATGAGACTCTTCACATATTTAATGTATTTCTCATTGTTTTTTGTATCCCAAAATATAACACAGTACTCCGGACGGTCAGGTCTGGTATAAGCATAAACTACAGTATTTGAGCAATAACCCCACTAGGAAAAAACAAAGGAAGAACAGGAGGGAAGAAGGGAAGGAAAAACAGAAAAGGGGAGAAAGAACATTTGACACTGGAAAGAAAGACCATATTCCTCTATTTTTACTGTAGAAATAAAGCAGACATGTGGTTTCTCAGTCCTGACAAAATGTCTTCTGCAGAAACGACGACAGAAGGTCTGAACACTCAGCTCAACACCCTTTCTCATTGAAACAACAAGAAATCTAAGAGCAATAGATAGTTATAAAACAAATAATATACTGCAAACCTAAATTAGTTCAACTCGCCTGATTTTAATTTGTAAGATTTAAGCCTCAGGGGTGAAGAGTTCAGATTTCTCAATAGTCAATAATAGCTGTCTGGGGACAATAGGAAAAGTGAATCTGGTCAAAAGTTTAAATTCTAGTCCCCAAGCCAAATTCAAAAACAGATGCTTTGACTTTGTTCCATCTGCCCACATTTTTTGTTTTTATCAGAGTAACATATGCACATGGTTTACAGTCAAATTCTACATGGTTTATTTAAAACAAAAACAAAATGTCGACTCCCCCCCCCCCCCATTTCCTCCTGGGGAGCCATTTACAACTCTTCCAGCTGCACTGTGTCGGTATTTATCTCCATGTCGCATGTGTATTGATTACAGAACTTAGACACTTAGAGCTTTGCCTTCCTGCTAACTCTCCCAACATACTTACATGTAACTTTGAATAAGTCAATATTCAGAGTCTATGTCATTATGACTGTGTTTACTATTTAAAGCTAAGCCATGTTTACTTTTTTATACCATGATTACTTTCTTAAATTTTACTGTAAAATAATTTTAGATTTATACAAAAGTTGCAAAGATAGTACATAATTCGCTGTACCGCTCTCCCACTTCCCCTACTGCTAATACCTCATGGCACCAGGGTACACCTGTGACAACTAAGAAACCAGCCCTGATGAAGCACTAGCAACTAAACTCCACACTCACCGGGATTTCATCAGCATTTCCCAATGTCCTTTCCCCTCCAGAACCCTACTGAGGATCCGTTACACTTAGTCACCATGCTCCTAGGCTTCCCTGGGCTGCGGTGGGTTCTGTCTCCCCTTGTTTCTGATGATCTCCACAGTTCTGAGGAGTACAGGACTGGCCAGGTATTTCGCAGAATGTCCTTCAGTGTGGTTTTGTCTGATGTTTTTCCCGTGCTCAGGTGAGAGCTGTAGTTTTGGGGAAGAGCTCTTCTGCCATGTCACATCAGGGGGTGTGCAATATCCACATGACACCCTGATGAGGCTGACCTGACCACCTGATGAGGCTCACCTGACCACCTGATGAGGCTCACCTGACCACCTGATGAGGCTGACCTTGACCACCTGATGAGGCTGACCTTGACCACCTGATGAGGCTGACCTTGACCACCTGATGAGGCTCACCTGATCACCTGGACAAGAGGGTGTTTGCCATGTTTCTCCACTGTAAAGTTACTTTCTTCATTTCCCGTTTCCATGCTGTACTCTTTGGAAGTGAGTCCCTAAATGCAACCCACACTCAAACCGGGGAAGAAGGGGACCATACGTCACCTCCTGAAGGGGGCGGTGCCTAGTAAATTCGAATACTTCATTGAGGAAGATTTGTTTTGTCTCCCCCACTTCTTTAGTTAAATTATTTATATCAGTTTGTATTCCTGGACACTTGTTTTATAATTTAGGTTACAATTCATTGTTGTTTCATTTATTTTGTTGCTCGAATTGATCCACCTTTGGCCAATGGGCGCTCTTTCTGGTTGGCTCCCCTGTCTCTTTGGCCCGCCCCAACCTCTTGTTTTCGGAGCACCCCTGGCTGTCGTGCCCTGTGAGATGCTCCGTGCTCTCTTGCACTTTCCCCACGCTAGTCCTAGAACCAGCCATTTCTCCAAGGTTCTTTGCCCTTTAAAAATTAGATGTGGAAGTCTTTTTAATAACAAATACCCTTAGTAGTTTACCAGCTCAGTCTCATCCTTCAGAACTTATTTTGGGTCAAACGTTAAATTTAAAATAAAATACTCATTAGTTATTATGCTGCTTATTCTCATTTTCCCCTCTGATTCATTCTCTGCCCTTCTCTACCATTCCCTGGGCTACCTTGCCCTCTGGTTTGGCCAAGAGAAGACACCAGCAGATGGAGACAGGGTTGAAGTGTCTACTAACCGCCCCCCCACACACACACACACACACCCTCCAAGCTGCCTCTGCACAGCCACAGCTCTAGTGGGCTCCAGAACAATACTTCCTTACCTTGCCCACCGCTGCTAGCCTCTAGGTGCTTACTGTGCCACCCCGTACCAGTCCCCTTCACCCTGCCCATACTCCTGTACCAGACCCTGCCTCGGTCTCTCTCAGTGACTCCTCTGAGGTGCCTTCTGTTTCCTGTGGGACCCTGACTACTGGAGTAATGTTACTAATTACGTACAGTATCCTAGAAAAGTTCACTAGTGCGAAGGTCTTCACACTAAAAAGCCTCCTTTCGGCTGGTTTCTAAAACAGGCTAAGAAGACATGCAAGAAGCATATATTATACTTTGAGCTATAACAAAAGTATTTAGTAAAAAAGCAACTTTTTCTTTTTAACAACTGTTCATAATACTCACCTTGTAATCAGGTCGAATATTTGCAAAATATATAAAATGATCTACAGCTAGTGCAATTTTCAGTCCACCACCTTCCCAAGACAGGGCCGATATCTGCTTTCCAGAAACCTTCAAGGTGCCTAGAGACTGAAAGATGATTACATTGAACCTAAAAACATCACAAGTAAATAAGCTACAAATTACTACCAATCACCTCACCGGGATCAAAACTAGAATGAAAATTATTTTGTGGAAGGTTACTACTCACTTCAAAATCATTTTCCTTGAATTTTTATAATGAAAACCATACATATGATAGGAGAAATGTATAAACTATAACCAAGGAATTCAGTATCTAATTTTATCAAACCTAAGATGCCAGAGATTTTAACATGCATCTTTATTATGTGTAACTAAGGAAAGAAAAAACACATTGTTAACTAGAATAAGACAACTTCGATTATAAGATGCATCCAATTTTAGAGTTGCAAAAAATTGTGCTTCTTAGAATCAATGAATTAATATAACAGTAAACTCAATCCTTCAGTCTCGTCTCTCATCCCTCACAACCAACCAGTCACCGAGCCCTGTTGCCCCCATTCCTATATTCCCTCCACCACAACTGCCTCCTTTCTTGAATGAACTATAGTAATAGCCTCCTAACTGCAGTTTTTACCTTTCATCTCTTTCCTCATTCCCACCCTGTACCCCCAAATTCAATCTCCACTCTACTGTCATAAATATCTTTCTGGAACACAAATCTGATCATATCCTACCTTGCTTTTTAAAATGTTTGATAATTTGCCCAACAGGTATGCCTCACTGGTTGAGCGTCGACCCATGCACCAAGAGGTTGCTGGTTCGATTCACAGTCGGGGCACATGCCCAGGTTGTGGGCTCAGTCTCCAGTGGGGGGATGCAGGAGGCGGCCAATCAATGTTCTCTCTAGTTGATGTTTCTATCTCTCTCTCCCTCTCCCTTTCTCTCTTTCTAAAATGAATAAAGAAAAAAATATATTTTTAATACTACAATGTTTGATCATTTTTAAAAATCAGTAGTTCCCACTATCACATTCTTTAGCACAGTGTGCAATGCCTTTTCCCCTTGGAGACAACACTACCCTCTTTGGCTCAATACCCCCTATTTAGCCATAATTACTGCGCTCGCATGAGGAGAGGACTTGGCCTCCACACCCTTGGCCCGTCTAGTATCCCGCCCCCCTCCTGCTGTTTCTCGTCCTCCGGGAATGCCTCTATTCACCCTTCAAGATGCAACGTGAATATTGTTTCCTGCCTTCTCCTCTCCCTCCGTGGCTCTGGAGAATTTAGACAGTGAGCTACCTGAGAGCACTAACTTTATCACATTCACATTTATTTCCCTAACCCTTCATAAACTGATTGGTCAACAGGTACTCAATAAATATTTATGAAGTCAATAAATGTATAGTAAACTAAAGTAATGTCTTCTAACATAGTACATTTTATGGCTAAATTGATGAGTGAATAAATGAACACACAGATTGTTTTTAATGTGGCCATAAAAAGAAAACATTTTTAATCTATGCTTGTTTGACAGAACAGTATAATCCCAAGAATGCAAGTTATACTGAATCCCTTGTTAAGCAGATTTGTTCTAAAGTCAAATGTAATGCATTACGCTTCATTGACCAAGAAGTTACCTTCCCTGTCTTAACATAAATCCAAAAATAAATCCCCCATATATTCACTCATAAAATATTAAGTGAGCCCTGGCTGGTTTGGCTCAGCAGTTAGAGTGTCGGCCCGCAGACCAGAGAGTCCCAGGTTCGGTTCCTGCTAAGGGCACGTGCCTCGGTTGCAGTTTGTCCCCGGCACCAGTTGGGGTAGTGTGGGTGGCAACCAGTCGATGTGTCTCTCTCACATCGATGTTTCTCTCTCTCTTCCTCCCTCTCTCCCTCCTGCTCTATCTGAAGATAAATGCAAAAATGTCCTCGAGTGACAATAAATATACATATAGTGACTAATAATCCCTGAGGAACTATGCTAGCTACTTTCAATTACAACTACACCAAAACCAGATACAGTTTTCACTTTAACACATAGCACAGGGTTTTGCAAGATAAAGCAAACGAGCCTTAGAATCCATGCTTTTCTACTCGGAGAAGGCTGAACTAACAAAATAAGCAGATAAAACAATTTAACGATAAATAAGCTGATGGCGATGAACAAAAATAATAAAGAATGGGAATTAAGAAGAAGACTAGAAACCTCAAAATAAACATCAGATGTTTAATCATTTAGGACCCTTGAGAACTCTGCTTCTATTTTTCTTTAGTGTTTACATCTATGGGAATGTCATTAGCTGACAACGCGGAAACAGTGCCCACTCTCTAGAGCAACTTCTACTGGGTAACTGAGAGATACCGACTCAAAACATCAGCCGACACCATTTCTTATTCTTACAGAAATTATTAAAATGTAATAAAAGGTGAATGTTAAAATATTAATATAACTGGTGAAGGCTTTGTATAGCAAAATTACATAGTTTTGAAGTCTATGGTGAATTTATCAAAAGCAACAGAATAGCCAAAAGGGGCTGAATATATTCCAGAGTTAGAAAATGAAATAGGGCCCTGGCCAGTTTGGCTCAGTGGTTAGAGCGTCGGCCTGCAGTCCAGAGAGACCCGGGTTCGGTTCCCGCTAAGGGCACATACCACGGTTGCAGTTTGTCCCCGGCCCTGGTTGGTCATGCGGGTGGCAGCCACTCGATGTGTCCCTTTCACGTCGATGTTTCTCTCTCGCTCTCTCTTCCTCTCTCTCCCTCCCACTCTATCTGTACAAAAAATGGAAAAATGTCCTCGGGTGAGGATTTAAAAAAAAAGAAAAAGAAAATGAAATAGGTAAAACTTTATTAAGTTGAGTTACTAACAAGTTCTCATTTTCTAAACTGTTTAAAATTCACAATATATTCATTCTCCTATTTGATATTTTCCACTACTACTTCAAGAAATCTCTCTTTAAAAATTAAATTTGGGCCCTGGCCAGTTTGGCTCAGCAGTTAGAGCGTCGGCCTGCGGTCCGGAGAGACCCAGGTTCGGTTCCCGCTAAGGGCACGTACTTCGGTTGCAGTTTGTCCCCGGCCCTGGTTGGTCGTGCGGGTGGCAGCCACTCGATGTGTCCCTTCACATCGATGTTTCACTCTCTCTCTCCCTTCCTCTCTCTCCCTCCCACTCTATCTGTACAAAAAAAAATGGAAAAATATCCTCGGGTGAGGATAAAAAAATAAATAAATAAATAAAAATTAAATTTGGTAATAATGCCATTGAGAAGGATAACGTGCATTTATTAAAACAATGCTTATCTTTTAATGTAGAATCACTTATTAATTATTAAGATAGATTTTCTTAAAATAATTGATTATTCCACAACAAATTAAACTATTAGAAGCTTAGAGGAAGGACAGATAGATACATATATTTAATATCAATGCACATTTAATATATCACATTAAAAATCCAAAAATTAGCCCTGGCCAATTTGGCTCAGCGGTTGAGCATCGACCTGTGGACCACAGAGTCCCGGGTTCGGTTCCTGCTAGGGGCACGTACCACAAAAAAAATACATAAATAAAAAATGTTTTTAAATCCAAAAATTAATCTGAAACAACTAAATTACACCAAAAAAAAACACTTAAAATCCAGCTGCAAAAACACATGCATATTCAGATCACAAAGAAAATATTCTAAATAATTATTCCATGGTGATATCCTTATGGGAAACATCTGGTTTTCTAAATGTATAGAGTAGAAAATAAACTCCAAGATAAAATACAACTACGAAGACATATAATGAGGACCATTCAAAGATATACACCTGATTATTTTTAATGTCCCTTATAAAAAATGTGACAGCCCTGCTAGTGTGCCTCCGTTGGCTGGAGCGTCATCCTGTGCACCGAAGGGTCATGGGTTCGACTCCTGATCAGGCACATGTCCGGGTTTCAGGTTCCATCCCCCATCAGGGCACATGCAGGAGGCAAACAATCAATGTTTCTCTCTCTCTCTTTCTCTTTCTCCCTTCCTTTCTCTCTAAAATCAATAAAAACATATCCTCAGATGAGGATTAAAAAAAAAATGTGACAAGTTTATACCTTTCCCCCTCCTTTTTTGCTCTCCCTCACTCGCTGCACTTAAATGGGAAGAAGACAAACTCCTGAGCACACTGACCTCACCGAACGGAGTGTAGAACTGCACGATGTTGAGATCCTTCTCCTGCGCGCCGCCCACTCTCTGGGAGCCCGCCAGGGCCAGCACGCTGCCCGTGTGGTTCCACTGGATGCTCACCACGCACATGTTCGTGTCAATTAAAACAGGATCTTTCAAAAAGAAGAGATGAGCCAACTGTGGTTAAACAGCCGAGAGCACCTTATAATCTTAAGGACAATTTTTAAATACTTTTTTAATTCTCCACATTAAAAAAAAAAAAAAAATTACATACTTTGGTCGTTCTCATGTCTCATTATCTGGCACCTCCCGTTGTCGAAACAAACGGCCAGGCAGGGGCAGTCGGGCTCCAGGTAGCCCTCTGTGCCGTGGTACCAGTGAATCCCAGCGATGCTGACGGCTCCCGTGACACTCACCAAACAATTCAGCTTCATTTTCATCTAAATAAAATCAGTTGTGTTACTGCTCCATATTTTAAAACAGATCAGTAAGGATAGATTCTCATAGAAAAACAAAGAAAATAGGATTTTTAAACCTGTTCAAATGCAAGCTCCATCACTTACTGGTTTCCCAACCCTGAACACATCACTTCACCTGGGTTTCAGTTTTCCCCATTTGCAACATGAGGATTAAAAACACTCAGGTTTTGCCCTGGCCGGTTTGGCTCAGCAGTTAGAGCGCGGTCCTGAGAGACCCGGGTTCGGTTCTCGCTAAGGACGCGTACCTCAGTTGCAGTTTGTCCCCGGCCCTGGTCGGTTGTGCGGGTGGCAACCACTCGATGTGTTCCTTTCACATCGATGTTTCTTTCTCTCTCTCTCTGTTCCTCTCTCTCCCTCCCACTCTACCTGAACAAAAAATGGAAAAATGTCCTCGGGTGAGGATAAAAAAAATAAAAATAAAAACACTCAGGTTTTACAAGACTCAAATGACAAGAGGTACAGAAAAGCACTGTGGAAATAAGTGTCATGTAAAAGCTGGCTTAATGACTTCCATTAATGAGTGGGTGTGTGCAATGTCCTGACCCTACTAAAATCATCAGATCTATCACAGCTCAATCTTGCAAAGCCAGAGTCTTTCTTGAGATGATGCAACCCGAGCCCATTCATTTGCTTCTTTCCAGAACCTGCCTTCTGTCCCTTACTGTTTAAGTCTTCCATTCCTTTCACAAACAACCTTCATTCAGTGGCTTTCTACAAAAATATCTGTGGTATCTCACGGAACTCTGGCTTCGGGTATGAGAAGATACAAAGATCAAACCGCACATCTTCCTGCTCAGCATCCTTCAGCTTCGGGACATGAAATCTGGGCCTTCCAGCCACCAGAAAATCGGAACGGAAAGCAACCCAGAGGTTTTTCTAATAAAAATAAATTTTTTAGACGATTTAAACCCAAATTTAATACTTTTTTGGTTTTTTTTTAATTTGTTTGGGTGACATTGGTTCACACAACCATACAAGTTTCATGTGTACGACTCAACAAAACATCATCTGCACACTTCATCATCACCCATCGCCCCAAGCACAGTCTCCTTCTGTTCCCATTTACCCCCCTTTGCCCACCTCTAACTACCCCACCTACCTTCCCTCTATCACCACACTGCTGTCTGTGTCTGTGTGGTTTTCGATTAATCCCTTTACCTTCTTTCATCTAGCCCCTCCAAATCCTCTCCCTGTGACAGCTGTCAGTCTGTTCCATGTGCCCATGCCTCTGTTCCTATTTTGTTCATCCATTTATTCTGTTCATTAGATTCCACATATAAGTGAGATCACAGGTATTTGTCTTTCTCTGACTGGCTTATTTTACTTAGCATTATAACCCTGAGGTCCACCCATGCTGTTGCAAAAGGTAAGACTGCCTTCTAACGACCAATTAGTACTCCATTGTGTACACGTACCAAGCTTTTTATCCACTCATCTACTGATGGGCACTTGGGTTGTTTCCAGATCTTGGTGACTGTAAATAATGCTGCTATGAACATAGGGCTACATATATTCTTTCAAATTAGTGTTTTGGGATTCTTCAGATATATTCCCATAAGTAGAATCACTGGGTTAAAAAGCAGTTTCATTTTTAATTTTTTGAGGAAACTCCATACTGTTTTCCACAGAAGACTGTCTTGATTACACAAATCATCATAAATAAATGTGTACAAAATAAATAAATGAAATAGACACATTAAAAAATGTTTTTAAAATTAAATGTCAGCTCTAATAACATTTAACATTTTGAAAAAATAAATGTGTACATGTATATGAATGATATATAAAATTAAAAAATTATATAAATAAACTAATAAATATATGGGTATATACTTACTATAAAATTCCCTTGACTATCATAAATGTGTATTTCTCCATTTGCCATTCCAAACAGTAAGACTTTACCATCTGTGGACCATGCCACATGCCACAACTGGACCCCCTTCAGGTCTTTCCCCCAAATTCGATTCCCTAAAACAAAACATACAACATAATTATTTCATTAAAAGTTCAAGGTTGCCTATCAATGTTTCTCTGTCTTTCTCTCTATCTCCCTCCCTCCCTTCTACTCTATCTAAAAACCAATGGAAATATATCCTCAGGTGAGGATTAACAAAACAAAAAAAAAGTAAAACCTTTAAAAAAAAGTTCAAGGTTGCCCCGGCTGGTATGGCTCAGTGGTTACAGTGCCGGCCCTCGCACCAAAGGATCTTGGGTTCGATTCCAGGTCAAGGGCACATCTGCGTTTCAGGTGCGATACCCAACCTGGGTCAGGGCACATGCAGAAGGCAACCAATCAACGTGTCTCTCTCAAATCAATGTTTCTTTTTTTCTCTTTCTTTTTATCTTTCTCTCTCTCTCTCTTCCCCCACTCCTTCCCTCCCTCCTTTCCACTCTATCTAAAATCAATGGAAAAATATCCTCAGGTGAAGATTAAAAAAATAAGTTCAAGGTTATGATTCTCCACAACTGCTCTAAAGATCTTGTTTTGCTAAGAGCTCTCATATCCTTCACAGCATTCACACATGTTCAGTTATTTGGTCGGCATTACTTGTGAGCAACTACAGTGCGTACTGCATGCTAGGCACCCTGGCAAACATCTGACAGAGCAGCTGTTTCCGACTCGCTCCCTGCTCTTCTGAACTCTGACCCGGAACCTGACTCCACTGAGCAGGCGAATTCATCTTCTACTTCGGAAAGAAAATAGAAGTTTTCTAAAGAAACCCTTATTCTTCCCTTCAAACATTCAGAACGTAGCTGAACCCACATTGACCCTTTCTGCTTTGCCCCCCAATACAAAGAAAAAGGTATGTCCCCAAGCAGACCCTCATCTAAGGCGAATCCCTGCACCTACTCTCTGATCTAATCCCTTCCAAGCTTTACAAAGACCTCTTTCAACTCTCCTCTCCAGCTCTCTCGTGAGTATTTAAACATATTCAGATCTGTTCCTCCTCATAACTACCACTTCAAATAAAAACAAACAAAACAGAAAACACTTCCTCAAACCTAAGTTCCCGTCCAGCTACCAACCTCTTTCTACCACTCCTTTCCCAGCCACACTTCTTGAAAGAGTCACCTATATCTGTAGTATCCACTTCAGCTCCCACTCAACCCTCACGCCAACGAAATCTGGCTTCTGCCCCACCTCACTGAAAATGCCTTCAGCGGGTCACGAATGGCCTGTTACTAAATCCAAGGATACTCTGTTTTCTTTTCCTTTTTGACCACCCCTTCCTTCCTTTCTTCTTGGCTCCTAGGAGTCCATGTTCTCCTTTATCTCCAAGACTTCTACTTTTTAGTATTCTTTATGGAATTCTCTTCTTCTGCCATCCACCAAATGATGTTGGTTTTTAGTCAACAGATGGCCCTTAGGCTGTCATCTATTCCAATGGTTTAAATTACCATCCATATGCTGGTGATTCCCAAGATTATGCCTTCAGCCCAGATATTTCTGAAATGCAGACATACATGTCTAACTGTGGTCTAGACATGTTTACTTGGATGTCCGATGGCATGACAAAATCAACATGTTCAAAATCAGCCTTTCTGCCCTGGTCGGTTTGGCCCAGCTGTTAGAGCGTCAGCCTGTGATCCAGAGAGACCCGGTTTCGGTTCCCACTAAGGGCAGGTACCCCAGTTGCAGTTTGTCCCTGGCCCTGGTTGGGTCGTGCAGGTGGCAGCCACTCGACGTGTCCCTTTAACATCGATGTTTCTCTCTCTCTCTCTCTCCCTCCCACTCTGTCTGAATAAAAAATGGAAAAATGTCCTCGAGGATAAAAACAAAACAAAAACAAAAAAAAAACAGTCTTTCTCCCACATCTCTCATTTAATAAAAGACACCATCATCTATCCAGGTGCCAATGCTAAAAACCTGGATATCACCCTAGACACTTCCATCCCCTCACCCCAATCCAATCCATTCTACATCCTAAGTACCTCTGAAATGTGTCTGCTTACTGCCCCTCCTGGTCATCAGCCTGGTCCTGGCTACTAGCCATCGTCTCTCACCCGAATGCCATAGTAATTTCCCAGTCGGTACACCTGCCCTCTGTCTTTCCTTCCTCCATTCTCCATATCACACTCACAGAGATGTTTCTAGAGACCAAACCTGATCACATTGTTTCCATTCTTAAAACCTTTCATTGGGTTCCCAATACTCTTAGAGATAAATCCAAACTCCTTTTATAACTTACGATCTCCACAGTCTGGCCTCTGCTACTCTCTAATTTCATCACACACAACTCTTCTCCCTGGTATTGTACTATACTGATTCTCAAAATATTTTCAATACCCCAAACGTGGCTAAGTTCAAATCCTCAAATGCTATTTCTTAGGCCCGAGATATTCTACCTATCAACCTTCCTTGTGGCTAATGCTTCATCATAGACATCACCTCCTCCAGGGTGCCTTCCCTGATCCCTCCAAGTCTGGGTTAAAAACATCTTCTGCATTTTTCTGTATTTTCCCTGTCTCAGCACTTATCACAAGGCACTGTAATGCTTGGTTACTTATCCATTTCTCCTAATCTAAACCTGGACTAATTTTTTTGTTGTACCTAGTGCCTAGAACTACAGCTGTGATTTTGTAGGCACTCGGAAACAAACATTTATGGAATACACAGTTATACACACACAAATTTTTTAAATCAGAAAAATAAAAATGACTTCAAAATAAATTATTTCTCTTTAGACAAGAGTTTCATATTAAAGCAAAGGTACATTTCAGAAGCCCAGTGTTGTCTATGACCTAGAATTTGATCGCTTCTTAAACTTTTGGCTAAGATCAAGTGTATGAACTAGAATTTGAAAGAGTTTTTAAGGCTACAAAACACAATTAACAATGACATGCTCAGTTCTATTAAAAAATAATTGAGTGATCATTTCACAATATATAAATTATCAAATCATTACGTTGTACACCTGAAACTAATGTTATATGTCAATTATATCTCAACTTAAAAATAATAACCAGAGATTATTATATATCTATACACTTTTTGAAATTAAAGTCTACATACTTATAATACAGTGTAATAAGTATAAAGAGAAATTATATAATTAGGCAGACATATTTAAAATAATCCTGAAATTTTAATTCACTTTTTTAAGTGCCACTGTAGGAAATTTTTTAAAAATAGACTTTTTTACTTGAATATACTTAAAAATAAATGAATGTCATCAAATTATAAACCAACTGTTTTCTCTTTTTATGTTTATTTTTCTGTCAGATGGCTAACATATAGTAATTACTTTAAACCTCTAAAGATGACAATGTCAGCTGAGTCTTGACCTTAGCTCTGGGGATAACCAGGCATTACCATCCACAGAACCGACTATCACAGCGCCGTCTTCGTACACAATGCAGATCTTCTGCCCGTCCGCGGTCCAGCTCATGCTGCGAACCACTGATTTATTTCTGTTGTTGATCATTTCCTCGTACCAGGAGCCTATTTTCACAAACAAGAACATTACAAGTCAAAACTTCCACATCTATGAAATGGTACTTACGATTTGAAAACATTCCATGGAACACAATGTAAAATAAATAACTGCAAAGTTTTCTACAACGTGAGACATTAAACTGTAAAACCTTCCAATCCAACATAAACAAAATGAAAAATTAACTTAGGCCTGAACTAATAATTGCTTCAAAGAGTATCGCTGAAAACGCAATAAATTCCCATCTTTTTTTCTTTCCCTCTTTCTTCCTTTCTTTCAGTCAATTAAAAAGTCAAACTTCACTCTAGGAATATACCCTAAGAAGCCTGAAACACCAATCAGAAAGAATATATGTACCCCCATGTTCGTAGCAGCACTATTTACAATAGCTAAGATCTGGAAACAGCCCAAGTGTCCATCAGTAGACAAATAGATAAAAATGTTGTGGTACATATACACAATGGAGTACTACGCAGCTGTAAGAAAGAAAGATCTCTTATCCTTTGAGACTACATGGAGGGACCTAGAAAGTATTATCCTAAGCGAAACAAGCCAAACAGAGAAAGACAAGTATCATATAATCTCACTTATTTGTGGAAAATAATGAACATAACAGTCTGAGGAATGGGGTAGTCCCAGAGACGTGGAAGTGGGGTACAGACTAACAATCCCCAGAAGAGGGGGTGGTGGGGGAGAGATAAACCACAGAACTTATATGCATGTATGCATGAACAATGGACATGGACAACAAAGCTGGGGACAGAGCAGGGAGGGAGGGGGAGGGCGGAACCAGTGGGAGAAAAAGGAGAAACATCTGTAACAAAAATAAATTAATTAATTAATTTTTTAAAAAGTCAAACTAGCCCTGGCCAGTTTGGCTCAGCGGTTAGAGCGTTGGCCTGCGGTCCGGAGAGACCCGGGTTCGGTTCCCGCTAAGGGCATGTACCTCGGTTGCAGTTTGTCCCTGGCCCTGGTTGGTCGTGCGGGTGGCGGCCACTCGATGTGTCCCTTTCACATCGATGTTTCTCTCTCTCTCTCTCTCTTCCTCTCTCTCCCTCCCACTCTCTCTGTACAAAAAAAATGGAAAAATGTCCTCGGGTGAGGATAAAAAAAAAAATTTAAAAAAAAAAAAAAAAGTCAAACTTCACTTACTTTTCAAGGGCCAAAACAACTGATTTTTCTCAAAGCTAACTTTTCCCACTTGAACACACTTAAGATAATAATTAAGAAAAAAACAGAATAACCACAATAACTTTGTGTATATGCATAAACTCTCCAATGATTAACTATAAGCATAGGAAATACAAACATATTAAGTATAAACTCTAAGCCTACTTTAGAAACATTTTAAACAGTTTATATCAAATTACTGATATCACATTATGAATGCTGAATAACAAAAACGTTCTTGTGCACAGGTTTGGAGTGAGATGTGACTTGTCTCGAGGTAACAGCAAACGTGAGGCAAATCACAAGTCTATTTTGTTTTGTTTGGGGGTTTTTTTGATTTTTTTAAATCCTCACCTGAGGATATTTTTTCCATTTATCTTCAAATAGAGTGGGAGGGACGGGGAGAGAGGGAGAGAGAAGCATCGATGTGAGAGAGACATACTGACTGGCTGCCTCCCACATGACCCTGACCAGGGTGGCGAACAAACCGCAACCAAGGTACGTGCCCTTGATCTAAATCGAACCTGCAACTCACTGGTCTGTGGGCTGACGCTCTAACCACTGAGCCAAACCGGCCAGGGCTGTTTCTGTTTTTTTAAAAGGCTTTACCACATTTCGGTATAGGGAACTCTAGCCTGCTGAGTTCATTTGGAATACATGATTATCAGAGCAGGGTATTGTCAGAGTCAGGACTGAGGCCCTGACACCCTTCCCTGGAAAAAGACAAAAGTTTATCCAGTCTCTCGTACTTTCACATCCACACACATAAACTTTAAAAAATAATAATAAATTTGTGTACTATGGCATCTTTTTTAACGAAGAATTTTTAAATGGTATACTCTGAACATTTTCAAAACAACATCCATGAACTAAGGTACTCTTTTCATTTCAAGATGATAGCTATAGGCCTCCAGAGAACACATATTATGAGTTTTGTGGGATTTTCTTTCACAATAGTGACACACCTAAATTATTCCTTCTCTCAACTCTCTAGTGGGCAAAAGGCACAAACTGTGAGCCAGAGTCAGAGCTGAGATAAAATCCACATCCATGAAAGACAAGGAAACTAACTGACTCGAGGAAATGAATTATTTCCTTTGACTCCTTAATAAATATGTTTTTACCTACTGACCTAATTCCAGTCACTGATCACAGAGGAACTAATTCTTCTTGGAAACCTGGAAAAGCAGGAGCTACCTCAAGCAGAAACTATTCTGCTAAGAGTCTAAGTTAATTTTGGAGATAACCAACAGTCACCCAATTCGCTTTCCTAATACAAGGTCACAGTTCAAAGGAAATGAAGTTAAAGGGAAAAGTAGGGACCAAGAAATCCAGAAACATCACCCCTGTGCAGTCAGGATGAACTCCTATGGCTGGTTAAAAGGGGTCTATTTCTGCCCTGGCCAGTGCGGCTCAGTTGGTTAAGCACTGTCCTGTGTACCGAAAGATTTCAGGTTTGATTCCTGGTCAAGGCACATGCCCAGTTTACTGGCTGGAGGCAGTTTCTCTCTCACATCAATGTTTCTTTCTCTCCCTCTCCCTTCTTTTCTCTCTAAAATCAATAAGAATTTTTTTTTAAGGGGTCTATTTCAAAGACATTATTTCCCCATTCAAATACTGTAATCCAGACTCCAATTTGTGAAAGATTATATAAACTCTCCTAATATACCTTTATAAAACATCCAAACAATGATAAGCCCATTTTGATCACTGGTTGTCAACTTCTGATATTGTTCATTCCATGTGACAACTTGAACACAACCTAAAAAATATAAAACAATTTAGAAACCACAAAAATGCTATAATTTCATGCATATTTTTATAACAAATGCCAAAGAGTATGTTAAAATCAATACAGTTCCTGTCCAACTAACCAATCCTTAATATTAGTCAAAAATATTCATAGGATATAGTTACTATTATCACTCACTTTTTACAAGAATGCGTAACACTATTTTTCATGTCTGTTCCTATTTCATGCCGGCAAAGCACCTATTATGGTCAGATGCAAAAGCTGCTATGTATCTGCTGCCAGACACAAAGATAAGATTTACCCAACTGGCCAGACTCCCAAGGATTATAATGCCCAAAGGACATCATACTAAGTACTTGGTTGTTTTTGGTTTGGTTTGGTTTTGGTGGGGGAGGCGGGGGGGATTCTTTATGGTTATGTCCCCTAATGTCTCTTCTCCATACCCCTTTGTTTTTCAATCTATTAGTAAGACACTCTTAAGCAAATCTTAGACATCTCGGTTATATGAACAAATGACTTTTTTTTTTTTTTTTTTAGTTTTTGCAATCCCTAAATACTTTAGTGTATATTTCTTAAGAATAAGGACATTTTCTTTCATAACCACATTACAACTCAGGAAATTTCACATTGATACAATATAATTCTCTAACCCATAGTCCACATTCAAATTTTATCAACTGTGTAATTAATGCCCTTTACAGATACTTGTTTTTCTCATTCCAAGATCCAATCTAAGATTAATAGCTCATTCAGTTGTGCCCCAGCCGGTGGCTCAGTTGATTGGAATGTCATCCTGTGTGCCAAAGGGTTGCGGACTCAATTCCCAGTCAGAGTACATACCCAGGTTTCGGGTTCAATCCCCAGTCAGGGTGTACAGGAGGCAACCAATCAGTTTCTCTCTCTCTTTCTCTCCCTTCCTCTCTCTCTAAAAATCAATTTTAAATAATATCCTTGGATAAGGATTACGAAAAAACACAATAGTGCATTCAGTTTTTATATCTCTTTAGTACTTTAACCTGAAACCATGGGACAAATTCTCAAAAAAGATTATATCCTATCCATAGACAGATACAGTATTTTCTAATATATAAAATAACAGCTACCATTTTTCAGATTAATTGAAGATGTTGTTTAATCATGTAATGCAAAAGTTGTTGAATGACTCTAGGCTGTATTATGGCTCAATAGAAATTACTACTTTATTACTATTATTGAAAATGATGACAATTCCGCACTAAGGAGATGGTTTCCAAATGCCTAACCATGAAATATAATTTAAAAATTACATGACTTACCACTATGACCTTCAAGATTCTGATTCATAGAAAGGTTATTAGGAGCTGCAAGACCCCTCAATTTTGCATCATCTAGAAAAAGCAAAAAATAATAATAAAACTACTATGGTAAATATATAAAAGTGACAGATTATAAGATTTTGACATTTCTTGTTTTTGAAAGGAGACTCTATTCCTGGATGATATTAGAAAGATTTGTTTTAAGTATGCCTCATTCTAATCTATTTTTTTCATGGTGGAAACATGGACAATAATACATACACCCTTGCTAAGGTATTATTCTGGCAAAATACAGCAAAGTGTATATAAGAACATTGTTTACTCCGTATATTAAATAATTAACAATTATTATTAGTACTACTTATTCCTTCCCAAAAGATCACAAATAGAAATATTTATGACATGTAGATTTAAAAAATCTAAAGCAGAAGAGGGATAAAAAGCAAAGACTTTGGAAACTGGTTTTACTAGATTTTATAAAGTCTTGTATTTATTCATTCATTCAGCAAATGTGTATTGAATATCTACACTGTGGGAGGTTCTGGATATAAAATGATGAACAAAATAGCCAAGGCTTCTCTCCTGAGAGAACTTGTAGTCTGCTGAAGGGATAGATGTTAGATGCATGCTCACATGTGCACATAAATACATCAGTATAAATGTACATATTAGTATTTATATAAACTGGAGAAGTAAAGGCATAATAAGAGATAGTAACACACAGGGGTTAATTTAGATGGGAGAAAGGGAAATCAGGGAAGACTTTCTGAATAAAAGATGTTTAAGCTGAGACAGAGATAAAGTGAGATGGACAAGTGAGATAGGGAAAAGGGGAGTATTCCAGGCTAGGAAACAGCCAGGGCAAAGGCCTGGGGGTTCAGGGGTAGAGCCTTTGACAAATTGAAAGAAAGCCCCGTTGAGTTATGGGAGAATGACATAAGATGAGACAGGAGTGATAAGCACAGGAAAACTTATGAAGTCTTTGTAGGAAATTATAAGAATTTTAGATTTTATCCAATGTGCAATGAAAGCCTTTAAAGACTGCTTTTTTATTTAAGTTATTTGTTCTCTTTGATTACTAATCATACTATATATAATATACACAATATTAATATACATCATTTCAGTAATGTCATCTTCGCTTGGAAAATCGGATCATTACATGTAAAATATAGCCTTCTAAACCTTCCATTTAAAAATACAAATTTATGAAAATCTTAAAATTTTGTGACAATGGTAAGTATAAAGGTTGATGCTAAAAAATTCTACTTTCTGCCCTGGCCAGTTTTGCTCAGCAGTTAGAGTGTTGGCCTGTGATCCAGAGAGACCCGCGTTCGGTTCCCACTAAGGACACGTACCTCAGTTGCAGTTTGTCCCCGGCCCTGGATGGGTCATGTGGGTGGCGACCACTCAATGTGTCCCTTTCACATCGATGTTTCTCTCTCTCCCCCTCCCCCCCCACTCTAGCTGAACAAAAAATGGAAAAATGTCCTCGGGTGAGGATAAAAAATTAAAAATAAATATTATAAAAATATTCTTTTTTAAAATATGTTTTTGGTTATTTTTTAGGGAGAGATAGAAACATAAAAGTGAGAGAGACACATCCATCAGTTTTCTGCCATATGCACTCCAACTGGGGCCTGAACCCCACAGCCTAGGTATGTGCCCTGACCGGGAATCAAACCCGCAACCCTTTGGTGTACAGGATGATACTCCAACTGAGCCACCTGGCCAGGGCTAGACTACCCACTTTAACACCACAGTCAGCTGTCAAACAATTAAGATAGAATAAATATTGTGGGCACACACATTAGTTTGAACTTTTTTTTTTAAATCCTCACCTGAGAATATTTTTCCATTTATCTTCAGATAGAGTGGGAGGGAGAGAGAGAGGGAGAAAAGGGAAAGAGAGAAACATTGATGTGAGAGAGACACATCAGCTGGTTGCCTCCTGGGGCCGGGGATGAACTGCAACCGAGGCACATGCCCTTGACCAGAATCGAACCCACGACTCTTTGGTTCGCGGGCCGATGCTCTAACCGCTAAGCAAAACCAGCCAGGCTGAACATTATTTTTTAAACATAGGGTTCTTTCACTCACTGAATCTTTAAAAAATTATACTGTACACTTAAAACTTATTCAAGTATTCTAAAAATATTTGATGGCAATATTTTTCTTAACTTATAGCACTGAAAATCCATTCTAAAGCCTTTAGCTACAGTCACTGGAACCAAGTAAAATTAGTGATAAGTGATTCTAATGGTTTATAGGACCTAATATATTTGAAAATATGATGAAATAGTTTCCACTGGTTTATATTGTCTGAAATCACAGTTCTGCACAACGAACATGTTTTCTCTGTTAAACCATAAAGGACAAGACTCTACATAAAGTATATGCTGACTACCCGGGCTGGTTTGGCTCAGAGGTTAGAGTCTTGGCCTAAAGACCAAAGGGTCCCGGGTTCAATTCCCAGTCAAGAGCATATACTTGGGTTGCAGGTTTGATTCCAGGCCCCAGTCGGGGTTGTGCAGGAGGAAACCAATCAATGTGTTTCTCTCACATTGATAATTCTCTCCCTCCTTCTCCTCCACTCTATCTAAAAATCAATGGAAAAATATCCTTGGGTGAAAATTAACAACAATGACAAAAAAATTATATATATAGCCCGGCCGGTGTGGCTCAGTGGTTGAGCGTCAACCCATGAACCAAGAGTTCGCCAATTCAATTCCCAGTCAGGGCACATGTCCAGGTTGTGGGCCAAATCTCCAGTAGGGGGCATGCAGGAGGCGGCCAATCAGTGTTCTCTCTCATCAATGTTTCTATCTCTCTCCCTCTCACTTCCTCTCTCTCTAAAATTAATAAAGAAAAAATATATATACATACACACACACACACACTAACAGATGAGAAGAATATGGTTTTGAAATTTTGCTTTATATATTGAACAAATATCATCCACAGCTGAACACTGTCTCTTGCTGGTAGCAATTCCATAACTTGATCATGCAAAAGATATTAGCAAAACCCATGTGAAAGTTCTGATTTCCAAATAAAAGGCCAAAAGTTTTAAATGAAGCCACCAATTCCCAAGATTCCATTGAGTTACATTACTAAACACCCCATGGCCAATAAGGTGACAAATCAAATTGGCGTGGGAACAAAAATCTGGTAATACTGACATAATTATTCTAAAAGCACATGCCAGTAACCCTTGGATTTAAAAGGTATGATGAAAGAAGTCACCCTAATAAAACAAGGCATTGAAAATCCATGAAGACGAATTTCAGAATGAAGTCAGTGATTTTAACAATCCAAAGTATCTCCCAGGAGTTCCAAAAGTCCAAAGGACTTAAAAAGATTAAACTGTGACAAAGCTAACTGAGAATGAAAGATGTAAGAGAACAGAAGATGCTGCTAAGAATACGAGTAACCACGTACAAATCTTTGAGAGCCTTTATCTTAGGAAAATCTGGCTGACATTCATAAATATCAATCTTTGCATTTTACATTTATAAAAATTGTTAGCAGCCACTTCCAAGAGAAATTCCTGTTATATGCCACACAATAATTTGACAAGCAAGATCAAAATATATGGACGACATTTTTGCAACATTTTTGAAAAGATAGAATTCTGAGAAGGTGCTAGGGCCATGTTCTCCAGACTGAGAATTGATAGGATCGCCTGGCTGCCGTGCTGGTCTGTGTGAATAGCTGCAGGTGACTGTGTACACATCCCCAAGTAGAGCTTTGGACACCTGAGCTGACACCTCTGGAAGCTGGACTTTCAGCACATCCTTTAGGTATGGAGTTGGTCTGGATAAGAACATTTCTAGAATGAAGGCAGGAACCTCTCCCTGCCAATCTTGTTGGGTAGGCACATTGGAAGTCTCACCACCTGCAGTTCCTGGAGAACTGTGCACATGGCTACAGTGGGCTTGCAAGATCTAGGAATACTTTTTCTCTGACCCAAATGTTTGCTTTAGGGAGATATCTCCTCTCATGATGATGAGTGGACAGAGGCCTCAGCGGCAGTGACAAGAAAAGCAAGAGATGACATCTCAACCCTCATCAGGGCCATTATTCTCAAACCCTATCACAAGCAACTCTGGCCCAGACCAGCAGCCCTTTAAAGACTTTTTTTTTATCCTCACCCAAGGACATCTTTCCATTTTTTTGTTCAGATAGAGTGGGAGGGAGAGAGAGGAAGAGAGAGAGAGGGAGAGAGAGAGAGACATCGACATGAAAGGGACACATCGAGTGGCTGCCACCCGAGCGACCCAACCAGGGCCGGGGACAAGCTGCAACCGAGGTACATGCCCTTAGCGGGAACCAAACCCGGGTTTCTTGGGACCGCAGGCCGATGCTCTCACCGCTGAGCCAAACCGGCCAGGGCCCTTTAAAGACTCTTTAGCAGGGGAATGACAGGATCTGGTTCCTTTCTTTAAGATCACACTGGCTGGAGTGTGAAGAATAGTCTAGAAGGAGGCAAGAGACAATGGATGGAGGGAAACTAACCCTCATAAGCAATCCAGGTGAGGGATGACAGTGGCTGGCACTAGAGAAGTCATAGAGGAGACAAAGGGAAAGGATGGATTCAGATACATTTTGGAGACAGAAGCAATAGGGTTGTTAATGAAGGTGATGTTAAGGGGGGGAGCTTCTAGCTTGAGCAAATGGATAAAATTAAGACGTTTGCTGAAATAAAGAAACAAAAGATATTTGGGAGAAGATCAAGAGTTTAGTTTTAGACACAATAAGTAAGAGATGCCTATGAAAGATTCAGTGATGTTCAAGTTTGAAAATCAATATTGAGCTGGAAAGATAAATTTAGGACTCATCACCCCGTAGATGGCATTTAAGCCGTGGGAATGAGAAAATAAGTATAGAGAGCATACAAAATAAAGAGAAAGTTCTCAGGAATTCTAACTGTTAGAAGAGAAAGAGAATATGGTAAAGAGGCTGTTAAGTTCCAAAACAAGTAATTTACTCTATTTTCCAAACTTCTCAAGAAGTTCTACTTTCCCCCAACCTTGGAGTATCCGGATGAGGCTCTAACCAACTGAGCTACCTAGCCAGGGACATGAATGCATTTCTTTTTTTTTTTTTTTTTTAATCCTCATCCGAGGACATTTTTCCATTTTTTGTACAGATAGAGTAGGAGGGAGAGAGAGGAAGAGAGAGAGAGGGAAACATCGATGTGAAAGGGACACATCGAGTGGCTGCCACCCGCACGACCAACCAGGGCCGGGGACAAACTGCAACCGAGGTACGTGCCCTTAGCGGGAACCGAACCCGGGTCTCTCCGGACCGCAGGCCGACGCTCTAACCGCTGAGCCAAACCGGCCAGGGCATGAATGCATTTCTTAATGTAACGAAAACTTGTTGCATATGTTAAGCAAGATAAAAAGGCATGTATAATAACATACATATGCATATATATTTAAGAAACATAACAGAGAGAGAAATTTTCTTTTAAGACTGTTAATAAAACCAAAATATTGAAAGATTAAATGACTAAACATCAGAAGCCAAATTCTTGTTCACTTTCCATCAGTAACTTCAGCAAAAGCCATCTGAACTTGACTGCAAAAATACTCTAGAAAAAAACACCACAAAATGTTTGGGATTTTGCCCACCCCACCCCCCAACTCCTTTAATTTTTTTTTTTTTTTTAATCGCATACTGACAATAACATGAGCGAATCTCTAGCTAGTTTTCCACCAAGTTCAAACATTTGGGCTTGCATTCATTTACCTACCTGTCTGTGTCTCTAATTTCAAAACTTTCAGTAATCCATCTTCGCCACCACATGCTATGAATCCTTGGTCCTTGTTCCAAGATATACATTTCAGCTTCACGTTATTGGGAATGGCAATCTGAAAAGTAACCACAGCCACGCTCACAACTTTTTACGAAGGAGGCGGGAAGTGAGTCTGCAGGAGAGGAAAGGCTGAAGACAATTCCCAAACGGTCAGCCTTGGGGTGAGATGTTTTTGGAAAGGGGCGTGTCCCTGAACTGTGCGGGGCCCTAACTTTGGGGGAAAGAGAGAAAGGTGCACACAAAAGAAGGGCGCAGCGAGGAACCCAACGGGGGAGTCGCCTGATGGGTTTTTTAAAGCGGTGAGTGGGACACGGGGATATAAATCCCTACCATCGATCCACATTCGCCTTCACACACACACACACACACACACACACGCTCACACACTCAGGCTATGATTTTGTAATAATTTTCACGGAGCTCGTGATGGTCCAAAGAATAAGTCAGCTGGGTCAGCAACAGGTGGAGAAGGAGAGAGGGCAGCACGTCGGATGTGTCCCGCGGGCCCTGCTGACGAGCCCAGCCCGGGCGGGGAGGGGAGGGGGTCCTGCGGCAGGGCTGCCGGCTCCGCCAAGGACTATCTGGGGCTCGGGACCGGCCGGAGGAGGTCCGAGGCTGGACCCCCCAGGAAGGTTGGAGGAAGGATGGAAACGCCGCGATCCGGACGCCCGGCTTCGCGGGCAGATGCGGGAACCGAGAAGGAGCGAGGGCGCCCCCAGGGAACACTCACTCTCTTGCTCAGATAAAAGAACATCCCGGAGGCCCCGAGGGGGCGACCCCAGCCGCCGAAGCTCGCAAGTGGAAACTAAGTCGCCAATTGCCAGTACCGGCCGCTCTTGGAAGCTCCCGTTGCCCTGGCAACCGGTCGCATCCGGGGCGCCCGGGGACACTTCCGGTGTCGGTCGTGCACGGCTCAAAGGGCGTCGTGCGCCTGCGCGGACGTCGAGGCGGGGCTCTTAGGAGTGACTGTTCCAAGGCCAAAGCTGGGCTGGGGGCTGGGTGGACTTCAGGGCTTCGCTGTGCTCACTGAGCAGGGCGCCGACCCTCCGAGCCCTGCTCGGAAGCCTCAGATGCCAACCCCAGCGGCTCCGGGCACACGCCGCACCCCAGATGGTCCCTGTGAAACTCGCAGAAGGTGTCAGCATCCCTTTAGGAGGGAAGGCGCCCGTTCACTGATTGGATATTTATTTTCTAAGCCCCAAAACCCCAGCATTGCTGAAAGGCAAAAGTCATTAACTGTATTTGGTAGGTTGGCGCCCTCGGGCCAATGAGGTTGCAAACATGCGAGTTCAGTGCTTGCAAACCATCCCCTGGGCCTTCGGGGATTAGAGAACTCCCCAGAGCCTTTGAGGGTTGGAGTGTGTGTTCATTCTGTTTGTTTTAGAACTTTTTAACACCTTATTTAAACTGTTATTACAGCCCAAGGGCCCTTATAAAAATATGTGCGAGCTTTGGGCCATTACAACATATAATTGCCATTGGGGCATAGCCTTCCATTTTTAAATAATTGAGGTATCTGGTATTTTCTTGCCTGGAGGCAACTGTTCAATAATCTCTTCTTTTTCTGCCTTATTTCTTTCTTCAATTCTCGTTTGTGCTTTTTGAATCCCTGGAAAGTTACAAAGCACCATGTTGTGGCGCAAGAGAACAGAGAGACCACCAGAGCCAAATTAAAGCCAAACAGAGAACAAAGCCTCCGGCAACTGATTCCGAGTTCTCCAGAGGAGAGTTATCGGAGATCAGCCCTGACTTTCAGCTACATTTTTATTTACAGGGGGGTTGTTACAAATTTCTGCATCTGGCATTTCTTGATGGCCTTGGGGGAGAGCAAGCAAGCAAGTACTGCAGTGGAGGCAGTTGGTGATAAGTGGAAGGGAACAGAGGTGGGAGGGAGCGGAGGCGGAAGGGAACTGCATCAGCACACATCTATGGTCAGGGTTGTCCTGCTATTCACTCTATTTTCTAAGTTCTAAAAAACAAGAAATTCACTTAGAGGACAAATTTGCTTAGAGGACAACCAGGCCAGCTGGCACTTCTTTGGTTTGTCCCTGAAAGCTCCACAGTCGGCCTTTTGTATTATTTAATCAGGGCAAGGCGATACAAGCAGGCCAGCACATTCCCCACTGGTTTTCAGGGGAATCAGATCATTGTTTCCTCTTCTGAATTTTGAATTCTTTGGTAATGGGTGCTTAGGACCATAAGTTTAACTGTCTGGATTCTTTCTCTGATATATTTAGTTAAACAGTTAATAATTATGGGGCCAAAAAGTAGCCCTATGAGCAATAATAGAAGAGGTCCTGCTATAGCTGATAAGAGGGTCGTTAACTATGGAGACCAATTATATAGACCCTCGAACCAGTTGCTTCCTGATTTTCTTAGTTCTTCTCTGTCTTGGAGTCTTTGCCTAACTAGGGACAGGCTGTCTCGTATCATGCCAGAGTGATTAGCATAAAAACAGCAAGTTTCACCAAGAGCTGTACATACATTTTCTTGTTTTTAGGAAGAGGAGTGTTGGGAGCCAGCTATGTGTCTGACAGAGTCCACAGAGCCTGGAGGTCTTGAGTCAGAGACTCGACCTCTCCAACAATCTCAAGGAATTAGGCATAGGCTTGCATTGTGTTTGTGCAGCTCAGGGCTAAGTGTGACCCAATGTACCTTGAAATACCTAAGATAACAGACTGGGTATTCCTGGGTGCTCCTGTTATCCGCAAAGCAAACTAATTCTATTCAGCATTGTTGTAGCCCTGGGCATTATATCAAGAAGATCCTATTTTCTTATAACACTAAACTTTTGCTTTAAGGTATAAAAGGCATGTAATAAAGCATATTGAGGCTGATCCTGCTGAGGACAGTCCTCCTGATCCCATATCCGTATCTTCATCTTCATTCCCACCACTCAAACTCAGAGACTCTGCTCTCCAGGCTGGTTCCTGGCACTGACGGACCATAAAAGCCTCCTGCAAATTGAAACTACCTTTGGGTGGCCAATTAACCCCAAAGGTAGGCCATTCAAGTTCGCATAAGGTTAGTAAGGTCCCTGAGCTAACCGGAACATTATAGCTTTTTGCCCGAGCTTTGAAATTTTTAAAATTATCCAGTAGGAATTGCAATGGAGTTTTTGTGCCAGATTGACTTTGGCCCATGACAACAAAGGGAAGTGCAACCAGACAACAACAGACAATCAGAAGGGCCATTAAACAAACAGAAAAAACACAGTCAGGACCAATAACCAAAGTTCCCTGCGATATCTCGCTAGGGGACCTGGCCGGGGAAGTAATGCTGCATCCATTCTTCTCCCTGCCACTGAAAGGTGCCATCAGAGTAAACAGAAAACGGTACTCACTGGTGAGATCAGATCCAGATGACTCAGGCAAATCCAGATGCTCTCCCAGAATTCCATTTAAAGTGGAATTTGAGACCAGGCTAGGGAAACTGGGAGGGCAGGCTTAATCCTGGGGCAGAGGAACGTCTCTCCGAGGTCTTCCCCTAGGTTAGCCCCCACTTCCAGTTTCAATAGCTGGTCTAGTTGTCCAGTCCAGGGCTTCCCCATAAGGGAAGGATCTTGCTGGGGCCTCCAAATGTTGTGGCACGAGAGAACCAAGAGACCACCAGAGCCGAATTAAAGCCAAATAGAGAGTAAAGCTGGCTGGTGACTGATCTCCAATAACTCTCCTCTGGAGAACTCAGGATCAGTCACCGGCCAGCTTTGCTCTCTATTTGGCTTTAATTCAGCTCTGGTGGTCTCTCAGTTCTCTCACACCACAACAGACCACAATTTTAGACACAGTACAGAAACTCTCATGAAATTATTGTATCACCCATTTTTTCCTCTGGTTTTCCCTTTTACCATATTCTTTATAACCTAGCATGTACTTTATGCAACAGTAGTCGATTTCCCCACCTAGAGTCTTTCCCCATCTCAGGCAAATAATGTGCAAACCCGTTACCTGAGACTGTTACTTCCCCCAGTGCACTAATAATTGACAAAGGTCCTGCTGCCTTTCTATGAAATTTAAACCCTGGCTAAAATCAGATCGATCACCCTTCCATCCTCAAATGTCTTTACTATGGTGCCCCAAATCTAAGCAAGCCAATATGCTTTCTGCATCTCGTCATTCCGCTCTGCTTCTAAGGCCTTTTATATCCTATGATTGTCCTACTCTCTTGACCAACTGTGCCTAGCCAAACACATCAACCAGGTCTTTTTTTGAGAAATTCTTTCCAAACTTACCCCAGTCCATTCAAATAATGTGTATTTGTTTTCAAGTGTATGTGTATCTTTTTTCAGCACCACACTGTAAATTCCTAAAATGTGTTGGCACCTCCTCACAGGCTCCCTAGACTCATGAGGCAAATGAGTATTATCTAAACCAAGGGATCCCAAGCAATGGTCAATTTTTGTTTTTATTTTTATTTTTTTGTGTGATATGTGCTCCTAGCGGGAACCAAACCCGGACTCTCTGGTCCGCAGGCTGACGCTCAACCCCTGAGCCAAACTGGCCAGGGCAGCAATGGTCAAATTTAAGAAACGATTAATTGAGGCTTGTTACTAATGGTCTCACTCTTTAAAAATCATCTCTAAATAGCTTTTCTTAGTTCTTGAATGTGAGCTCTCATTTATTCCTTCTATAGCACCATCGCTCTGTGATATATTAATATATTACTGATTCTGTGCTCAACTAAGTTTGGAAAACAATACTGCTCTATGTTATATCTTTCAAAAATGTTGAGAAATAACAATATATGTTTCATAAAATATATACTGTCTTGATGTATTTATTTTTCATTTATTCCCTTTAAAGTTTATATTTTAGATTTTTTACTGTTTCTGGGTTTGACTGTTCCTGTAGGTTATATTTGCTTTTCAGGCATATATATTAATATAACCTGATCATAATTTTACCTAAATTTAGATCATTTTACTTTACTCCCTCTCCCACAACATTCTTGATTAAAGCCTTTCTATTTAACCTGAACTTACATTTCTAACCTTCAGAGAATGTGATTTAAATTATAGAGTCACATTATTTTCTATGACAAGAAACTACTATATATGCAAGATAATTGAGTTTACTTTAAGGAAATATGTTAATAGACAAAATTAATGAATCAAACCCCCCCCAAAAAAAGGCATGACAGTAATATATAAAGATACTTTTTTATTATACTAAAGACAATACAAACCAAAGAGAATTAAGCAGTACACAATTTAAAGGACTGTTTGCTTCAAAAAATGATAAGCATTAAAGCTGAAAAAATGTATATGTATTAAATATATAAGTGAAAACTAGACTTATCACTAACATTTAAGAAGACAACGTTAGGTTTTGTTACTTGTTACAATATTTATAAACATAATTTTATTGATTGGGTCATAAAGTAAAAGAATAAAGTAAATCTAAAGGTTTTGTCTTTGGTAAAAGTTATAATACTTTTAAAAAATATTTTATTCACTGATTTTAGAGAGAGAGAAACATTGATTTGTTGTTCCATTTATTTATGCATTAATTGGTTGATTTTTTTATGTGCCCTGACCAGGGGTCGAACCCACAACCTTGATATATAGGGGTGATGCTCTAACCAACTGAGCTACCTTAACTCACAACTAAAGATTTTAGTTGTGTGTTTCTTTCAGACATAAGAATGAATTTAAAATGGCATGTAATGCCCTGGGTGGTGTAGCTCAGTTGGTTGGTGCATTGTCCTGTACACCAAAAGGTGGTTTGATTCCTGATCAGGGAACATACCTGGTTTCGGGTTTGATCCCCAGTCAGGGCACATGGAGGAGGCAACCAATGTTGCTCTCACACATCAATGTCTCTCTCTCCCCCCGCCCCCACTCCCTTCCTTCCTCTTTTCCTTCCTCTCTCTAAAAATCAATTTAAAAAAATTTTAATGCCATCTAATGTTCACTTGATCTATTTAACTGTTTTATTTTATTCCATTTTATTTTTAGAGAGAGAGAAAGAGAAAGAGAGAGAGAGAAACATTGATTTGTTGTTCCACTTATTTATGCATTCATTGGTTAATTCTTCTATGTGCCCTGACCAGGGATTGAACCCTCAGCCTTGGGTGACACTCTACCCAACTGAGCTACCTGGCCAGGGCCATGTTAGGTATTTTAGATATGTGTATTACAGTCCCCTGACCATAGTTTCGGTAACACTCTAGCAAACATGAGCAAAAACACAAAAAGTATTAAAGAAACAGTCCTAAATTATATTCATCTCCATTTAATTAAAGGAGCTGTTTTATGTGTAAATACTATGTAAAATTTAAATTCTTAGTAATAAGAATGGCTTAAACTACAACTACTATGAAGAGAAAAATAGATCAAAAAGTTCCCACAATATGGAACAGAATAGTAGCCCAGAAATAAATCCATGCCTTTGTGGTCAATTAATATTTGACAAAGGAGGCAAAAATATACAATGGTGTTTTTCTCTGTACCGCAGGCCGACGCTCCAACCGCTGAGCCAAACCGGCCAGGGCTACAATGGTGTTTTTAATACATGGTGCTGGGAAAATTGGACAGATATGTACCAGAAAAAATGAAATTAGACCACCTTCTTACACTGTACACAAGAATAAACTCAGCCCAGCCGGTGTGACTCAGTGGATTTATCACTGTCCCATGGACTGAGAGGTGCTGGTTCAATTCCCGGCCAGGGCACATGCCTGGGTTTCGGGCTAGATCCCCAGTAGGCAGCGTGCAATGTGTAGGAGGCAACTGATTGATGTTTCTCTCTCACATCAATATTTCTATCTATCTCTAAAAACTCAATAAAAGCATTAAATAAAAAAACTCAACACCAAAACAACAAACAATCCAATTTAAAAATGGGCAAAGGACCTGAATACTTTACCACAGAGGACATACAGATGGCCAATAGACATATGAAAAGATGCTCATTGTCACTAATCATCAGAGAAATGCAAATTAAAACCACATTGAAATGTCACCTCACACCTGTCAGAATGGCTATCATCAATAAATCAACAAACAACAAGTGCTGGTGAAGATGTGGAGAAAAGTGCACTGTTGGTGGGAATGCAGATTGGAAAGCAGTCTGGAATTACCTCAAAAAATTATAAATAAAACTGCCTCATGACCCAGTGATTTCACTTCTGGGAATACATCTGAAGAAATGCAAAACACTGATCTGAAAAAATATATACATCCCTGTGTTGATTACAGCACTATTTATAATAGCCAAGTTTGGAAGCAGCCCAAGTGCCCATCCGTAGAAGAATGGATACAAAAGCTGTGGTACAGCCCTGGCCGGTTTTGCTCAGCGGTTAGAGCATCGGCCTGCGGTCCTGAGAGACCCGGGTTCGGTTCCCGCTAAGGGCATGTACCTCGGTTGCAGTTTGTCCCTGGCCCTGGTCGGTCGTGCGGGTGGCAGCCACTCGATATGTCCCTTCACGTCGATGTTTCTCTCTCTCTCTCTTCCTCTCTCTCCCTCCCACTCTATCTGAACAAAAAATGTCCTCGGGTGAGGATAAAAATAAATAAAAAATAAAATAAAATAAAAAAAGCTGTGGTACATGTACACAATGGAATACTACTTGGCCATAAAAAAGAAAAAAATCTTACCTTTTGCAACAGCATGGATGGACCTGGAGAGTATTATGCTAAGTGAAATAAGCCAGTCAGAGAAAGACAAGTACCATATGATCTCACTTATATGTGGAATCTAATGAACAAAATAAACTGATGAACAAAACAGGAATAGAGGCATAGATATATGGAACAGACTGACAGCTGTCAGAGGGGAGGAGGGTTGGGGGGCTGATTGAAATAGGTGAAGGGATTAATAAAAAAAAAAACTCATAGATACAGACAACACTATGGTGACTACCAGAGGGAAAGGGGGATGGGGGCAGGTAGAAGAGGGTAAAGGGGGATAAATGGTGATGAAAGGAGTCTTGATTTTGGGTGGTGAACACACAACACAATATACAGAGGATGTATTTTAGAATTGTACACTTGAAACCTATACAAATTTAGTAACCAATGTCACCCCAATAAATTCAATAATTTTTTTTTTAAAGAACAGAACAAAAAAATGTATGTTTATTTTATAAAGGAAGAACATTGGAAAAAAATAGTAAAATCTCAGTAGTTTTGTACAAGTGATTTTTATTTACTTCTTTATACTTTATATATTTAAAAGTACAATGAATATATAATATGACAATAATTATTGAAATAACAGACTTGTGTTTGAGAACAGAATGAGAGCTCAGGAACTGAAACAAAATGAAATGGCTCGCCCGGCTGGTGTGGCTCAGTGATTGGGCATCGACCCGTGCACCAAGAGGTTGTGGACCCGATCCCCAGTGGGGGCATGCAGGAGGCGGCCAATCAATGTTCTCACTCATCAATGTTTTCTATCTCTTTCTCTCTCTTTCTCTTCCTCTCTAAAATCAATAAAGAAAAAATATTTTTTTAAAAAATGAAATGGCTCAATTAGTAAATAAATAAAGATATACTAAACCAGCAGTTCTCAACCTGTGGGTCGTGACCCCTTTGGGGGTTGAACAACCCTTTCACAGGGGTCGCCTAAGACAATCGGAAAACACGTATTTCCAATGGTGATTCATAACAGTAGCAAAATTACAGTTATGAAGTAGCAATGAAAATAATTTTATGGTGGGGGGGGGGGTCACCATAACATGAGGAACTGTATTAAAGGGTTGTGACATTAGGAAAGTTGAGAATTCTTCATTCTACTTTCTACCAACCATTTCATAGTCCTAGTTTAAAGACACTAAAGTTTGCATTTTAATAAGGGTCTGGACATTTATTTCCTTAGAAAAATGACACTGATTCTCCAGAAAATCCTCAAACCATTTATCCAGTAATATTCAAGCATTTGTAATAGCAGCTGTTTAGCACCACTGGAATGTGCAAAAGTATTAAGTACACCAACTTCTCCTTATTTCCAGGTGAAAATTTTTATCAATTTTTTTAAAAATATGTGTTTATTGATTTGAGAGAGAGAGAAGCATGAAATTGAACTGGCAACCTTTCAATGCATGGGACAATGCTCAACCAGCTGAGCCATACTGCCAGAGCAAAAATTGTGAGCAGTTTAATGATGAATTTGTCCAAGTCCATTTGCTCGCAACTTCTCCAAAATGCCATCGAGTGTATAGCTGTTAAGGCCAACACCAATTATTTTTAGACATTAGAAAACATAAACACACTTTCAAACACTTCAATACAAAATAAAAGAAAATAATTACATTCTATTGTAAATAAACAAAAAGAGTAAAACTGTTTTCTCATCAAAAATCTAATGTAACCTAAACCTCAGAAATTCTTCTTTAGAAAGCATGATACAAAGCAGTCTTCAAACATCTGTACTCATATGTCCCCTAAAATAATTTGACAAATAAGTGATGTCTTGTGTATATTTAAATTACATGAAAATTTTCACAAGTTTTACTTACAAAATATGCAAATTTGTGCTGTTATAAATATTAACTCTCTAAAATAAAATTTAAATTTTTCAAATGTATCCCATTTAATATTAAAACCATACTGAATTGATACCTAGTATCATTTTTTGAAAATAAAATATTTAAAATTAAAGAATTTGGGGATGCCGACTTTTGCCACTCTTATTCAACATAGTACTAGAAGTCTTAGCCACAGCAATTAGACATGAAGAAAAAATAAAAAGGATCCAAATTGGAAAGGAGGAAGTGAAACTGTCATTATTTGTAGACGACATGATATATAGAAAACCCTAAAGACTCCATCAAAAATCTATTAGAGTTAATAAGTGAATTTGGCAAAGAAGCAGGATACAAAATTAACGTCAAGAAATTGACGGCATTCTTATACATCAATGATGAACTCACAGAAAGGGAAACTAAAAAGACAATCCCATTTACTATTGCAGCAAAAAAATTAAGATACCATCCTGGCCGGTTTGGCTCAGCAGTTAAAGCATCAGCCTGCAGTCCAGAGAGACCAGAGTTCGGTTCCTGCTAAGGTCACGTTCCTCGGTTGCAGTTTGTCTCCGGCCCTGGCTGGGTCATGCGGGTGGCAACCACTCGATATGCCCCTTTTACTCGATGTCTCTCTCTCTCTCTCTCTTTCCCTCCCACTCTATCTGAACAAAAGGTGGAAAAATGTCCTCAGGTGAGGATAAAAAAAAAAATTAAGATACCTAGGAATAAACTTAACCAAAGAAGTAAAGGACCTCTTCACAGAAAACTACAGGTCATTGAAAAAAGAAATAGAGGAGATATAAAAAAGTGGAAGCACATACCTTGTTCATGGATTGGAAGAATTAACATCATTAAAATGTCCATACTACCCAAAGCAATCTATAGATTCAATGCAATCCCCATCAAAATACCAACAACATATTTCACAGAGCTAGAACAAACACTCCAAAAGTTTATATGGAACTAAAAAAAGACCCTGAATAGCCACAGCAATCTTGAAAAAAAAGAATAGCCCTGGCCGGTTTGCTAAGTGGTTAGAGCATTGACCCGGGGTCCAGAGAGACTTGGGTTCAGTTCCTGCTAAGGGCATGTACCGTGGTTGCAGTTTGTCTGCAGCCCTGGTTGGGGTTGTGCGGGAGGCAGCTACTCGATGTGTCCCTTTCACGTCGATGTTTCTCTCTCTCTCTCTCTCTCCCTCCCACTCTATCTGAACATAAAATGGAAAAATGTCCTCGGGTGAGGATAAAAAAGAAAAAAGTAGCCTGGTACTGGCACAAGAACAGGCAGATAGATCAATGGAACAGAACAGAGAATGCAGAAATTGACCCAAGACAATATGCTCAATTAATATTTGACAAAGGTGGCAAGAGCATACAATGGAGTCAAGACAGTCTCTTCAATAAATGGTGTTGGGGAAATTGGACAGCTACTTGCAAAAAAATGAAACTAGACCACCAACTTACACCATACACGAGAATAAATTCAAAATGAATAAAAGACTTAAATGTAACTTGTGAATCCATAAAAATTCTAGAAGAAAATGTAGGCAACAAAATTTTAGACATCATATGCAGCAGAATTTTCACTGATACCACACCTAAGGCAAGAGAAACAAAAGAAAAAATGAACACGTGGGACTACATCAAACTAAAAAGCTTCTGCACAGCAAAAGAAACAATCATCAAAATGGAAAGGGAACCCACTATATGAGAGACCATAATTGCCAATGATGCATCCGATAAGGGATTAATTTCCAAAATATATAGAGTACTCATACAACTCAACAAATGGAAGACAAAGAACCCAATTAAAAAATGGGCAGAGGACCTAAATAGACACCTCACCAAACAGGGCATACAAATGGCCAAGAGACATATGAAAAAATGCTCAATGTCACTAATGATCAGAGAGATGCAAATTAAAACAACTATGAGGTATCACTTCACACCTGTCGGAATGGCTGCCATCAATGAATCATCAAACAACAAGTGTTGGCGAGGGTGTGGAGAAAAGGGGACTCTAGTACACTGCTGGTGGGAATGCAGACTGGTGCAGCCACTATGGAAAACACTATGGTGTTACCTCAAAAAGTTAAAAATTGAACTGCCATTTGACCCAGTGATCCCACTTCTAGGAATATACCCTAAGAAACCGGAAATTGATCCTTTTAAAACTGTCTGTCTACCACCCCTTCACAACCGCCCCCCCCCATACATACACACATGCACACCATACCCCTTGAAAGTTTCTTCATATTCTTAGGGTATTCCTAACACAATCTGAATACCACTCTAATATCCCTAGGAACAGTGCTGATGACTTGTGCTATGCTAAGAGAAAGTACTTTCCCTGAATTACAACTTTGGCTAAGGAAGTGATTTTGAAAGTTTCTGACATGGTACCATGTTACATTTCAAATCTGCTCTTTTGACCACTTGGCTAGCCAGTGTGTTACAGCTAGGTGTCATCTGAGCTACCTTGCCCCCACTCATCAGCTGACTCATCTGTGCAAGTACAGATTCTGAATGAAGAAGCCAAATCAAAGAATCATAGCATAATAGAGGAGCTCAATTAGAAGCATATATTGTTATGGAAAAACACTAGAGAGAAATAGGTAGCTTTTACATGCAAATATTAAATGGGTGAAATGGTCTCTTAAAACATTTCAAAGGAACTCTAAATTTAAAAAATAAAAGCTGTACAGTATTACTGTTGCTCATCTTAAAACCTAATGAAAAGAAAGATCTCTTATCCTTTGAGACAACATGGAGGGACCTCGAGAGTATTATGCTAAGGGAAACAAGCCAATCAGAGAAAGACAAATACCACATGATCTCACTTATTAGTGGAATATAATGAACAAGGTGGGCTGATGAATGAAATAGACCCAGAGACATAGAAAGGAATATGGTTCAGACAGACAAACCTCAGAGTAGGGGGGCAGGGGGGTGGATGAGATGAACCAAAAAACTCATATGCATGTATGCATAAGCAATGGACATAGACAACAATGCTGGGGTGGGTGGGAGGGCCGGTTAGGGAGGAGGGTGTCTAGGGGGGAAAAAGAAGAAACATCGGTAACAAAAATAAATTTATAAAACTTGGGGGGGGGGGGGAACCTAATGAAGAGAGAAGGCCTTTATCCTGTCAAATATCCTAAAATGTTTGGCTCATTGTAGCATCTAGATTGGCTCTAAGCAGAAGCAGAAAACCTTCCAGAAAGGATATGCTTGGTGTTCAGTCCCTGCAGATACGAGATGACCTTCCCCTGGAATGCCAGCGTGGCCTCACATCCACAAGCGTCTTCTATGGAGACCAGTTTTCGGACTTCTTGAATGTCTGAGGGCAATGACGGTGCACGAAACGTTATAATTAATCAGAAATCATAGCAAATCGGGAAATCTACGATTCGAGAGTTCCGTTTTTAAGACTTACCTAAATGCAATTTCTGGAAGGTAAAAAGACATAAGAGCACACAGAAAGAGGAGAAAATACTTTGGAATGTTCCCGTCACAGAAGAAATTAAATTAGGAAATGCTGGGAACGAGGTTACAATGTCAAAGCTGGTTATATGATGGGCGATGGTTATATTATATTTTAATTTCATTATATTTTCTCTATACTTTTGTGATTGAATTTTCCATGACAGAAAGTAAAAATTTTAAAAGGTAGTCGAGCCCTGGCCAGTTTGGCTCAGCGGTTGGAGCGTCGGCCTGCGGTCCTGAGAGACCCGGGTTCGGTTCCCGCTAAGGGCATGTACCTCGGTTGCAGTTTGTCCCCGGCCCTGGTCGGTTGTGCGGGTGGCAGCCACTCGATGTGTTCCTTTCACATTGATGTTTCTCTCTCTCTCTCTGTTCCTCTCTCTCCCTCCCACTCTACCTGACAAAAAAATGGAAAAATGTCCTCGGGTGAGGATTAAAAAAAATAAATAAATAAATAAAAAATAAAAGGTAGTCGAGTGGGAAGCCAAGAGTGCAGAAAGATACGACAATTAATCTTGTGATGCTGTGTCCTCAGTAAAAAATGAAAATGATGAAAATCTCTATTTGTGTGGCCAAAATACTTCAAGGATTAAAACTAAATTTTTCCTAAATGGACTATTATTCTAATGAACTATTTAAAATGAGCATTCTAATTCTTACCCATAAATATTTAGGAACTAAAGTTTGTCCAGACATTTAAGCAAAGAACCTGGGAGAATGATAATGTTAGTTCCTGTTTCTTTCTGTAACTGAGTAGACCCCTACTCAATATCATAGCCCCTAAAGTTGCCTAATAGAAATAAGAGTAACTTCCCAGGTTGAAGACTGATGTGTAATCTTCCACTTGAGAAGTACTACAGCCTGAGGACAGGGAGTGGTCCTTTGCTCCTACATTTTCTCCCATATTCTACAAAGATATGACATAGGGCCAAGGGGCCAGAAACTCACTTGATTAAGTATAATCTACCTACCTGTCCAAATCCCACTGAACCTCTTAGGGATGGCCAGCTCAAATGCCATCTCAACCAGTCAGTCAGTAAACCAGGATGTAGCTACTGAACGCCAAGTTCAAGCCCATCCATGATTCCTGTACAGAGTGTACAATTGGTACTTAGAATACTGTTGCAGTGTATCTTGCCTGATAGACCATGAACTCTGTGAGGGCAGGGGCTCAGTTGATGTTCTAATTAAAAAACCCCATAGAGCCCTGGCTGGTTTGGCTCAGCGGTTAGAGTGTCAGCCCGCGGTCCAGAGAGACCCGGGTTTGGTTCCCGCTAAGGGTGCGCACCTCGGTTGCAGTTTGTCCCTGGCCCTGGTTGGGTCATGTGGGTGGCAACCACTCCATGTGTCCCTTTCACATCTCTCTCTCTCTCTCTCTCTCTCTCTCTCTCTCTCTCTCTCTCTCTCTCCCTCCCTCCCTCCCTCCCACTCTATCTGAACAAAATATGGAAAAATGTCCTCGGGTGAGGATTAAAAAAAAAAACCCATAGAAAATTGGACAACTGCAATGTAGCACAATTGAAAGTTGAGAGATGGATCCATTCACAAGAGCATCAAAAATAATAAAAGATTTAGGAATAAACTTAACCAAAAAAGTGCAAGACTTGCACACTGCTAACTACAAAACACTGACTTGTCTACAGTCCCTTCCTCAAGACCTAATAGTACATGATATGTAACAGTAGCTCCATGAAGAGTTGCTAAACAAATAAATCAGTGAATGGCTAAAACAAATGAGGTCAGAGCCTAAACCATTATAAACATGCCAGAATCCCCATCTTCCAGCAGTAGAAAAAGTCCCCAAGGGTGATTTTTCTTTCTTTTTTTAAAAAATGTTTTGTTGTTGTTAATCCTTACCTGAGGATATTTTTTCCATTGGTTTTTAGAGAGAGTGGAAAGGAGGGAGGGAGGGAGGGAGAGAGAGAGAGAAACATCCATGTGAGAGAGAGACTTCAACTAGGGCCAGGGATTAACCCCACAACCTTTTGGTTTATGGGCCAATGCTCTAACCACCCAGATACACTTGCCAGGACTGATTTTTCCTTCTAATTAAAAAAAGAGAGAGGCTAGAACCAGGTCATGGAGGGAAGAATTCCTGGTGAGAGGAGTAGAATTGTTTCATTCTGATGCCAAGTGGGAATCCCTGGAGGATTCCAACCAGGAGAAAGTGCTTCAGACTTGGAGAGAGAAAAGCTGGCTCCTAGGTTGTCCTACCAAATGAAATAGGATTAAAGGGCCAGCCTTTACCTGAACACGTCTTCTTGTCTTCATTCAAGGTGAAGCCCGCGTGGCAGTCGCAGTGGTAGGACGCAACCCCATCACTCACACAAATGTGCTGACATCCATGAGAGCCCAGAGCACACTTGTCACGAACTGACCAGGAGTGGAGCAGGGAAGGAAACAGTCACAGATTACAACAGGAAGCTAAACACCGACTTCTGGGAGAAAACCACTTTGGTCTGATCCCAACAGGTGTTGAGAAGGACTCCTTCAGTCATCAGCAACAAGTCGCCCATGTTCCAGAAGAAGAAAGCCTATTTCCTGTCCCGTGTCTCCCATCCCCTTAGCCTGCCTTTTACTGCATACACCCCTTTCCTTTTTATTTCTTGCTGATATCTAGGGGTGTCTTCTCTGTTTTCCTACCCGCAGCACTGGGGCTGCACTGAGTCTTGATTATATTCCAGAACTCACCTTGAGCCTTTTCTGAGGACCACCCATGCCTCCAACATCTCCCACCATACATGGATCTTCTTCACCACCACCAAAATTATTCTTAGGACCTACCTGTCCATGGAGCTAAATTTGATGCTGCACAGAAAGGACTCAATGACCGTGGGCCTGCCCTTGATAGCTTACAAAGTGGGGCAGAAAGCACTGAGCCGCAGACACACATCATCATCATCATCATCCTGTAAATACATTTCATGGACGGAGAAAGTTTGCCCAAACTGGAGTGTGGAGCAGAGAAAAGTACTGTACTGGTCCCCATGGCCCAGATGACCCAGGACAAGTGAAAACCACTTGTTCTTTGGCAAATCCAGAAAGGCCTCCTGAGAGACATAGGTTCTTTCTCTGTCGCTGCAGGGGCCAAACTCGTTTATTTATTCCCCTCTAACTCTCCTCTGAAGTGTCACTTCATGCTCAGAAACTTCCCATGGCTCACTATTGCCCCTAAGACAGCTGTGAGACACAGGCTCTGTACAATCTATCCATGACTTGTCTCCCCGACTTCATCGCTACAATTCAAGTTGTTCCAGCACAATGCCTACAAAGAGAAAATGTCCTTCTCCTCCTCATCCCAGCTTAGCAGCCAACTCTCGAGATAACAACTGGGCAAGCCTCCAGCCCCGGCCTCTGCCCTGGGCTCCACATTCATTTACTAGCCTTCCACTGCCCAGCTAGGGGATCTGGACCATGTACCCCAGCTTTAGACAGTACTCATTATTACCCTAGAAATATATAAATAGTTTACATAAATAGTTATATAAATAGTTTAAGGTGGGTGATCATGTCCTAGGGCGGTGTTTGTCCCCAACTGAAGTCAGTCTTCACCTTAACTGAGCCTGTCTGTAGTCTTTTTGCATCTAAGATAACATGTCTGAAAAATATGCCTTTGGAATATCAAAGTAATTCTTTTTTTTTTTTTTTATCCTCACCCGAGGACATTTTTCCATTTTTTGTACAGACAGAGTGGGAGGGAGAGAGAGGAAGAGAGAGAATGAGAAACATCGATGTGAAAGGGACACATTGAGTGGCTGCCACCCGCACGACCAACCAGGGCCGGGGACAAACTGCAACCGAGGCACATGCCCTTAGCGGGAACCGAACCCGGGTCTCTCAGGACCGCAGGCCGACGCTCTAACCGCTGAGCCAAACCGGCCAGGGCTCAAAGTAATTCTTTTTTCCAGATCCGCCAGCATGTCTTTCTCTTCCAGCTCCCTTCGCTGCCGCATTCTCTGCACTGTGAGACCGGGTAGCTTAGTGCTTCAGAGTACATGTAACTGCCAGAGCAAGTGCCTGGTGCAAATCCTGGCTCTGTTACTCATTAGCTGAGTGACTGGGCAAGTTCCTTAATGTGTCTGAGCCTATTTCCTCATAACTTGTCTGTTGCTGTGAGGCCGGACGTGTGGCTGAGTCTAACATGCCTAGAACTACGCATGCATACAGTAGGCATTGAAGAACGCCGGAGATCATTAGCGGGAGCATTCCTGGGCTCGTCCGCCTGGACTGAAATTTTCTTTGGCCCTGGCAGGTTTGGCTCAGCGGTTAGAGCACCCGCCCTCGGACCAATGAGCCATGGGTTCAATTCCGGCCAAGGGCACATACCTCAGTTGCAGTTCGTCCCTGGCTCTGGTGGATGGCAACCAATCGATATGTCCCTCTCACATAGATGTTTCTCTGTCTCTGTCTCTCTCTCTTCCTCCCTCCCTCCTCCCACTCTATCTGAAGATAAATGGGAAAATATCCTTGGGTGAGAATTAAAATAATAATAATAATAAATAATAAAAAAATTTTTTTCTTTGTTGTTTTGTGGGTTTTCTTACATAAAATCTTCCATTTTGCCCTGGCCAGTTTGGCTCAGCGGTTAGAGCATCAGCCTGCGGTCCACAGAGACCCGGGTTCGGTTCCCACTAAGGGCATGTACCTCGGTTGCAGTTTGTCCCCGGCCCTGGTTGGGTCGTGCGGGTAGCAGCCACTCGATGTGTCCCTTTCACATCGATGTTTCTCTCCCTCTTCCTCTCTTTCCCTCCCACTCTATCTGAACAAAAAAATGGAAAAATGTTCTCGGGTGAAGGTAAAAAAAAAAAACTTAAAAATAAATAAATAAATAAAATAAAATCTGCCATTTTATTCCGTATATGTGAGTTGAAATGTAAATTTGTTTGTTTCCTTTTCCCAGGACTTCAATGCTCCTGGCAGCTGAAAGTACCCAGTGGGACACTTGGAAGGATTTGAGTCGTCCAGCCATGAGTCCTCTCCGCCTGCCTGACAGCCCTGTGTCCCCGAACAAGCGGCTCCCGCGAGTACCCGCCCGCCCTGCCTGGCCACTCCTGCAGCGACCTGCCACCACCCTCAAAGGCCCACTCCGGTCCCCCTCCTCGGTGCTGCTCATGTGGACAGGAAAGGGGCCACGTATTACACCGGACAGCTCGGGGGAGCCCTGCATGGTGGTCTTATGAACTCGGAGACCTAAAGTAACCACATAGGCTGGTCTGAAATGAAAACTTTCTAACTAAAAGCAGTTTAAGGTGGGTGATCATGTCCTAGGGCGGTGTTTGTCCCCAACTGAAGTCAGTCTTCACCTTAACTGAGCCTGTCTGTTGTCTTTTTGCATCTAAGATAACATGTCTGATAAATATGCCTTTGGAATTTCAGAGTAATTATTTTTTCCAGATCCTTCAAAGCACAACCTGAACCACAGTAGAGACCACAAATCCCCTCATTGTTGTCATTATCATGTTGAGTGTAAACTGTTAGCTGTCCTATACCCGCCTGTGTAAAAGAAATATCAGTCTATTCCTTTCATCTATTATCCATTCCCAGAGATTTGCTTTCTCCAGCGTCCCTAATGTATCACTAGTGGATTTCACGTAACCGCCTTACAGTTTCCTTTTGATTCTAATGAATAAAATAAGTGGTAAACCCTGGTTAGTGTGGCTCAGTTGGTTAAGCATCATCCTATGCACTGAAGGGTCGCTGGTTCAATTTCCGGTCAGGGCACATACCCATGTTGTGGGTTCGATCCCCAGTTGGGGTGGGTATGGAAGGCAACAGCTCCATGTTTCTCTCACATGTGGATGTTTTTCTCAATCTCCCTCTCACTTCCTCTCTCTCAAAAATAAATTATTTTTAAAGTGGTAAAACTGGCCCTGGCCAGTTTGGCTCAGCAGCTAGAGCATCAGCCTGAGGACCAAAGAGTCCCGGGTTCAATTCCGGTCAAGGGCATGTACCTCGGTTGCAGTTTGGTCCCCAGCCCCAGTCGGGGTCGCAAGGGAGGCAACCAATCAGTGTGTCACTCTCCCGAGGTTTCGCTCTCTCTCTCCCTCTCCCACTCTGTCTGAAGATAAATGGGAAAATATATATCCTCTAGTGAGGATTACAAAAAAAAAAAAACCTAAATAAATAAAGTGGTTAAAATTGCCATTTTTGGAAGCATTTTCTCAACCCGTTAGGATTTTGCTTCCTGGCAATTGTCATCAGTTTGGCTCAAAGAAACAAAAGTTCTTACAGGTTTGGGTGTTTCTTATGTTGACACTGACTAGAGGTAACAAGAGGATGTGCCTCCAGCCCCGCCCTTAGTTACCGTAGTCCCTGTCCCTGGCTACTTAGTCTCTGCTCACTGAAGGCACAGGTTCTCTTCGCACCCGCACCCCAAACCCCAAACCCCGCACCCCGAACCCCGTCAGTAAGTGGCTCCGAGGAAGAAACAGACGCTTCTTTTTTTTTTTATCCTCACCCGGGGACATTTTTCCATTTTTTTTTTTTGTTGTTGTTCATATAGAGTTGGAGGGAGAGAGAGGAACAAAGAGAGAGAGAAACATCAACGTGAAAGGGACACATCGAGTGGCTGCCACCCGCACGACCAACCAGGGCCAGGGACAAACTGCAACCGAGCTACACGCCCTTAGCAGGAACCGAACTCGGGTCTCTCTGGTCCACAGGCCGACGCTCTAACCGCTGAGCCCAACCGGCCAGGGCCGGACGCTTTTTTAACCCCACAGTGCCTTGCAGTCCTGGGAACAGAATAGGTGCTCAGCACTCTTTCATTTTTTTACAAAGGAAATTAGTGATAGCCATTTCCCTTCACCTTTCACCTCTCCTGAAAAGGTCACCTAATATATCTTCTCAAGGGAGAGGAAAATATGCACAAAATCTCAGAAATATACATTGACTATGCCAGAACCAAACACCACCTGGAGAGCTAGGAATTTCTCTTAGGAGTGTTTTTACATTATAAATGCCGCCCTGTTCTGCCAATGAGTTTAAATCAAATTAATGAGGGTTCGAATTCTGGCCTGGGCTCACTAGCCAAGCCTCAGATTCTTCGAAGATTGATCATCCAGAAACTGTCAGGGAATGACTCGCTGCAGACTTCCTGGAAGACCTATGTGGGTCGAATTCAGTCACTTACAAAGTCTCCTTTACAAACACGACCCGGCTTTAACATGAACGCCACAGAAAAGTTCCAGGCCAGGTTTTAACTGGAAAAAGATCAGTTCGACCTATCACACCAAATAGTTCCTGTCCAACTGACTTCCTCTAAAGTTTCCTATTTGCTCTATAAGCCCCCAGTGTACAGAGCTAGAAAATGTTCCTGGATGAGGACCCTACATTCACTGAGCTTTTCTTATATCCCCCCTCCCTACCCATTTCCCAGTAATTTTCTGACGTCATCTGTCTGCAGATTCCAGTGAGCTCATTGCCCTGTAAGCAGTACGTGCCTTCGTCTATAAGCACAGCCGAGTGTCTGAAGCCTGATTCTTTAAGTTACTTTGAAGAACCTCTCTTGGGGAGTTGCTAGTTGGTTTCGCTGCACTTGAAAGAGCCAAGGAGGAAAGGACTTGCTGAGTGTGCCTTACCTGAGCAGGTTTTTTTATCTTGATTCAGAGTGTAGCCCTCATAGCATTCACAGCGATGGGACCCAGCTCTGTCGTTCACACAAATGTGCTGACAGCCATGTGTACCTAAAGCACATTGATCTTGAGCTGCCAGACAGAAGTCCAGGAGAAAAGAAATTCAACATGAAAAAGTCTTGTATGAACTATATATAGACATCTGATTTGCAGCTAGAAATAGGTAAGAAGCAAACCCCTTAGAAACCTTTCAAGGGCATCAGTACGACGTGCCCTTACTGAAAGCAAGTTAAGTTAAACAAAAATCCTACGCACCCACACTCATTCTTCTACTTTCCCCAGCTCTTTTTCAGAATCATCCACATGGAATCTTTATACTCTAAGTGTCTCATAAAATACTTTCTAAAGCATTCCTTTCAGGATTATTTGTATTTTTTCTGAATCAGAGGGATACCAACAGCTGTGTGGCTACTTATACTAGATTCAGAAAGACACGGAGCTTGAAGAAAGTGTAGTTCAACCCTCTCCTGTTATAGGTAGGGAAACCGAGCCCACAGGAGACCAACTGGACTCCGAACAGCATCCAAGCTCAAGACCCAAACTGTCACTCAATGCACTTATTCTCTGAATGGACAGGATGTTTTTAATTACTATTTTTATTTTTAAACTTTTCACTTTGAAATAATTTCTGGCATATAAAAAAGAGGCAAAAATAGTACAAAGAGGTCCTGTTCTTCACCCAGTTTCCCTAAATGTTAACATATTACATGACCATAGTATAATTAACAAAACCAGGAAATTAACACTGATACAATACTATTAACTACTCTATAGATTGGTTCACTACTAAGCTACTCATCTAACTAAGCATTCAAATTTTGCCAATTATTCTACCAATGTCCCTTTTCTGGTCCAGGAGCCCACACTGCATTAAGCAGTCACATCCCCCTTAGTCTCCTCCAATCTGTAATGTTCCCTGTCTTTGTCTTTCATAACTTTTACACTTTTGAAACGTACTGGAAAATTATTCTGTGAGATGTCTCTCAGACTGGGATTGTCTGTTGTTTCCTGGAGATTCTGGATTTTTAGTGAGAATAACACAGACGCGCTGTTGTGCCCGCACGACCCCGTATCACGAGATGCATGTTGTCACTATGTGTCACTGCCATTGATGTTAATTGGATCACTTGGTGACAGTGATGTCGGCCAGGTTCCCCCACCGTGAAGTTACTGCTGTCCCTTTGTAAGTAACACATATCCTGTGGGGCGTTATTTGATGTTAACTGATAAATTGTCTTTAGCATTTGGAAAGGACTATTAGGGCTGGCACAGAAGAGGAACGAACAACCCTCTTCGACATGTGGGCCGTGATACATCCATGAGGCCATTTCTTACTTTTCTAACAAGACTTAGAAATGCAAAAAGCCAAGGGTGGCAAGAGAGGGAAACAGATCAAGGTTCCCGTCGATGTGCCCTACCCCCCCGCCCCCCCCGGCACCCCCCCACAGCTCCAGGAAGGTAGATAAAGAGGTGGCAGTAGAAAATCCCCTCCCCCACTTACCCGAACACGTTTTCCTGTCTTCGTTCAAAGTATAACCTTCGTAGCACTCACAGTGATAAGAGCCATTTCTGTCGTTCACACAGATGTGTCCACATCCATGAGTGTTAAGAGCACACTTATCAATAGCTATCAAAAATGATCGAGACACGTGTGAGCACATGGAAACATAAATCAATAATTACAGACCACACCACACACACATGCACACACATGCACACACAGCACACACAGCACAGGTTACAGGACTGGAAGCTGGGAACCAACTTTCTGGTACTGGTTCTTTGCTAACAGACCCCTACATGGGTAAGTCTCCCTTCCTCGGGTCTCAATTCATTACCTTTAAAATAAGTAGGCTGGCCCTGGCCAGTTTGGCTCAGCGGCTGGAGCGTCGGCCTGCGGATCAAAGAGTCGCAGGTTCGATTCCAGACAAGGGCACATATCTCAGTTGCAGTTCGGTCCCCGGCCCTGGTCCGGGTCGGATCGTATGGGAGGCAACCAATCAATGTCTCTCTCTCATGTCGATGCTTCTCTCTCTCCCCTCCCCTCCCTCCCTCCCTCCCTCGCATTCTATCTGAAAATCAATTGAAAAATATCGTTGGGTGAGGATTAAACAAATAAATAAAATAAGTAGGTTGAATAAAATGACTTAAATTTACCTCCTCTCAAAAACTTTTTTCCAGGATTTTTTTTAAATGAGCCCAATTCCACCTGGCCAGTGTGGCTCAGTGGATTGAGTGTCACCCCATGGACTAAGAGGTTCCCTGTTTGATTCCCAGTCAGGGCACATGCCCGTGTTGCGGGCTCCATCCCCAGTGGGGGGCGTGCAGGAGGCAGCCAATTGATGGTTCTCTCTCACATTGATGTTTCTCTCTCTCTCTGCCTTCCTCTCTCTCTACAAAATCAATAAAATTGCCCTGGCTGGTTTTGCTCAGTGATTAGAGCATCGGCCTGTGGACCAGAGAGACCCGGGTTCGGTTCCCGCTAAGGGCACGTACCTCAGTTGCAGTTTGTCCCCGGCCCTGGCTGGGTCGTGCGGGTGGCAACCACTCAATGTGTCCCTTTCATGTTGATGTTTCTCTCTCTCTCTCTCTTCCTCTCTCTCCCTCCCACTCTACCTGAGCAAAAAATGGAAAAGTGTCCTTGGGTGAGGATAAAAAAAAAAAAAAAAATCAATAAAATTATTTTAAAAATAAACAAATGGGCCTAATTCCCCTTCTTCCTTAACTATGTGTGCACATTCCTATACCAGATGAGTGAGGACCTCTCTCAATGTTCTTCTAGCTTCCATGAGCATCTATGGTCACAGAAAGGAAAGGGTAGTTTTTTATTTAATTAAAGAAAATCCAGGAAAAATTCCAACTCCTCCAAAGGATCAAGCGTTCTGTATGCTAATAGGCTGGTGTACGCATTACCTCACTTCCCTTCTCATTTTCCTTTTGAGGAAAATTGTTGATAAACAGCAGTAAACCAGCCAAAGGTCGGTTAGGAGAGAAGCACATGAGGCCAGTCTCAAACCTGGAGGGTAGGTCCCCAAATCCAAGTTCCAGCCGGCCACCCTGGGGCCAGCGGGCCTCACCTGCACACGTCTTCTTGTCGGCGTTCAAGGCGTACCCTTGGCTGCACGCACAGTGGTGCCTGCCGTCGCCGTCACTGACGCACACGTGCTGGCACCGGTGTGTGCCAAGCAAGCACGGGTCCTCCGCTGCGCAGAGGGGTGACAACAGTGTTGACATAGAGACATTCTGGGGACTTTCTCCCATGTCAAAAAGGCATCACTCTCTGGTGTCTTTCCAATCCTATCTTCAGGTCACTGGCAATTCTTGCTATGTGTGTCTGCCCCGGACTTACTAAAAACACCACTCTGAAACTTGGCATGGTACTCATTTTAAATCACGGATGCTATTGTTTACTTTCTCAAAAAAAAAAACACAAGATGATGTTTAATTTGGAGCTGACGCCAAATACTTACATGAGTCAGGCAATTGGATATTCATTCAACTTATCCACCTACCCAGAAATGGGGAGGCCGATAATGTATTTCCAACTTACTTGTGGAATATAACGAACAAAACAAACTGATGAACAAAACAGACCCAGAGACAGAGAAGTAGGGTACAGACTGACAAAGCTCAGAAGAGGGGGTGGGAGAGGGAAGAGATAAACCCCAGAACTTACATGCATGTATACGTAACCATGGACATAGACAACAATGCTGGGGACAGGGCAGGGGGAGGGATCGAGAGGAGGGTGTCAATGCGGGGGAGGAGAAACATCTGTAACAAAAATAAATTAATCTAAAAAATGAATAAATAAATAAATAAATAAATAAATAAAGTGTTTCTTGAAGTTCTGTGAGCTCGCTGTCCCATTGCGGCCAGAATCTGGTTTCTGAGGGTCCTATAGTTTGTGTCTAAACAGAATTCACACACAGGTGCATCCCTCTAGGCCTGGAACTCACTCACTTGGGCAGCAATGCGTATTTGAACTTGCAGGTGGGGAAGGGCAGTGCAGGGTACTGCCTTCCGAAAATGCAGTGAATTTAAACACAGGCAACTCCAGGGGCTCCGATATCAGTAAGGAGAATAGAGCCATACGCTGTACACGAACAGGTAAAAAGAAAAGAACAAAATAAATGAAACTGTAATTAGCTAAACTGCCTCTCCATCTTTTCCCTTCTGGAGCCATTTATATCTCATTGGATTTTTTTTCCTAGTGAGACGTTTTGAAAGAAGAATCAGTGAATTTAGTCATTTCTGAGAAACAAAGGAGGCCTGTTAGCGGAGGCTGGAGCCCCTGTGGCAAGTAACCCACCCTCCACTGCTCTGGCAACAGGACAAGGCTAATATTTTCCCAAGAAGAGCCTTTTCATGGAATGATCTTTCTAGCTTGTGGACTACAACAGCTGCTTTTGCTCCTCAGTCTTTTTCCATAGAGAGGGCATTTCCCCCCAGAACAAGCAGGTCTTTTGTAGCAGAAGGAAAAGATCGCCACTCATCACTTGTTACTTTATGGCCTTCGAGCCCAACCCCAGGTGCTAGCTATGAGACCCAACTTTGCCACAGACCAGCGTCTCTATGGACAAGCTCTCACCCACAGCGCAGGGGGTGTTCCTGGGAGAAAGCAAGCCATTTTCCTTTGGGGAACCAATAAATGCCAAGTAGATGCCACCAAAGCCAATGACAGCTCATGAAAGCCCAGTGTCTTGGGACAGGAGAGACAAGGGGATCTCAGCCAGACCTCAGCCAAACTTTGCTCCAGACCAAGACTTCACCTCCCGTTTCCTGACAAACCGGTGATTGCTGAGTTTCCCATGAATTTAGATATAAAGTCTCCTTGAAATATACAGTTGCAATTATTACTTCACTTGTTTGTTTCATCTTCACCCCCCACCATTGCTTGATGGTGGGGAGGGACAAATTTTTGTATCACCAGTGATCAATAAATGCTTATTAAATAAATAAATGTAGAATCACTTTTACAGCAAAAAGTATCCACATTTTAAAATTCACCTCAACTAGAAATCTGTCCACACCTGCTTGGAGAATTCCACAGAAGGTTCCAAAAGATTATCTCCAAATGGTAAAAAAAAATAAAACATGATGATAGATAGATGATAGATAGATAGATTGATTGATTGATAGATAGATAAATTTTAAAAAAATAAAAAATATAGTGTAAATCCCACATTCATAATTCTGATCAGTGACTAATAAACTCCAGCCTAGAATGGATTCATATTTATGGATTTGACTAATTCTTGCTAAAAATTTGAATTCTAAACTCCATCCTACGAGAAGAAATGAGAAGGGCAGTAACATGATTTTAAAAAACAAACCGTGCTCCGTCTGCCTCTGCAGTGAGCTGAAACCCCAGTCTCCCTGATCCTCATCCTACCCTTCCATAAAGAAGAATCAGAGAAGCCGAATGGAACCTGAGAGCTACATTCGTCCACCTGACTGCCAGTCACACTGAGGCCGGCTAGCGGGACAGATGCAGGGCCCTGTCTTCTGCAGGAAACAGCAGTGTTTTGTAAAACCCAGACGTGGTGAAACTAAAGAAAACTTCTGGGGAGCTCTGGCCGGTTTGGCTCAGCGGTTAGAGCATCGGCCCGCAGACCAGAGAGGCCCAGTTCAGTTCCCGCTAAGGGCACATACCTCAGTTGCAGTTTGTCCCCGGCCCTGGTTGGGGTTTTGCGGGTGGCAACCACTCGATGTGTCTCTCTCACGTCGATGTTTCTCTCTCTCTTCCTCCCTCTCTCCCTCCCACACTATCTGAAGATAAATGCAAAAATGTCCTCGGGTGAGGAGTTTAAAAAAAAGAAGAAAATTTCTGGGGAAAGTGTATTGGTGGGCAGACTAGAGAAGAGCGGTCCTGAGTGTTTTATTTTCATTTTTCTCTGACCCCATCAGGGAACAGCTGATCCTTTATCCAGGATATTTCCAGACCTTCCCATTTCTAACGCAAACAGGGAGATTTTATGAGTAAACCAAGTTATACATAAGGCAGCTCTATATTCCTAAACCAACAAAGTGTGTTTAAGTTGGTAAAACAAAAAAACAGAAACACACACACACACACAAAGTGTTGCTTATATTTAAGTTTTTCATAAAATTTCCACCCACCCACCCCCCAAAAAAGAGAGAGAGAGAAAGAAAAGGAAAGAAACGAATTCTCTTTCTTCGGATGCATATGTGACTGCAACATCGCGTGCAGTGCGAGCAGACACCTACCGCAGAAGGTCTCCTGGAACTTAGAGGACAGCTTCTCGATGACCCCGTAGGTCTCCACGTAGAACACGTGCTCCTCCAGGGGTTCGCTGGCCATCATCCGGAGCGACCGCAGGTCCGCCCGGTCCACGCCCACGGCGTACAGCTCGATGCCGGCCGCCCGCGCCCGGGCCGCCACCTCGGTCACCTGGTCCTGGGGCCGCCCGTCCGTCACGATGATGGCTACCTTCGGGATGTTGAAGCTGGGCCCCCGAGCTCCCGCCTGCACGGTGAAGGCCTCTTCCATCGCTGTCCTAATGGCCAGGCCCGACATGGTGCCTGTGGACAAGGGCGCGATCCGCTCCACCGCCCGTTTCAGGGCCTTCTTATCCGAGTGGGTCTGGAGCTGGAACTCGATCTTCACGGTGCTGGCGTAGTTCACCACTGCCACCCGCGTGGCCGCCGCCCCGATGTCCAGGGTGTCGATTATCCGGGACACAAAGGTTTTCACTTTGGTGAACTCCAGGGGCCGGACGCTGCGGGAACTGTCGATGATAAACACCAAGTCCAGCGGCCTGCTCTTGCAAAAACCTGCAAGGAAGGGTGCGGGGAACAGAAGTGACTGCGCAGTGATCCGAACACAATCAGAAATGGGGTGTGCCCGCCCGTGGGGCTCCGTGGTTGAGCATCCAGCCGTGTACCAAGAGGTCACCGGTTCAATTCCCAGTCAGGGCGCATGCCCAGGTGGTGGGCCTGATCCCCAGTGGGGGGCATGCAGGAGGCGGCCAATGATGTTCTCACCCACTGTATTTCTATCTTTCCCTCTCCCTTCCTCTCTCTCTCGAAAAATTATTAAAGAAAAAAAATTTTTTTTAAGAAATGGGGTAATTCCTCATACCCAGAATACTCTGGGATTGGAGGCCAGACAAGGCAGCATCCCTACCTCCACACACCCCAAGTCGGCTGTCTTCGAGACCATCTCCCTTTGGGTGTTGAACGCGCCTTGGCCTTCGGAAGTCCCTGGTGAGAATTCACACAGGTGTGACATGTCCCCAGATATCTCACCTGGAGGCTGGCCGCGCCCTGAATTTTCACTTAGAACCTCATCTCTCGGCTTCAAGTTTTGTTCTCAAGGTTCCTCTTTACTCCCAGGAATGAATGGCTTCCAGAACCATCCTGAGCACCTTGCGGGACAAAGGGTCCCTGAACAGTGTTGACGGTGAAGTGTCAGGGAAGCCTCACTGCACCCCACCCTGCCCATTTCCACGGGGCGAACACTCCAGAGTAGCCCCAAGTCTCCCTGTGTCTGGTTATTAATTCGTGTTTAATGAACTCTAGGGCCCTGCTAGCCTGAGCTGTGTTGAAAGTAGAAAGAGGGATGACAGCTTAATCTGATGCGTGTTCATTGCACTTCCAACTCTGTGGGCACTTCTTGTAAAGAAGCAGAGATTGAGATTTGGTGCCTATCCTACTGCCCTACTCAGATCGTAGTCACCGCTTTCATTTTTTCATTCACCAACATTTTTTGAGGGCCTTTCATGTATTAAGCCCCGGGATACAAAAGCAAATAAACCAGACTTCCTACTCTCAAGGATCTTATGTCTTTTTTTTAAATATGTTTTCATTGATTTTTGAGAGAGAGAAACATTGATGTGAGAGAGATACATTGATCGGCTGCCTCCTGCACACCCCCTACTGGGCATCGAGCCCACCACCCAGGCATGTGCCCTGTCAGGGAATGGAACTGGGACCTCTCTGTCCATGGAACGATGCTCAGTCCCCTGAGCCATACAGGTCAGGCAAGGAATTTACAGCTTTCCTACACAAAAGTACCTGGCACCGTGTAGTAATGCGATCAATGTTTTCATCTGTACTTTCTCCTCCTTCCCCTACCCCAATTCTATTCCGTATCCCTCCCTCTCCTAGCCACCAATATTAAGTCCAAAAGTCAGGACTGGCTAAGAGAGAAGCCAGTTATTAATTTTTTTTCCCAGTCATTCCTCCTTCTCCCCTCTCCTCCCCTCCCCTCCCCTCCCCGCCCCTCCCCTCCCCTCCCCCTCCCCTCCCTCCCCTCTCATCATACACACCAAGTCCTAAATGGGAATAAGATCACTGGACATTAAGCGTCAATCAAAGTTCTTTCCTCTCCTAATAGGGGCTGGAGTTAATGCTGCTCTAAGGTGATCTACTCAAGTGAGTAGGGGAAAAGGTACATTCAAAATAAATTCCTCAGCTAAGCAGTCTATGACAGAAAAAGTCTTACGTGGGACAGGAACTATGTCTCACTCTAGTTTTCTTTTAAAAACTGAAAATGACCCTTTTGGTTTCATCCTGCTGCCTGGAGGTATTCAATGAAGACAATAAAGAATACCCTACTATAAGTAACACTTCAGGGATCACAGGGTACCAACACAACAGCCCCGTGAAGTCGAAGAGGAGGAGGTGGCTTTTATACCCATTTTACAATGACAAGCCTGCGTCTCGGGGATGTGTAAGAGCTAGAAAGTGATAGAACATGGATTAGACTACAGGCCTCCTGACTCCTAGCCTAGGGGTCTTTTCCCTGCAGGGTTGCCTCTCTGAGGCAACATTTTCCACCACAAAAAAATCAACATTATCTCATGTACCTGGTAAATATCCTACTTGTTGACATTCAACCGCCACCCTGAAATATGCTGCATGTCGTGTATTTAGTTAAGTCAAAGGAATTAATTCTTTAGCCCTGGTGGTTTGGCTCAGCAGTTAGAGCGTCGGCCTGTGGTCCAGAGAGACCCGGGTTTGGTTCTCGCCAGGGGCACGTACCTCGGTTGCTGTTTGTCCCCAGCCCTGGTTGGGTCGTGTGGGTGGCAACCACTCGATGTGTCCCTTTCACATAGATGTTTCTCTCTCTCTCTCCCTCCCACTCTATCTAAAAAACAAACAAAAAAAACAAAAAACCAACAACTCTAGAATTTCACTTCACCCCTTGGTTACCGTGGATCAGGAGCAAGGAAGACCAGTGCTGAAAATCCTTCCAGAGCCAGATCCAGGTATTTTTTGCACAACTGGAGTGAAAGGAAAACTGCCTGATGATTGACCCGTTTCTGGAAATGTTTTCACCGACACTCAAACGGTGACATAACGAACGTGCCTGGTTCCTTCCTTGTCCGCTTGGTTTCTCACACGGAACCCTCTATGTGAGGTTATAGGGGCAGAATAACATCTCTCTCACACCCACCCCCAAGAGGTCCATGTCCCAGTCAACAGAACCTGTAACTATGTTACTTTACATGACAAAAGAGACTTCTCAGGTGTGATTAAGTCAAAGACCTTCGAAGGAGAGGTTATCCTTGATTATTTGGTGGGTTCAATGTGATTACAAGGGTCTAAATGTGGAAGAGGGAGGCAGAAGAAGAGATTAGAGTGATAAAATATGAGGATTCAACCTGCCTTTGGTGGCTCTGAAAACAGAGGAAAGCCCTGGCTGGTGTGGCTCAGTGGCTAAAGCATCTGACTGAAGGGCTGTGAGTTTGATTCCTGGTCAAAGGCACGTACCTGGGTTGCAGGTTCAATCCCCAGCCCTGGTCTGAGTCATGTGGGAGGCAACCAATCAAGCAGTGGAGAGACCCTTGCCTGGCATTGCAGACCCTGTTTATTTTGGGCTCTGACACTGATCGCTGGGACCCTTCAGTTTAACAAGCCTCAGTTTCCCATATGTGCTCTTCGGGGTTGTATGAGATGATCCTCCTCCAGCTCTGCTGCTCTAGGAGCAGTTACTGCCACAGTAACCAACTACAGACTCAAAAGGGAAGTGGCATTGTTCACCCAAACCCAAAGACTCCTGAGTGTTTGAGGACCAAGGAGAGCACAGGCTGGGGTGGGGTCCAGCCAGTTGAAGCAGAACATGTGGTGAGGGGCAGATGAGAGGTTGAGACCAGGATGGTTACAAGACAGGTAGGGGGGGCATCCAGGGGCAACTCAGGTTTCCTTCCTGACCTTACACCCCCAACCCCAGAGTTTAAAGGCGGAATTCTGGCCCAGATCCTAGATGACACTAAAGCAGCCTGAGGGCTGGCGGGAGGGGTCACACTCTGAGCTGAGGCAATGGAGATGAAGCAATTTCCAGACAACTCAAAGCAGAATCCAATTAGAAAATGGGCCAAGGACCTGAATAGACACTTCTCCAAAGAGGACATACAGGTGACCAATAGGCACAGGAAAAAATGCTCATCACTAGTCATCAGAGAGATGCAAATTAAAATCACGATGAGGTATCACCTCAAACCTGCCAGAATGGCTAGCATCAATAAATCAACAAACATCAAGTGCTGGTGAGGATGTGGAGAAAAGGGAACCCTTTTATAGTTGGTGGGGATGCAGACTGGTGCAGAAACAGTGGGAACAATATAAAGTTTCCTCAAAAAATTAAAAATGGAACTTCCTTTTGACCCAGTGATCCCACTTCTGGGAATATATCCCAAGAATCCCGAATCACCAATCAGAAAGTATATATGCACCCCCATGTTCATAGCAGCATTGTTTACAACAGTCAAGATCTGGAAACAGCACAAGTGTCCATCAGTAGATAACTGATGGATAAAAAAGCTGTGGTACGTTTACACAATGAAGTAGTACATGGCTGTAAAAAACGAAGGAACTCTTACTTTTTCCTACAGCATTGATGGGCTTGGAGAGTATTATGCTAAGCAAAATAAGCCAGTCAGAGAAAGACAAATACCATATGATCTCACTCATATGTGGAATCTAATGAACAAAATAAACTGAGTAACGAAACAGAACCAGAGGCATAGATACGTGGAACAGACTGGCTGGGGGAAATGAATGAAAGGTGAAGAGATTAGCCAAAGAACATGCAGTATACCTGTAGCCCATGGACACAGACAACAATGTGGTGATGGGCAGAGGGAGGGGGGCGAGGCCTGGGTAGGGATGGATAAAGGGGGTTATAATGGGGGACCTCTGTAACAGTGTCACCAATAAATAAAATGCAAATAGAATTTTTAAATACTTTAAAAAATTTATATGCTTTTATTTATTTGAGAGGGAGAAGCAATAAGGGGATGGAGGCAGCAACCTGGGTCAGTACCAGAGAAGGAAACGGGATCATGCTCAACCGAGTCACACCCACCAGGGGTAAAATAGAATGTTTAAGATCAAGCAAACAAAAAACCAGTCTCAAGAAGTTTTGTTCGGCGGAAGCAGAGGGAGGGCACCGAGGTCCCACAGCTGCCGTCCCTCTCTATCCAGACACGCGGAGCAGTACTGGAGTTGGGGCGTCAGGAGACCCAAGCGGTAGCCCTGGCTCCCTTCCTTCTTGAACCTGTTTGCACCAGGGGTAGCTCAGGCGGCGCAGGAAGGACACATGGACGCCTGTTTGCCCCTGCCCCCATGCCGGGCTCTCCCTCCCTCCGTGTCCCCTGCCGCGTGTTCTTCCAAGGGCGCCCCCCACCCCACCCTGGCTGTACCTGCGCCTCGGGCTCCTCCGGGCACACGGATGGGGGCGGCTGGAGCGGGACGGTGCCCAGGGCTGCCCCCCGAGCCCCGGGTCCCCAGCCTCAGGAAGCCAGGGCGGCCCAGGGGACCCGGGGCAGTGGGGGCTACGGGGCACAGCAGGAGCGGCCAGAGCAGCAGCAGTCCCGGGAAGAGGGGCCTCATGGTGAAGGTCCCCGTGCGTTCTCGCTGACTGGTCTGTCACTGCCGGGACAGGACGCACGAGGCCCATTTTAACAGCCGGTGGCCTCGCCCACCACCCGCGGCCGCGAATGGGGAGTCGTCCCCTCCCTAGCAAATGCTGAGCAGCTGGGCCAGGAGGGCGGCGTCCAGACCCCCGATCACGTGGTGGGCCCTGCGCTGGTGGTTCGGCTGGCGCGGCCCTCTCCAGACCCTGGCAAGCCTGTCCCGGGCCGCAGCCCCCCAACCCTCCACTCCCGCTCCTACGTCGGCCGGGCCTGGCCGCCCTGGCGCCTCTGGCTCGTCCCTAGGGTCCCAGCGAGGCTCGGACTCTGCCTTCCCCCTGCCCAGCCCTGCCCGCCAGATCCCCATCCGCTCCTCACTCTGCATTCCTGTCCCCAGCTAAGGGACCCACGCTTGCTGTGGGCTGTGTGTGTGTGTGTGTGTGTGTGAGAGAGAGAGAGAGAGAGAGAGAGAGAGAGAGAGAGAGAGAGGGCGCTCACGGATCCTAGCAGCAGGAATGCGGTGATTTCATCCCGCTCACAGCGTACGGGGAGAAAGGGATGAAGGGCGGACCTGTCTCGGAGAACATGTTGACTAGGAAAGAGAATGCCCCACTTGAGGACACCAGGAAGGCTCCTGAAAGCAGGTGATATTTGAGCTGGTTCATAAAACATGGCAGTGAACACGAATTCCAGTAGATCCTTTCTGGCTGTCTTGCTTCCAGACTTTTTTTTTTTTTTTGACTTTTTTTTTTATCCCCACTCGAGGACATTTTTCCATTTTTGTTCAGATAGAGCAGGAGGGAGAGAGAGAGAGAAACATCCACGTGAAAGGGACACATTGAATAGCTGCCTCCCGCACCACCCATCCAGGGCCGGGGACAAACCGCAACCAAGGTACATGCCCTTGGTTGCAGTTTGTCCCTGGCCCTGGTTGGGCACATACCTGGGTTGCGGTTTGTCCCTGGCCCTGGTTGGGGTCGTGTGGGAAGCAACCAGTCGATGTGTCTCTCTCACATCAATGCTTCTCCCTCTCCCTTTCTCTCTCTCCCCCTCCCACTCTATCTAAACAAAAATGGAAAAATAACTGCAGGTGAGCATTAAAAAAAAAAAAGGCCAGGTGGTTCCCATAAATTGTGGGAAAGCCATAACAAAGAAAGGGGGAGACTTTTAGAGTTAATCTGGGCCAGGATATCTAGCAACAGAACTTTAAAAAAAACTTATAGACAAAGGGTATGTAAGGCAGAAACTGCCCCCCCCCCACTAGCTCTTTAGATCAGCTGAGAGCCCGTCTGTGCTTCATAGCAGATGTATAGGTTTGCTGCTTTGTTTCATTAATAAATGTGCATGCTTTAATGTTTTAATAAATTCACTTGCTGCCCTGGCCAGTTTGGCTCAGCAGTTAGAGCGTCGGCCTGTGGTCCAGAGAGACCCGGGTTCGGTTCCCGCTAAGGGCACGTACCTCGGTTGCAGTTTGCCCCGGGCCCTGGCTGGGTCATGCGGGTGGCAACCACTTGATGTGTCCCTTCACGTCGATGTTTCTCTCTCTCTCTCTCTCCCTCCCACTTTATCTGAACAAAATATCGAAAAAAATGTCCTTAGGTGAGGATAAAAATAAATAAATAAATGCACTTGCTTTAATGCTTTAATAAATTCACTGAACAAATGCAAATATTGTCTAGAGTCTCTTTTATAAATTATTTTAAATGAAAAGACAGGACTGAGGATGGGGACAGTCCACTCCCTCTGATTCAGGGGGCTGTCCAATCACATCTCTCCGATGTCTGTGAGAAGCGCATGTCACATTTTCGTCACAACTGGGCAAAGCAAGTCACACAACCAAGCCTGTTATCAGTGGGTGAAAAATATAAGCCTTTTTTTCCAGCACTGTCCAGTTTTATTAACCACTCAAGTATAGTAGCATCTGGTAAGATGGAGACAGAATTGGGACTTATCAAATTCTACTACAAAGCGATTGTAATCAAAACAGCCTGGTACTGGCATAAGAACAGGCATATAGATCAATGGAACAGAACAAAGAGCCCAAAAATCTACCCAAGCCATTACGCTCAATTAATATTTGACAAAGGAGGCAAGAGCATACAATAAAGTCTCTTCAATAAATGGTGTTGGGAAAATTGGACAGACAGATGCAAAAAAATGAAACTAGACCACCAGCTTACACCATACACAAGAATAAGCTCAAAATAGATAAAAGACTTAAATCATGAAACCATAACAATCCTAGAAGAAACCATAGGTGGTAAAATCTCAGACGTCTCACATAACGGAATTTTCACCACTACATCGCCTCTGGCAAGAAAAATAGAGGAAAGAATAAAAGTGAACAGATAGTCAGCATCTAACAATTTTTTAAAATAATTTTATTGATTTTAGAGTGAGAAAGAGAAACATCAGTTTGTTGTTCCACTTATTTATGCACTCGTTGGTTGATTCTTGTATGTGCCCTGACCAGGGATCAAACCCACAACTTTGGCACATTGGCATGATGCTCTAACCAACTGAGCCACCCTGCCAGGGGTGTCATCTAACAATTTTTTAAAAAGTGACTACAAACTCTTTTCACAAACATGTTTTCACAGAGCCAATACAATACTAGCCATTGACCCAGCACACCAAGTGAACTGAAGTACTAAAGATGTAACAAGACAATAGCTACATTAGAAAGACCTCAACATTTTAGAAAAAGAGTAAAACACTTTCCGTTTCTCCTCTTTATCCCCTAAAACAGCATCATCCAGTCTGGATCTACCGATGGTCCTACCTCAGCCTCTAGAATATTTGTCAGGAAGGCAAAAATAGAACAACGGTGGCCAGTACCGTCTGGATATTTAGGGAGGAGAAAGTCAGTTCACAGAACAAATTCCTCAGCTTCAGTCTCATCAGCAGGATCTTTGGATTCTTCCTTCTTTGGTCTTCGGCGTGCTTGTCCTTGTCTCACACGCGCTCCAGCCGCCTGTGCCTCTCGGTTCCTTGCTGGCGTCCTCTCGGGTCAGTTGCCCCTCTGCTATTTGACCTCATCGGTGTTCTCTTCTGCCACTTTCTGAAGCACTTCTTTCTCGTGCTCTCGTTTCTCAGCTGCTTCGAGACCTCAGCTTCGTGGGACTTGCATCTCTCTTCTGCAGCTTCTAATTTCTTCTGAATTTCCTCCCAGGAGAGATCCTTCTTTGGAGAGGAAAGGGGCATTCTGGGACGGGCCCTCTTGATCGAGAGCTGAGAATCCGTTCAAAGGCCTGGCCTGAGGCACGCTTCTCCAGTTCTGTCACCTGGACAGCAGAAGCAGCCGTGGTGAACAGAAGACATGTGTCTGGCGATATGTTCTACCCAATCCACGGCAAGGAAAGCCCTGCCCGGCCCGAGCTACCTGGCCACAGTGAGAAAATGTAATGAGCCTTTTATAAGAAGGATAGCAAATTGCTGGAAACTACGATATGACCTAGCACAATTTATTTATACATCTTTTATTTTTATAAGCTTTTTTCTTTATTGATTTTGAGAGAGAGGGAGAGATAGAAACATTGATGAGAGAGAACATGGAGGATTGGCCACCTCCAGCATGCACCCCCTGGGGATCGGGCCCACAACCTGGGCATGTGCCCTGACCAGGAATCGAACCAGCAACCTCTTGGTGCATGGGTCGACGCTCAATCACTAAGCCACACCAGCCAGGCTGTTTATGCATCTTTTATAATGGGATGTATGAGTACCCTAAAGTTTCCTGTTCTGACTCAATAACCGTTTTGTCTCTGAATCCAGATCAGCCTCTCATCAAGAAGCCGCTCACTAACAGCTTTTCAGCTTCAAAGGTAGGGATCCTCAGTGGATGGGCGTCTTTATTCTTGCCTCTGGCACCCTGTGAGCAGGGAGGGGCTCTAGCTCTCAATTCAGGTTAATGGGGAAAGCCTCTTCCAACAAACAGGCTGTCACTCCCCCGGAGTCAAGTCTTTTTTACTTCAGGTTGTGCCCTGCTGCCCAGCTTAAAGGCTCCCAGTTCACCATTGTAATTCACTAGTTATTAATAATAGGAAGAGGACGAAGAGGCCAGACATTATAAGCACGGTCATCTGGGGCAGCTTCAATTTACACTGCCCGGGAAACCACCAGTCCCATTTCCTGTAAATCACTGGGGGAAGAGGTCTAACAAAGGGGAAGATGGGCACATGCACAGTAAAGTTGGGGTGACGTAGGGAAGGTGCTTGGTTAGAGGGGGTGGAACCACAGCAAGTGTACAAAATCGTAGGTTAAAATCCACAAAGGAATTCTCGCTCTCCTGTTCCTTCGGCTTTGCTTCCTCCTTGCACTCGCTCATGTTCCCTCCATACCCATGTGGCCTAGAAGCCAGATGGCCCCTGGCCATGCAGACCCTACAAGCAGTAGAATGCAGCTGGGAACACAAGCTAACCTAGCCAGATGCTGGTACAGACTGTGGAAATATGGAGTGGAAACTCTCAGCAACGGCTCATAATTCTAGCTCTGCTGAAAACGAAATGAGACTTTTTCCTTGACTGGATGGAGGGAGATGGGACCTTGGAAACTCAGGATTTGATTCCACACAAATAAATATCACTCATTGTGCCAGGCAAGTCTCACATAATTCCTTTTCTCATGACATCACAAGAAGCCCACTTCCACCAGCAACAGGTGGGGACATGGAGAGCACCCCACTAACACCACCAGGACACATACAAGGCCATGGTGTCAAGTTGGAGTCTGAGATACTTTTTCCGCATCCTGATTTATGCCCAAAACTCCTAGTCATGTTACTTATAGCAACTCCCAGGTTCAGTCTTCTGTGACTCCATGTGTAAAGGAGAAAGACCTGGAGAAGCCTGTATCATACACACACAGAGGTTCTGCCACTTGACCGTGCCTGACCGGGAATGGAACCAGCGACCTCTTGGTGTATGGGTCACAGCTCAACCACTGAGCCACATGGGCCAGGCAGCCTGGCGGGCTTTTAAA